AATTTGCAAAACAGTTGTTGATAGCACACAAATTCTGGCACTGGTAAGTCAATTAAGTCATCTAAAGCGCTAATTCATTTTAGTTGAAACTGCAACAAAACACTTTTTGGTTGATGTGGCCTCCTTGAGTAAGTAAAAATATAAAAGGAGACCAAGGTGTGATATAAATTGTGTACTGCTGATCACACACACACACACACACACACACACACACACACTTACATCACACTCTGGGGATTATTATTATGTCCAATGGTGTATAAAGCTGAAGAAACTTTGGGGGCTTACAAAACAAAGGATGCATGACATATACATTGAAAATTCTTTTTACGGAATTAAAACAATGTCAGCAGATGTTGGGTTTGCTTGCATTGATGATTCAGTGGTAGACTGTGGGTTCGATTCCCAGCCAATGCAAATTCTTCTCCCCCACCTCCACCCCATGCAAGAGAATCCAGTCATTGCAAAAGCAACTAACATTTGTTGGAGCAAAATCATTTGTGCACCACAGCACAAGCCAGCAGTCTGCATGCACCTCTTGAAATTGATGGTGGTGCACAAGCTTATGCCAGGAGAGTAGTATTTGCTTTTGCAACTGCGGAACATTGGATACCTTTCCTAGGTGGGGGGGCAGCAAAAAAGAAGCTTCTTGCATTGGCCGGGAATCGAACCCGGGCCTCCCGCGTGGCAGGCGAGAATTCTACCACTGAACCACCAATGCATTTGCATGCACAACTTTCTTGCAGCAACTCTTTTTAATCACTGCAATTAGCAAGGATGCTCTTGCGCAGTCACAACCAGAAGCGTCCGGCATGATGTGCACATGCATCCCTGCAAAAAACTTCAGCTCGTGCCTGCATTGGTGGTTCAGTGGTAGAATTCTCGCCTGCCACGCGGGAGGCCCGGGTTCGATTCCCGGCCAATGCAACTGTGTTTTTTGTTTTGATTCTGTTTTAAATTATGGATCGATTGACCCCGATTTCATCTAAGTGCTGCGTTCCCTTGCGCTGCTCGGAAAGAGACTGTCGTTGCTGGCCGAAGCACTGACATAAACCCACGCCCGCTTGAATTCCCAGATAAAATGAACTGATCCACATTTCTTCAAAACCTTCACAAGAAGTCTACTGTTTTCTTTAGTTAGGCTAACTTTTTAAACATTCCACAAGAGGAAATGCCTGCAGGTTCCTTTTTTAGAAGCTTTGTGGGTTTGATTTCTTTTGGTACATTTTTAAATGCAGTTTTAAAGTGAACCTCAGCATTGTGCACGATAAGAGAATGTGTCAGTATTTCAGGGTTCTGCATTTTATCCGTAAAATGTGACTTTTTTTTTTACCACCACAAAAGTAAAATGTTGCTTTGTAAAAAAAATAATTAAAAAAAATAAACCCAAGCCCGCAATTTGGAGTTCCAACAGTTAACAGGATCCCACCCTCCGCTCTCCTTTCGAGGAATTGCAACCGCGATCGCGCGTGTTTTTTTAGACTCGGAAGCCCCACTGCGTTCGACTGGAGTTCACATCCCCACGTTATAGCGTCGCGATGCAGAGAGAACGGCAGCTCCAGCCCGGCTCCCTTTTGCTTCGCGGCGAGCCGGGCTTTGCAACGCTTCTCTTCTTCCTTCCCCTCCGCCTGCAAGACCCTGTTCGAAGCCCTCCCAGTCTCCGGTTGCTGCAAACCCCGCTCCTTTGGTTTCCAAAGAGCCAAGTTTTTGCTGTTTGGCATCCACCACTTTTGCATTGTTATTATTATTATTATTATTAAATGCTGCGCTGGGAATCACACTGATAGGTTTCAGGCCGCGTTCAGACGACGCACCATCCAACTCTTTGCAGAAGAAAATATTATTATTATTATTATTATTATTATTATTATTATTATTAAATGCTGCGCTGGGAATCACACTGATAGGATTCAGGCCGCGTTCAGACTACGCATCATCCGACTCTTTGCAGAATATAATAATATTAATAATAATATTATTATTATTAAATGCTGCACTGGGAATCACACTGATAGGATTCAGGCCGTGTTCAGACTACGCATCATCCGACTCTTTGCAGAATATAATAATATTATTAATAATATTATTATTATTAAATGCTGCACTGGGAATCACACTGATAGGATTCAGGCCGCGTTCTGACGACGCATCATCCAACTCTTTGCATAATATATTATTATTATTATTATTATTATCTTCTGCAAAGAGTCGGATGGTGCGATTCCCAGCACAGCATTTTCAAAAGGCTGACCTGCAGGGTTTCTCTTGGGAGGCAAACCCCGCCACCTCCAGGCCACTGGCCGTTCAACCAGCTGGGACTGGTGGGAGCTGGGAGTCTAAGCCCTGCGGGTTCCCCAGCGCTGCTCCAAGCAGGGGGGACGGGACACATAGACTGCACTGCAGGGTTGTAACCACACCTCTCGGCTCTCACCTACCTTTCGTCTACGACAGGCATCGCCAAACTCGGCCCTCCGTATGTTTTGGGACTACAACTCCCATGATCCCTAGCTAACAGGACCAGTGGTCAGGGATGATGGGAATTGTAGTCCCAAAACATCTGGAGGGCTGAGTTTGGGGATGCCTGGTCTACGATATGGAAATAATGGGCTACATTGCAGGGTTGTCGTAAGGCCCTGTCTCTTTTGTCTTCCGAGGGGCACAGGATGGTGGGGTACACGGTTCCCCTCCTCCTCCCCACGTCGTTCTCACACAACAACCCTGTGAGGTGGGCTAGGCTGAGAGGCAGGGACTGGTCCCCAGGGGAACACAGTGAGCTCCACAGCCAATGAGGGATCCAAAGCCTCTTCTTCTACCCAAGGTCCTAGTCTAAGACTCTAACCATCACCTAGCTGTTGTTGTTGTTTAGTCGTGTCCGCCTCTTCGTGACCCCATGGACCAGAGCACGCCAGGCACCCCTGTCTTCCACTGCCTCCCGCAGTTTGGTCAAACTCATACTGGTTCCTTCGAGAACACTGTCCCACCATCTTGTCCTCTGTCGTCCCCTTCTCCTAGTGCCCTCCATCTTTCCCAACATCAGGGTCTTTTCCAGGGAGTCGTCTCTTCTCATGAGGTGGCCAAAGTCTTGGAGCCTCAGCTTCAGAATCTGTCCTTCCAGTAAGCACTCAGGGCTGATTTCCTTCAGAATGGAGAGGTTTGATCTTCTCGCAGTCCATGGGACTCTCAAGAGTCTCCTCCAACACCATAATTCAAAAGCATCAATTCTTCGGCGATCAGCCTTCTTTATGGTCCAGCTCTCACTTCCATACATCACTACTGGGAAAACCATAGCTTTTACTATACGGACCTAGCTAGGGGTTACGTTGACCTGGGCAGGGTGACATCTGAATGCTGAGAAGCACACGTGAACACACACGCAAACCCAAACTCCCGAGACTTCTGTAAAATTAGCAATGATACAGTGGTGCCTCGCAAGACGAAATTAATCCGTTCCGCGAGAGTCTTTGTCTAGCGGTTTTTTCGTCTTGCGAAGCAACCCTATTAGCGGCTTAACGGATTAGCGCTATTAGTGGTTTAGCGGCTATTAAAGGCTTAAAGGCTTAGGGGATTAGCTGCTAAAAGGCTATTAAAGGCTATTAAAGGCTTAGCAGATTAGATAAAGGGGGGGGAAAGCGAAAAAAAAATCTCTAGACTCGCAAGACATTTTCGTCTTGCGAAGCAAGCCCATAGGGAAATTCGTCCTGCGAAGCAACTCAAAAACGGAAAACCCTTTCGTCTAGCGGGTTTTCCGTCTTGCGAGGCATTCGTCTTGCGGGGCACCACTGTATATCATAACTGTGACAATCTATGTTGGAAATGTAAAGAAAAGGAAGGAACCTTTTATCATATGTGGTGGACCTGTCCCAAGGTGAAAGACTTCTGGGAAAAGATTTATAATGAATTGAAAAAATAATGTTGAAATATACATTTATAAAGAAACCAGAGGCCTTTCTTCTTGGAATAACAGGCTTGGAATTGCCCAAGAAAGATGTTAAATTATTTTTGTATGCTACAACTGCTGCTCGAATTTTACTAGCCCAAAAGTGGAAAATGCAAGATCTACCAACGGTGGAAGAATGGCAGATGAAGATGATGGATTTTTCGGAGCTAGCTGACCTAACCGGAAGAGTCCGTGACCAGAAGGCGGAGGAGTATCAGGAAGATTGGATTAAATTTAATGATTATTTAGTTAAATATGTTAAGTTAAATTAACTGAAAACAGTTTGCAGATACTTAGGATTTTATTTAAGTTAAGTGATGAATTATTATGTTTAATTTCATAATGAAAATATCTAAGGATGTTAATGTTCAAGTTAAACTTTATAAGAACTGTGATTTGGAAAACCGTTAAAAGGACATGCAATGAAATTCAACCAAGGGGAAGCGAGGAAGTCACTTAACAATGTTAATAAGTGTAATTTTTAATAAGGTTATGAGTTATGTTGGTTTGTTTTATGTGTTTGTTTGTTTGTTTATAATTTTGTGAAAACCAGTAATTTTTTTTGTTAAAAAAAAGAAAAGAAATAAAACCCGAGGCAGAAAATAAACGTGGATTCCTGAGCTTATTTTCACCGCATTTTTTCAGAATTGCAGGGATGGAAGGGAACCCTGAGGGTCCTCTAGTCCAGCCCCCTGCAATGGCAGGAATGTCAGCTAAAACATAGAAATCTCCAAGGAAGGAAGGAAGCAGAGTGTTGCTGCTGCCACTTAAGTGAAATCGCAGCCGCAATCTAGAATTTCTTCAATTGCTCCTTAATCAACGCGAGTGATTCCTTCGCAGCTACAGTTAAAATGTCATTGTCAAAGGAAACCCGGAAGTGCTGCCTCCGGACGGTGGAGGCGCTAGTCTTTGAAAAAAATCCCAGCAACCCCTCTATAGTCAACGAGCCAATCGGGCAATCGTAAGAGGGAGAAGCTGCCAGGCTTTCGCTTCACTTCCTCTACTGCGCATGCGCACATTTGGGGGGGCGCATGCCCAGTGAGCTGCAGCTGCTCTTTCTCCCCCGCCCCCACCGCCTGGGAGCGATGGCGGCGATGGAGGCGGTGAAGATGGCGTCGCCCAAGAGCGCGCCCAAAGACGCTCAGGTGTGGGGTTGGGAGGGGAGTCGGGGAGAGCGGAGAGGGGCTGCCGGGGACCCCCACCCCCTGGGCTTGCAGGGGCTGCAGCTGCAAGGAAAACGGTTGCATTTCCTGCTTGCAGCCCAGTTTGCAGCCCGTAACGGGGATCCTCTCTCTCACGCGCCCTTCTGCTCTCTTGGTTTGCACAGGTGATGGCCCAGATCCTGAAAGACATGGGGATCACGGAATATGAGCCACGGGTTATAAATCAGATGCTGGAGTTTGCATATAGTAAGTTGTCTCCATGCTGTGTGGGTTTTTGTTTTTTTTAAAATTAAACAAAATGTTGCCTCCATGTCAAAGGTTTGGGTCAATTTGCCCCCGCCAGGTAGGAGTAATAATAATAATAATAATAATTTATTATTTATACCCCGCCACTCTGGCGGGGTATTATTTATACCCCGCCACTCTATTATTTATTCTTTTCCCCAGCCACTCTGGGCGGCTCCCAATCAAATGTTAAAAACAAACAGCATTAAATATTGAAAACTTCCCTAAACAGGGCTGCCTTCAGATGTCTTTTAAAGATAGGATAGCTGCTTATTTCCTTCACATCTGAAGGGAGGGTGTTCCACAAGGTGGGCGCCACCACCGAGAAGGCCCTCTGCCTGATTCCGTGTAACCTCACTTCTCACAATGAGGGATCCACCAGAAGGCCCTCAGTGCTGGACCTCAGTGTCCGGGCTGAATGATGGGGGTGGAGACTCTCCTTCAGGTATACAGGACCGAGGCCGTTTAGGGCTTTCAAGGTCAGCATCAACACTTTGAATTGTGCTCGGAAACGTACTGGGAGCCAATGCAGATCTCTCAGGACCGGTGTTATGTGGTCCCGGCGGCCACTCCCAGTCACCAGTCTAGCTGCCGCATTCTGGATTAATTGCAGTTTCCGGGTCACCTTCAAAGGTTGCCCCACATAGAGCGCATTGCAGTAGTCCAAGCGGGAGATAACTAGAGCATGCACCACTCTGGCGAGACAGTCTGCGGGCAGGTAGGTTCTTAGCCTGTGTACATACAGTCATACCTCATGTTACGTCCGCTTCATGTTACATTCTTTCAAGTTACGTCCTGTGGCGACCCAGAAGTATCAGACAGGGTTACTACCAGGTTTCGCCGCTTGTGCATGTGCAGACGCGCAAAATGATATTACGCGCTTGTGCAGAAGCGGTGAATCGCAACCTGTGCATGCGCAGACGCACCGCTGCGGTTTGCGCTCTTTTCATGTTGCAAACGGGCCTCCAGAATGGATCCCGTTAGCAACCAGAAGTACCACTGTACAGTGGACGCTCGGGTTGCGAATGTGATCCGTGTGGGATGCACATTCGAAACCCGCATCTGTGCATGCACGGGTTGCGATCCAGCGCTTCTGCGCATGTGCAAAGCGCGATTTAGCACTTCTGCACATGCACGGCTGCCAAAACCCAGAAGTAACCCTTTCCGGTACTTCTGGATTTCGGCAGTCCACAACCCAAAAAAACGCAACCTGAAGCGCGTGTAACTCGAGGTATGACTGTATTGTCATAGGAATTCTAAGGTCTCCGATATATGTTGATAATTGCACAAGGCAAACACACCTTGGGCCTTGAAGCCCTGGTACAAAGTAGCACAGGAGAAATTGGTGAGAGTGCCAGCAGCTAGCAGAGAGAAATTGCTTTATTCTGAACTTCCCTCTTTACCCAGAAGTCTGAGCTCCTGGCAGAACCAACTTTCTGTTGTTATAGGAATTCTAAGGTCTCAAATATAAAAGACATGTTGATAATTGCACAAGGTAAAAACACGTACATAAGTATATAAACCACATATCTAAAACAGTACAGGAGAGCAATCCGAAAGCCATCTTGGCTCTCGCTAAAGACTCAATATTTCCTCTGCCTCCTTAATCCCCCTTGCCTGAACAGGTAGGCAGATAGCAATCAGGGGAATTTCCTGAAGGGATTCCTCTCCTATATTTATGAACCTCCTTTGTATTAATTGGGATTGTTTGCTCAGATGCTCTGCACTGAAGGATGTCTGATAGGCATCTTGATTGTCATATCAAATGCCAATGTTTTGTGTAAACCATGTCTGGAACTATGTGAAACTTGCCAGATCCTCAGGAACATCACTTTGGCCTGCCTGAGCCACAGCAACCCCACTTTAGTTGTGATGTAATTTCTGACTGTTTGTATAGGGGATGTGCTTCTTCTCTGTGCCAAAATGCAAACCTTAAAAAGAGAGGTTTCTACTTGGTTTGGGGTCTTTCTTGCCTCCTTGCAAGGAGGAGAGGGAACTCTGTTGCAACAGAAAAATAAATAGAACTCTGTTGCAACAGAAAAATAAAGATCTACCTTGCTTTCACTGCCTCCTGCCTCCATCCATTCATCTCTGACCAATCAGGGACTTAGAGGATTCAGTCCCTTGGGGGAGTTGGGCAGCAAAAGCCAACCCACCCCATTTTTTCTATATCACCCCCAACTTGGATGGCTTTAAGAGAGGATCGGAGAATAATAAGGCTTCCAGTGGCTGCTGTGGGCTGCCTCCACTTTCAGAGGCACTTTCGGAACCACTGTTAGTGTCAAGATGCCGTCAGCAGCTCCCGGCTGGTTGCCCAGGAAAGTATAGAGACAAGGAAAAGTTTCTTACAGTCCTTTTTCATTTCACTCTTTACAGAGAGAGGCTATAGAACCCAGCCTCTTGGATAAAAATAAGAATAAGAATAATTTATTATTTATACCCCGCCCATCTGGCTGGCCTTCCCCAGCCACTCTGGGTGGCTTCCAACACAATACAGTGGTACCTCGGGTTACATACGCGTCAGATTACATACGCTTCAGGTTACAGACTCCGCTAACCCAGAAATAGTACCTTGGGTTAAGAACTTTGCTTCAGGATGAGAACAGAAATCGTGCTCCGGCGGCGCGGCAGCAGCAGGAGGCCCCATTAGCTAAAGTGGTGCTTCAGGTTAAGAACAGTTTCAGGTTAAGAACGGACCTCTGGAACGAATTAAGTACTTAACCCGAGGTACCACTGTATTAAAATACAGTAATGCTTAATGGATAATGGTGTTGTCGCTTGTGAATCTCCACCCCCGTCTCTCCCACTTCCTCATTTGTCATCATGCCCTCTGCCTTTGAGCTCTTTGCTCTCCTACTTTTAAGGCTCGCCAGGTTCTGGGAGATGGAGGGTCTGGAATGCTTTCTGATGACAACGCGTCAGCCAGGTGTTGTTCTGGCTCTCCCATGATCTCCCAACGTTCCCCGTCATCTGTCTCTGAGCTGCGACCTCCCTCAAACCCCTGTTGTAAATCTTTACTGTCTTCCTCCTCCTCCTCCCTGGAAAGGTGAGGATGGGGAGGCGATCTCCACCATTCCTCCTCTGCCCAGTCCCTGACAGTTAGGAATGGGCTAGCTGCTAGGCACATTTTGCACCTGGCTATCTGCCACTTGCGACCAAGTGAAGATGCCGGGGCGCCAGAATGGTGCCTGATGTCTCCACCATCTGGAGGAGCGTGCCTGGGGATCCTTGGATCGCAACTGTTTTCGCACACTAATCCCCTATCCTGTAATAATAATAATAATAATAATAATAATAATTTATCATTTGTACCCCACCCGTCTGGCTGGGTTTCCCCAGCCACTCTGGGCCAACAAAGATTAAAAATACATTAAAATGTCACACATTAAAAACTTCCCTCAACAGGGCTGCCTTCAGATGTCTTCTGAATGTCAGGTAGTTGTTTATCTCTTTGACATCTGATGGGAGGGCGTTCCACAGGGTGGGCGCCACTACCGAGAAGGCCCTCTGCCTGCTTCCCTGTAACTTGGCTTCTCGTAGGGAGGGAATCGCCAGAAGGCCCTTTGCGCCGGATGATGGGGGTGGAGACGCTCCTTCAGGGATACAGGACCGAGGCTGTTTAGGGCTTTAAAGGTCAGCACCAACACTTTGAATTGTGCCCGGAAACGTACTGGGAGCCGATGTACCGGTAGGTCTTTCAGGACCAATGTTATGTCGTCTCAGCGGCCGCTTCCAGATCCCAGTCTGGCTGCTGCATTCTGGATTAGTTGTAGTTTCCGGGTCACCTTCAAAGGTAGCCCCACATAGAGCACATTGCAGTGGAATTCTACCCATTATATATTATCTAAACAATCAGAAGTGAGTTTCAGGAACCAAAAAACCATATTGAAAAATATGGTTTTTGAGCCATCGGGCCCCAAAAATGGCAACTAGACTTTCTGTTTTGGCAACTGTAGCCCTTGTTTAAGTTGCCATTTGGCGCCCAGCTTATATATCTGAGTTTCTGTCACTGTTCTGAACACGGATTTGCTGGGAATCGCAAGTGGGGAATCGCAAGTGTTGTCCTCAGGTCCTGCGTATGGGTTTCCCAGAAGAGGCGCCTTGTTGGCCGCTGTGTGAACAGGATACTGGGCTAAATGAGCCTTTGGCTTGATCCTGCAGGCCGCTCTTATGTTCTTGCATTCTGGCTTTTACTTCCTTACAGGATATGTGACAACCATCTTGGAAGATGCCAAAATTTATTCCAGTCACGCAAAGAAGTCGAGCGTCGATGCAGATGATGTGAGGCTGGCTATCCAGTGCAGGACAGACCAGTCATTCACTTCGCCGCCACCCAGAGATGTATGTTTTAACTGTTTTAATTATCCTTTAACTGTTATTATTATTATTATTACCTTGCATGTAAAGGGCCTTGAGATGGCAGTTTGAAAGGCGATTAATACATCAGTGATGTTTTAATACATCAATGGCTCTGGAACTTTCTAAATCATCATGTGAGACAGTGGTACCTTGGGTTAAGCACTTAATTTGTTCTGGAGGTCCGTTCTTAACCTGAAACTGTTCTAAATCTGAAGCACCACTTTAGCTAATGGGGCCTCCTGCTGCTGCCACGCCGCCGGATCACAATTTCTGTTCTCACCCTGAAGCAAAGTTCTTTACCCGAGGTCCTATTTCTGGGTTATCGAAGTCTGTAACCTGAAGCGTATGTTAACCCGAGGTACCACTGTATTGGGGAAAGGAAAGGATTCTTATTATAGCCATACATGAGCATAAAAGGTAAAGGGACCCCTGACCATTAGGTCCAGTCGTGGCCGACTCTGGGGTTGCGACGCTCATCTCGCTTTATTGGCCGAGGGAGCCGGCGTACAGCTTCCGGGTCATGTGGCCAGCATGACTAAGCCGCTTCTGGCGAACCAGAGCAGCGCACGGAAACAGCGTTTACCTTCCCGCCGGAGCGGTACCTATTTATCTACTTCCACTTTGAGGTGCTTTCGAACTGCTAGGTTGGCAGGAGCAGGGACCGAGCAACGGGAGTTCACCGTGTCGCGGGGATTCAAACCGCCGACCTTCTGATCGGCAAGTCCTGGGCTCTGTGGTTTAACCCACAGCGCCACCCACGTTCCCTATACACGAGCATAGCTCTGTGCAAAATTAAGGTGAGCAGGGTAGACAGGGCCCTGGGGTGTGTTTGGAAGTCAAGCAAGGCCATCGCCTTGCTCAACTAAGCTGGTTGGAAGTGCCTGGGTAGATCACTTGGGAGCCACATATATATAATTCTGGGTCCTATTATGGAAGGAAGGTGGCAGGTAAACAATATCTAACCAAGCAAATAAAAGGTAGCAGGGAGAGGCTAAGGATAAGAGAGGCTAAGGCCCCATCCACACCTTGCATTTAACGCGCTGCGATAGCACTTTAAACAGTGTTGACTTCCCCCTCAAAGAATTCTGGGAGGTGCAGTTTGTTAACGCTGAGTTGTTTGGAGAGCTCTTTTCCCCCTCTCAGTTTTCAAGAGATACACTGGTGCCCCGCAAGACGAATGCCTCGCAAGACGGAAAACCCGCTAGACGAAAGGGTTTTCCGTTTTGGAGGTGCTTCGCAAAACGAATTTCCTATGGGCTTGCTTCGCAAGACGAAAATGTCTTGCGAGTTCCTGCGGGTTCCCCCCCCCTTTTCCCCAAGCCGCTAAGCCGCTTATCAGCTGATCTGCTAAGCCGCTAAGCCGCTTAACAGCTGATCGCTAAGCCGCTTAACAGCTGATCCGTTAAGCCACTAAGCCGCTTATCAGCTGATCCGCTAAGCCCGCTAAGCCGCTAATAGCGCTAATCCGCTAAACCGCTAATGGGCTTGCTTCGCAAGACGAAAAAACCGCAAGACGAAGAGACTCGCGGAACGGATTCTTTTCGTCTTGCGAGGCACCACTGTACAGTTTTCAAATAATAGCTCTGTGAGGGGAATAGGGGCATCTTAACAACTCTCAGCATCCTCAAGGCCAAGAGTTAGCTCAGTTGGTTAGAACGTGGTGCTGGTAACGCCAAGGTCACGGGTTCGATTCCTGTATGGGCCACCTTCCTATTCCTGCATTGCAAGGGGAGTTGGACTAGATAATCCGTGGGTTCCTGGATCCAACTCTGCAATTCCATGATTCTTACGTACTTAACAAACGTCAGCTCCCAGAATTCTTTGGCGGAATTCATGACTGTTTGATGTGCTTTAAACGTACAGTGGTACCTCAGGGTACATATGCTTCAGGTTACATACGCTTCAGGTTACAGACTCCACTAACCCAGAAATAGTGCTTCAGGTTAAGAACTTTGCTTCAGGATGAGAACAGAAATCGTGCTCCGGCGGCGTGGCGGCAGTGGGAGGCCCCATTAGCTAAAGTGGTGCTTCAGGTTAAGAACAGTTTCAGGTTAAGTACGGACCTCCGGAACGAATTAAGTGCCACAGGGTTCTGTCTTGGGCCCGGTCTTATTCAACATCTTTATCAACGACTTGGATGATGGACTCAAGGGCATCCTGATCAAATTTGCAGATGACACCAAACTGGGAGGGGTGGCTAACACCCCAGAGGACAGGATCACACTTCAAAACGACCTTGACAGATTAGAGAACTGGGCCAAAACAAACAAGATGAATTTTAACAGGGAGAAATGTAAAGTATTGCACTTGGGCAAAAAAATGAGAGGCACAAATACAAGATGGGTGACACCTGGCTTGAGAGCAGTACATGTGAAAAGGATCTAGGAGTCTTGGTTGACCACAAACTTGACATGAGCCAACAGTGTGATGCGGCAGCTAAAAAGCCAATGCAATTCTGGGCTGCATCAATAGGAGTATAGCATCTAGATCAAGGGAAGTAATAGTGCCACTGTATTCTGCTCTGGTCAGACCTCACCTGGAGTACTGTGTCCAGTTCTGGGCACCACAGTTCAAGAAGGACACTGACAAACTGGAACGTGTCCAGAGGAGGGCAACCAAAATGGTCAAAGGCCTGGAAACGATGCCTTATGAGGAATGGCTAAGGGAGCTGGGCATGTTTAGCCTGGAGAAGAGGAGGTTAAGGGGTGATATGATAGCCATGTTCAAATATATAAAAGGATGTCACATAGAGGAGGGAGAAAGGTTGTTTTCTGCTGCTCCAGAGAAGCGGACACGGAGCAATGGATCCAAACTACAAGAAAGAAGATTCCACCTAAACATTAGGAAGAACTTCCTGAGAGTAAGAGCTGTTCGACAGTGGAATTTGCTGCCCAGGAGTGTGGTGGAGTCTCCTTCTTTGGAGGTCTTTAAGCAGAGGCTTGACAACCATATGTCAGGAGTGCTCTGATGGTGTTTCCTGCTTGGCAGGGGGTTGGACTCGATGGCCCTTGTGGTTTCTTCCAACTCTATGATTCTAAGTACTTAATCTGAGGTATCACTGTACGCTGTCAATGTGGCCTAGATGTGGACCAGCACTTTGTGATTTCCCCCTTCAACAGTATGATCGGTGCTGAGGAGGAATTTGAGAGGAGCTTAGCTGTAGAGCTCCTGTTTTGCATGCAGAAGGTCTTAAACTTAATCTTTGGCATCTCTTCCAGGTCAGGCTGGTTGAGACTCTGGCCTGAAACCCTAAAGCAAGCATAGGCAAACTGGGCCCTCCAGATGTTTTGAGACTACAACTCCCATCATCCCTAGCTAACAGGACCAGTGGTCACGGGTGATGGGAGATGTAGTCCCAAAACATCTGGAGGGCCGCGTTTGCCTATGCCGGCCCTAGAGAGCTGCTGCTTCCAATCAGAGAGCCCAATACTGAGCTTGCTGGACCAATGGCCTGACTTGGTATTCAAGGTACCTTCCTGTGTTCTTATTACTTGTTGTTGTTTTTTTTCTTCTTGGAAAAAGTTTTTGCTAGATATTGCGAGACAGAAGAACCAAACGCCGTTGCCTCTGATAAAGCCGTACTCGGGCCCAAGGTTACCGCCGGATAGATACTGCCTCACAGCGCCAAATTACAGGCTGAAGTCTTTTCAGAAGAAGGTAAGGAGCCTACCCAAAATGGAAGAGTCTGTCTGCCACACACTCTCCCTGCTCACTGAACCCTGTAGCCTCTCCAGCTTCCGACATCTCCTCCTCCTAGTCTTCTTCCTCTGTCTTTTAAATTTTCTTTTAATTAACGTTCTTATGTCACATATGTATACATTATCACATTACATCACAGGGCATATTATAATTTCCAACATGTATACAAAATTTATATACCAAACTTGTGTACCTAAAGAAAGAAAAAACAGACAAAGCTGTTCCAAAATCATATATGTACCAACACTTTGGACTTCCTGTCTATCCCGTTGTATATTCCTTTTTTACAAATGAATGTACTCTTATTATTATATATTTATTTACATTTTATCTAATGCATTCCTATATCAATATGTACCCTTAATCTTATTTCTCAACTCAATTCCTCTCCAACGTCACTCGAATGCTAGCATAGATAGCGAACCTTTACTATATTTTTGAACATATGTCTTATATCTATCCCATTTTCCCATAAATGTTTGTTTTGAGTTGCCTCTCAGGCTGTTTGTCAACTGTGCCATTTCAGCAAATTCTTGTTGTTTGTTATGCCAGTCCGTTATCGTCTTCTTCCTCTGTCTGCTCATCGTCATCTCACCACCGTTCCCGGTCTCTGAGCCTTTTCCTCCTGGGGTTTCCTTCCACCATCCCTCCGCATCCAACCAGCCCATGACACAGTATTACTGCATGCTCGGCCCTCCCTTTTAAAACAGGCCGTTTTCTGAGCCAGTGACCCTGAATGTCCTATTTATTGGGTGCTGCTTCGTTCCAGCTGACTTCCTCCGCGGCACGGATCACGGTGCCACGACTGAGCGTTGGCGCCGTCACCAGCAGGCCCAGCACGCCAACGTTAGGCAAGTGTCAGCTTCTGATTCTATAGAAGACTACCTGACTTTTAGAAGATGTCTGAAGGCAGCCCTGTTTAGGGAAGTTTTTAATGTTCGATGTTTTGTCGTGTTTTTAATATTCTGTTGGGAGCATCCCAGAGTGGCTGGCTGGGGGAAACCCAGCCAGGTGGGCGGGGTATAAATAATAAATTATTATACATTTAAAGCGCTCTTATTCCACTTTAAACAGCCATGGCTTCCCCCAGAGAATCCTAGGAAGCATAGTTTGTTGCTGAGAGTTGTTTGGAAGCCCTTATTTCCTTCATGGCAATATACCGTATTTTTTGCTCTATAAGACTCACTTTTCCCTCCTAAAAAGTAAGGGGAAATGTGTGTGTGTCTTATGGAGCGAATGCAGGCTGCGCAGCTATCCCAGAAGCCAGAACAGCAAGAGGGATCGCTGCTTTCGCTGCCCAGCAATCCCTCTTGCTGTTCTGGCTTCTGAGATTCAGAATATTTTTTTTCTTGTTTTCCTCCTCCAAAAACTAGGTGCGTCTTGTGGTCTGGTGCGTCTTATAGAGCGAAAAATACGGTAATTCCCAGAGCTTCCTAAGAAGAGGTTAAACCACTCTGGGAATTGTAGTTCTGTGAGGGGATTAGGACACGACTAAACAACAACAAACAATTCTCAGCACCCTTAACAAACCACAGCTCCCAGAATCCTTTGGGGAAGAAGCCATTACTTTAACGTGTCACCATCATGCTCTAAATGTATATTTTCAATGTGTCCTATGGCTGTTTGATGATAGTCGAAATAAGAAGACGACTGATAAAACACAGATAGCAAGAGAAGAGGGGTGAGAGGTAAACAGCAGTTCCTGGGGGAAGCCATGACTGTTAAGCGATAATCTACTTTAAATGCATAGTACAGATGGAGCCTTATTCTTCATGTTTTTGACTGGCAACCTCCATATGTCATCTTGGATTTAAAAACAACGGGTTGCTGCTTCGAAACTGAATCCTGGTTGTGTGAATTTCAGGAACACCTTCGGCGCAGACGGTGTCCGTTTCAACGAAAGTTGGCACTCCCATGCCTCTGACCGGTCAAAGATTCACGGTGCAGATCCCAACCTCCCAGACCTCCGTAAAATCAGGTGAGAGCAAGCCACGCCACCAGGTGCTATAGCTGCAAAGCTTTTCCTCGAATGGGGGAACCAGGACTCTGAGGTCCAAAAGCTAAACCTTTTGGCGGGTGTGAAAAGTGTGAGCTCAAGTGTAAGGTAAAGGTAAAGGGACCCCTGACCGTTAGGTCCAGTCGCGGACGACTCTGAGGTTGCGGCGCTCATCTCGCTTTACTGGCCGAGGGAGCCGGCGTCCAGCTTCCGGGTCATGTGGCCAGCATGACTAAGCCGCTTCTGGCGAACCAGAGCAGCGCACGGAAACGCCCTTTACCTTCCCACCGGAGTGATACCTATTTATCTACTTGCACTTTGACGTGCTTTTGAACTGCCAGGTTGGCAGGAGCTGGGACCAAGCAACGGGAGCTCACCCTGTCACGGGCATTCGAACCACTGACCTTCGGATCGGCAAGCCCTAGGTTCTGTGGTTTAGACGACAGCGCCACCCGCGTCCTTTGAGCTCAAGTGTGCCTTCTCTTTATTTGCAAGGTTTGGAGGGGGGCTGTTTGTGCGTGTTCCACCTCGCACCCTTATGTGGAAAACTCCTGGAGAAGAATGAGGGGTAGGGGCTGTTCTGTTAGCATCTGATTTCTTTCCGCAGGGCCTGCAAGACAGAGCTGTTCCGCCTGGCCTTTGGTTGAGACTCAGTCTGACCTTTATGTTTCCCTCCCTTTATGTGATCTATGGGTTACTTTTAAAATGAGGCTGCATTTTAAATTGCATTTTAACCTGTATTTTAAATTGTTTTATTTTTCATTTTTCCCTATTATGTTTTTACTGTAACTTTTACTGGTGTTAGCCGCCCGAGCCCGGATCTGGCCGGGGAGGGCGGGGTATAAATAAAATTTATTATTATTATTATTAGGCAAGTAGCTCACTGACCAGGCAATCTGCCAGCTTTCAGCTAGCCCCACCTACCCGTCTTCCTTCTTGCAACTAGTCAGAGCAGGCATAGGCAAACTCGGCCCTCCAGATGTTTTGCGACTACAACTCCCATCATCCCTAGCTAACAGGACCAGCGGTCAGGGATGATGGGAGTTGTAGTCCGAAAACATCTGGAGGGCCAAGTTTGCCTATGCCTGGATCAAATGGTGGTTCTTCTTATCATTGGCTTTGATTCATCCTACTGCTGGTCTCTGTGCTTCTTGCCTTGCCAGCCCCAGTGGGCACTAGCCGCTGCTGAGAATAAGGATGGGCAGACCATTTGCTTCTCTTGAACCTAAGGCAGAGGAGCTGTTGTGAAGGCTGACATCCATTTCTAGCCAGAGGACGAAACCCCATACCTGTGCCACCTTCTTGGAGGGTAGGCTATTGGGTTGTTGTTCGTATTTTTATTAGGTATTTTGTGGTTTTATACAGTCATACCTCGGGTTACAGCTGCTTCAGGTTGCGTTTTTTTGGGTTGTGGACCGCCGAAACCCAGAAGTACTGGAACGGGTTACTTGCGGGTTTCGGCACTCACGCGTGCGCAGATGCGCTACATCACGCTTTGCGCATAAGCACCGAATCACAACTCGTGCGTGCGCAGATGCGGGTTGCGAACGCTGCAGGTTGCGAACATGTATCCCGCACGGATCACGTTCGCATCCCGAGCATCCACTATATCTTGATTTCATTCTGTGGACCGCCCCAAGTCCCCTGGGTATAGGGCGGTATATAAATTCAATAAATAATACAGTCAAACCTCAGTTGTTGAACGTAATCTGTTCCGGAAGACCGTTGGACTTCCGAAACGTCAGATGACCGAAAACTGAAAGTGGAAGCCTCAATACAGTAGGGCAGGGGTGGCCTGCTTCCGAGAGACTGCGATCTACTCACGGAGTTAAAGACTGGCAGTGATCTACCCCCTTTTTGGGGGTTCAGATCAAAGTTGTCAAGCTTTTTTGAGGAAGGAGAAAGGCCTGTTTCTTTGGGGTTCAGGTCAAAGTTGCTGAGGTTTTTTTAGGGAGGAGTAAAGCCCCGTTTTGAGGGGGGTGCAGGGCTTTTTTTTTAGGGGAGCCAAACTTGTTGAGCTTCTTTGGAGGGAGCCAGTGATCTACCACAGACGTCCAGTGATCTACCGGTAGATCACGATCTACCTGTTGGACATGCCTGCAATAGGGAAGCGCAAAACGGAAGCCATGTGGCATGTTCGGCTTCCGAAAATCGTTTGAAAACGGGAGCAGTTACTTCCTGGTTTTCAGCGTTCGGGAGCCGAAATGTTCAAAAATGGAGGTTTGACTGTAATAATAATAAAAAGTGCAGCTCTGAGAAACGCTGAATGAAAAAGGTTGATGCAAGTTTATTGGCTGAGAATAATGGCTGTTGCGGAAGCCACTTTCATGGGTTCCACAGGCCTGCAAAGTACACAGGTTTTCTATAGAGGCACCCCCTCGCCTTAACTTCACATATGCTTAGAAATTTAGTCACCTTCACAGAGCAAAAGCATGCCTGTCTTATCAGAGCTGCATTCCTCTGTGCGAAAAACAGGGTGTTTACTCTTCACCCAGCTGCCTCAAGGCTGTTTCTCCTGCAAAAAATATTTCCGGCGCATCCTTAACTCAGTCTGGATAGAGGGAGCCAGCTGGTCTCCTTACACTGAAGTTGAATGTTGGAAGATTCAGGGCAGATTAGGAACAAAGTACTTCTTTGTGAGGCACACAGCTGTAACTATGGCACTTTCTGTCACTAATTCTACTCAATATCGATCCAGAGCAGAACTCTGACGTACAGTTAGCAGAGCAAAAACTTAAAACACGTTGCAGGATTCCCCAAAAAATAGACGAAAGGCAATTAATATTTCATCCAGCAGAGCTTTATTGCTACTTAAGGCAAATGAGCATAATGGTCACAAATCCAATGCGTTCAGGATTGGCACCGTCCATAAGAAATCCAGTTGCTGCAGACTTAACTTAAACATACAATAACTTATAATAAGACTAAACCTTAACACTGTATAGAGAATTGGCAGAGCTGAATGGAAATTTGGTTTTTAAGAAGTAAAAATTTAAATGTTATATTAGGATTAAGGATTGGGATTAAAAAAGAGGGAAAGAAACTGCTGGACAAACAAACTGAACTGGAATACAAAAGAGGGAGGTACGAGGAGGTCCAGAAAATAAGTAAATTTTAAAAATGGTGAGGAAAAGGTGGTATTGTTTTTAAATGTTTTCTTTTTTTTGTCTTCTGTTTTTTGTTTTGTTTTTAGATTATGTATTGTGTATTTTTGAACTGTGTGTTTTTCTTTTTTTCTTTTTAATTTCTTATTGATGTGTTCTTTTTATTGGAAACCTTAATAAATATCATTTTTTTTTTAAAAAAAGAGAATTGGCAGAGCTGATTGGGAGAATCAAAAACCAGCGTGATGGAGCTTTCCAAAAAGACTGGAGTAAATTTGCATAATATTTGAAGGATAATTGAAGAACAATTAACAACACTAGCGGGGTTGTTAAGAAAAGACCTGTAACAATGATTTCTGCCTTTTTATATTTACTCAAAATTTGTGATAATTGGAATAAGTGAAATGTAAATTGGAAGAGGTACAAATGCTAGGATATAGAAGTGAATTATGAGAACCATGAGGCGGGAGGGAGGGAAGTCGATTAGCTCATATGAGCAAAGAGTTAAGGTAACAATAAGGATGTATTTAAATATTATAAAATGGAAATGTAATTAATTTTTTTAAAAAAAACAAACAACCCACTGTATACAAAACACCACACCAGAAGGAAGAGAGATAGAAAGAGAAAGTGTGAAATCCAAGCTCCTTCTGGCCTTGTTATTACAGTAAGCAAGACCTTGGCAGAAAGACATAACAGGACCAGTTTAAGCCAGCTGTACTCGGCTTCTCTGAAGGAATAACTGAAAACATTACAAACCTTCAGCTTGTTTCTTTCACACAGAGAAAAGCTCTCAGAACCCTCTTGAATTAATTAGAATAGGAAAGATCTCTACACATCAGATCAATATTTTCTTTTCTTCTACTTTATTTTCAGTGCGAAATTAGAACAAAAATTACAAACAGAAAATCCAAAAAGGAAAAGGAAAAACAAAACAAAAAGAACAAAAAACAAACCTACAAAGAAAACCATACCATTATAACAAACTTTACGTACATATACACATATACATTGACTTCCTTCCTCTGTTTTGAGACTTCAGAATTTTTAATCGTTCTGAATTGTTGTGTCTAATGTAAATTACCTCTATCTTTATACCATTTGCACCGTTTTTTCAATTTCTTTAACCCTGCAAAGCTTCATTCATTACATACCGATATATTTACTCCAGAACAATGTTTATTTCATGCAGTCTTTGACACAATCCCATTCTTCTGCTGATTTTTGGTCCAGTTGTCCCCTTAAGAATGCTGTAAATCTTGCCAGATTTATATATTCACAAAGTTTAATTTGCCATTCTTTTACTGATGAGGTCCCGTCCCCCCAGCTTTTTGCTATGAGCATCCTGGCAGCTGTTGTTGCATAGAGGAATACTTTCCTTTGATTGCCTGGAATATCAATATTTTCTGTGCCAAGAAATGCAAACTGACACTTGTTTCCGCGTGTGGCGGTGATGACCAACAACCTAGATGGCTTTGAAAGAGGGTTAAGCAAATTCAGGGAGGAGAGGGCTGTGCTTGTGTCTCTTCCTGAATGCTGGCTGCAGAGGGTGCAATTCTGCCCAGGTCCTTGCTGGTTTGCCATAGGCAACCAGTTGGCCACTGTGAAAACAGGATGCTGGACTAGATACACCAATGGCCTGATCCAGAAGTCAGACTCTTGTGTTCTTATGAGGCATGGAAACAGATAAAAAGCGAAGCAGCAAAGTAAGTCTGCTGCAACTGGATTTCTTGTGGACAGTGCCAATCCTGAATGTATTGGATTTCTGACTACTATGCACATTTGCCTTCAGTAGCAGTAAAGCTCTGCTGGATGAAATACTAATTGCCTTTAGTCTATTTTTTGGGGAATCCTGCTTGCTCCTTCCACTTCCTAGCTATAATAACTCATGCAGCTGGCAATAAATTTGTGAGCAAGTCCTTCATAGCCTGCGAACCTTCCACCCCATCGTAAATCGATAATCATTATACCTCTGGACTTTTGATCAGCTTTAACCCAGTGGTTTCTGTTATCTCCTTAAACACCCTTTGCCAAAAAACCTGTACATGTGTACACCCCCACATGTGAACGTAATTCCCTATTTCCTGGCATCCCCTCCAACATAGCACTGAATATTCCTTGTTTATTTGATTTAATCTGACTGGTGTTAAATACCATCTCCAAACTAATTTACAATAATTTTTTTTATTCTTATAGACAACATTATCAATGTACATTTCTCCCATATTTCCCCCCAGCTTTGACTATCTATATCTATCTATCTATCTATCTATCTATCTATCTATCTATCTATCTACCGTATTTTTTGCTCTATAAGACTCACTTTTTCCCTCCTAAAAAGTAAGGAGAAATGTGTGTGCGTCTTATGGAGCGAATGCAGGCTGCGCAGCTATCCCAGAAGCCAGAACAGCAAGAGGGATTGCTGCTTTCACAGTGTAGCGATCCTTCTTGCTGTTCTGGCTTCTGAGATTCAGAATATTTTTTTTCTTGTTTTCCTCCTCCAAAAACTAGGTGCGTCTTGTGGTCTGGTGCGTCTTATAGAGCGAAAAATACGGTATATCTACCTATCATATATCTATCTATCTATCCCTCCATGTATCCATCTATCTATCATTCTTGATTTTTGGCATACAGACAGGCAGTATAACTATCTAACAAATATCCTTCCCTTTCTCCTCCTCAGCGACTCCAACTACCCCCACAGTCCAGAATGTGCTGATCAACCCTTCCCTGATCGGGTCCAAAAACATCCTCATCACCACCAACATGGTGTCGCAGGGCAGCTCTGGCGAGGCGAACACTTTGAAGAGGAAGCACGAGGAAGACGACGACTACGATAACTTGTGAAAGGGAACGCTCACCTTTTTTTGCCTTAGTTGTGGCGCTTCCACCTCTCCCTCTCCAGAAGCCTTCAAGAATGGAGGGGATGGAGGGGCAGAAGACAAGCATATGGCTCTACTCTCCCAGTTGGCTACAGTCTAGCTGCAGTGGACCCAAACTGGGACTGATGGGAGCTTAGATGGAAAACATGTGGAAGCCCTTAGATGGTGGAAGGCTTAGCACAAGAGCTTTGGAAAAAGTTGATTCTCCTCCTGGCATAGCCCATTCCTCCGATCTCTCTTGGAATTAAAAGAAGCAGCACCTGTGGATCTGTTCTGGTGGTACTCTTGTTTCCTACATGTCTTTCTTGGATGGGGGTTGCGGGGGGAAGAGTGCAGTTTTTTCTTCTTTCAAATATTTTTTATTGGTTTTTACATCTATTTTCTTTGCATAACATCATAACAGCCTTTCCCCCCAAAATAAAACATTTGGCTCCATGAGCCAGTAACTTTCCCTCCTCCCTGACTAGTGGTTTTCAAACTTAAACTCTATACCTTGCATTTTCCTCTATTTCTTATTCCTGCTAAATCTTACCCTTACATAATTCCTTACTTAACTACAATAAGTAATAAATTTATCCTTACAAAGCTTCCTGTAACCTTACTAGTGATGTTAATTGTTTACAGTTGTCCTTCAGATATAACATGAATTTGTTCCAGTCTTTCTGGAAAGCCTGGTACTGTTGGTTCCGGATTTTTTCCCGTCAGTTTCACCAATTCTGCACAGTCCATTAATTTCATCTGCCACTTTTCTTTCGTTGTTACATCTTCTTGCTTCCATCTTTGGGCTAATAACATTCTTGCCGCTGTTGTCGCATATAAAAACCATGTTTTATCCTGCTTACATGTTTCTCTACTTACTATACCTAATAGGAAAGCTTCTGGTTTGGTTTTTTTTAAAGTATATTTCAACATTTTAAAAAGTGCATTATAATACATTTCCCAGAAAGCTTTCACCTCCTTACAAGACCACCACATATGGTAAAAGGTTCCATCTTTTTCTTTACATTTCCAACATAAATTGTTCTATACATTTTTGCTAATTTCACTGGTGTTGGGTACCATCTATACATCTTTTTCATAACATTTTCTTTAAGCGAACTGCAAGCAGTAAGGGACAGTGCTGTTTTGACAAAGCTGGTTCTGGAAGCAATCTGGTTTCACGTTGCCAGGGAGTGTGTGATGGGAAAACACCTGCGTCTCAAGCTCCCCCCCCCCTTTTAGAAATACTGAGGGGAAGAATAACAACATCATTATACCCTTTGCTTTGGAGAGCTGTGTGTGTGAGAGATGAGTTCAATATAATATATAGTTAATATACATGTGGGAAATGGGGGGGAAGCAGATTTCCCTCTCCATTTTTGTGTGTGATTGTTATTTTCCCAGCCTCGTTATTCTTGAAAACCTCCTCGCCATGTAATACCTGTTCTAGTAAACAAAGCTTTTTCTCAGAATGGATTAATCAGTTCTGTTTTTACGCAGCTGGGTTAAAAAGGACTCGGTCAATTCAAAGTCATAGCCCTGTTTTGCAATTGGGCTAATAGGATCTAATGTAGCAGTTAACAATAACAAATTAATTCTTGCTCTTCTTTGGCAAACACTCATAGCCAAGTAATATTGTCTTCCATAAACACGGTTTTAACAGTGAGTCCGCAAGTGACTGTGGAGGCCAATTCTGGACGCACACATCCTTCCACAGTGGGGACATTGGTTTCTGGGCAGGAGTTGATCATGGAGTGGATTTGCCAAGCGTGCCTTCCTCTTAGCACGTTTCTCCCTTGCGTCCTGAGTTCGAGTGTCTTCAAAGCCCACGACACCTTTGGTAAAGGCTGTTCTCCAGTTGGAGCGCTCGCAGGCCAGTGTTTCCCAGTTGTCAATGTTTATACTACATTTTTAAAGATCTGCCTTAAGTGAGTCTTTAAACCTTTTGTTGACCACCAGCATTTTTAAGTTTGGAATAGCGTAGTTGCTTTGGAAGACGATAATCAGGCATCCAAACATGACCAGTCCAACAAAGTTGATGTTGAAGAATCACTGCTTCGACACTGGTGATCTTTGCTTGCTAGATACACGTGGGCACTAGTCTTGCCTTATACGGTACACTCTCGATAGTGAAAAGGTGCCATCCTTCAGGGGCAGATCCAGGCTGTAATTTAAAGCACCTTCAACACATGACTTCCTGCATTCTTTGAGGGAAGTCATGTGCTTAAAATCTATGGTCTGGATCTGCTCTGGGGCTTGTGGAAAGCTTCCAGGAGACCCAAGCCTTAGCCTTTGCTTCTAATGTTTTTCACAATCCGGCTTCTGAAGAAGTGGTTAGCTCTGACCTCTTCTTTACGAAACCCAAGAGAGCTGCATTCTGTTCTTCCCAACTCTCTCTCAGTAAAAAAGATTTTGTGTCACTGTGGGTTAAACCACAGAGTGTAGGGCTTGCCGATCAGAAGGTCGGTGGTTCGAATCCCCGTGATGCAGTGAGCTCCTGTTGCCTGGTCCCTGCTCCTGCCAATCTAGCAATTCGAAAGCACGTCAAAGTGCAAGTAGATAAATCGGTACGGCTCCGGCGTGAAGGTAAACGGCGTTTCCGTGCTCTGCTCTGGTTCGCCAGAAGCGGCTTAGTCATGCTGGCCACATGACCCGGAAGCTGTTCGCCGGCTCCCTTGGCCAATAAAGCGAGATGAGCGCCACAACCCCAGTCGGTCACGACTGGACCTAACTGTCAGGGGTCCCTTTACCTTATGTTCACGTAAAGGCCACTTTGCCCCTAGACCGAAGCCTGTTTAGACAGACTCTTGTCAAGCCATGCCCCCTCACACCTGTCCTGCTTTGCACTCAGATGTTTCTGCATGGAAGGAGACTTTGAGGTATTGGGACCAGTGCAGGGGGCAGACGCCTCATGACATTTCCATAGCCACAGTTGCGCCCATTCAACCTCCTGGTCTTGGTCCTGGGCTCCCCAGTCACTGGTATACCCTCCCACAAGGGAATAGACGACTCTCAAGTCTGAAAATTTCCCACCACCCCTTGCTGAAGGAGCTAATAAGTGAGAACAAGACACTCTGATATACTTGAATTTCCTTTATTCAAAAAACGTATAAGCTCTAAAAACAACACTATACACTATAAAAATATCCGTTGCCTGCAGGCCCAAGCTTTCCTTTCCAAGCCTGCTCCGGCCCTCAACCATCTTCCTTAATTGGTGTGCAGCCCAAGAAGTAGTTGCCTCTGGTGCTGTGAAGCCTCTTCCTCCCCTTCTTCATGGCTGCTGGCGGTGAGATCTTGCTGGAATCGTCTCCCGGTGCAAATAAGGAAGTGGCAGGCAGAATCTCATTTTTCTCCTCCAGGACCTGGGAGCAGGGAGAGAGAGAAAGGAGACTGCAGTTACAGCCTGAGCTGCAATTTCATTTCACAAGGGGGGGGGGGGGGATTTCCAAACAGGCATGTTTGGGTTCAATGAAGCAGACGGAATTATGTGCACGGATGAAAGGGACATCAGGAAGGGCAGCTTCCTGGAAAAGAAAATTAAATTGTGCCTGCCTCAGGATGGTTGCCCACATCAAAAAGGGAAACACTCCTGCCCTTCAAGAATTCAAGGCTGCAAAGAAACACCCGGTGCCAACACAACAGGCAAGATTAAGGAGTTCAGCAGCGAAGGCTACATCGGATAAGCTGTTTGTGGCATGAACAGGGAAGTACAGATGAGGGGGGCATTTTATTCTCATGTTATTTTCAGGCACTGGGCAAATGCAGACAAGTGTTTACTGAGTGGCAGCTTACCAGGGTGGGCACATAACTGGTTGCTAAGCCAACAGATGAGGAAAAGAGACCTTTTGCCCAGGCATTGATGAACCCAATTTCAATACTATACGTTTTTCATGGGAGTAGCTCAAAACCATTTACCACACAAACCACACACACACACACACACACACACACGTTAAAAACCAAGTACAAAAATATAACAAGAACCTAAAATGCCCATCCATAATAAAATATAATACAAAGAAAATGGCAGACAAATGCAACCCATTCCACTAAAAAGACAAGCAGAGAAAGAGGCCACAAACATATCTAAGTACCCTCTAAATTAAGGGCTGAAAGCCTGGGGGAACAGAAATATTTTTGCCAGGCACCTAAAGGTAGCCGGGGAGAGCATTCCACTGGAGGAGAGGTGGATAAGGACCTCAGATGACTAAAGTAGGGTCCAGATTGCTTCATATGGGGAGAGGCAGTCCCTGAAGTGTTGGGATCCTGACTCATAAGGCTTTACAGATCAAAACCAGCTCTTTGAATTGAGCCTGGAAAGTAGTCAGCAGCCAGAACAGTCGTGCCAAGATTGGTGTTCTCTGCTTGGACTGCCTTGCCCTGGTCAGCAATCTGGCTGCTGAATTCTTCACCAGCTGCAGTTTCCAAATAGCCTTCGTAGGCAGCCCCACATGCAACACGGTCATCTAACCCGGAGGTGACCAAGGACGGACAACAGAAGTTGGGCTAGCCCCTCTTCTCCCCGTTAATATGATTTAAAGTATAATCTGTTTTAAAAAGACATAACCAGTTGGACTAGGCTTACCAAGTGCTTTTACAGACACACACACACACCATGGCCAGTCAGTGACCACGGGGTAAATGGATGTCGCTATGCAGTCATTTCGTTACCCCTTCAAGTGTGCCAGACTATGGGGAACTCTCAGCTCTGCAACCACCCCACAAGTGCCCTTTCCCAGCCCCAAAGCGAAACCAGAGCCATGTTCAAGGCCACCTGCATCTCTGCAATTCTCATACCTTTCTGGTAGGTGCAACAGCTGGCGGCTCAAAGAAGGTGTCTCCTCCGGTTGCCAGAGTAGGATCTTCTGGGTCGAAGCTGTCCTTTGAATCTCCCGCTTGCTCATCAGCAAGCACCCCTTCCTAAGGGGGGAAAAGGCAGGACACACGCTAGCCTGGGCTGCACTTGATACAGTCCAACGCTTGGCATCTGCTCCAACCCATAAAGCTACAGGGACCCGATCCCCACGGAGGGAAGAGTTCAACATGCTCAGGGGCTACCCCAAGCAGTGCCAAAACACCCTTCCATCGGTGCCTTGCTAACCATCACACAAACTCCCTGAGCTGGTCTTAGCATTGAGGGGACGGGAGTCAGGGATTAAGCATGTCAGTTTTTGAATGGGATTAAATCTTAAAATAGAATCAGACAAAAAAAACCCCACCAGTAGACCTGAAGGAGCATCTCCACCCCCATCGTTCTGCCCGGACGCTGAGGTCCAGGCTGAGGGCCTTCTGGTGGTTCCCTCATTGCGAGAAGCAAAGCTACACAGAACCAGGCAGAGGGCTTCTCAGTAGTGGCACCCGCCCTGTGGAATGCCCTCCCATCAGATGTCAAAGAGATAAACAACTACCTGACATTCAGAAGACATCTGAAGGCAGCCCTGTTCAGGGAAGTTTTTAATGTGTGACATTTTAGTGTATTTTTAGTTTTTTGTTATTATTATTAAGCTGTCTCTCTACCAGGGCAATTGCAGCCTAAACAGGAGGAGCGGGGAGGGAACCCCCGCACCTCCAGATGTTGCTGGACTACAACTCCCATCATCCCTGACTATTGGCCATGTTGCAAGAGCTGGTGTGAGTTGGAGTCTAACAACCTGTTTCCCCACTTATGAATTACAGGATGGGAGAATGGAAAGCTGGCCTCAGTGCAAAGTGTCCTTATGCTTAGCAGGCAGCAGAGCATGCATGAAGGGGTTAACTCCCTCTCAGGAGGCAGGCTTATAAAGGTCTGACCCATAAGCATTGATTGGGCTTACCAAAATATGTTCATTTTCTGCAGGGAGTGGAGGGGAATTTGCCACCCATGAATCCCCTCGTCCACTGCAAAGGTGGGGGGAGACTCCTCCCCAGTTGCAGGATAACACACCTCTTAGAGGTTACCTTCTGGGCTATTTATGTGTGGCATCTTGAAAAAAGGCATATAAAACTCTTTGAGCCCCATGCAAAAAGAGCCACCAGCTCAGATTTGAACAACTCCTTCCTGCCAAGAGGCAGAAGATTTCCCTTTGGTCCTGCAGCCTGGAGTTCCAGCCCGATCAATTCCCACCGGCTTTCTCATCTCACTTCCCAGCCTGGTGCAGCAAGCTGGGAAGCCAGGACAAGAGCTGCGCCTGATCTGCCCTCAACTTTAACACGCCCTGCCTGCTGGGAGGTGGAGCAGGCAATTCCAGGGCTGTCCTGCTCCCTCAAAGAGAAAAGGAGCTTTTGCCATGGGTTGCTCACCAAATCATAGTGCTCGCGGTTCCGACACCTCCCGTACTCGCAGCGACAGTCCTCGGAGCAGGCCATCTTTTGCTTACGGCAGCCGCACTTCTTGTTTCCACAGCGGCCTCGGCAGGTGCACTGCAAAGGGAGAGCTCAGTGAGAGAGCAGAAAACACAGGTGGAACAGCCCACAAGTGGCATGTGCCGCCATTGCCAAGGTGGCCCTGCAAGGCCTCTGCTGCTGTATCTGTTTCTGGGACTCAACTCCTTTCAGGTTTGGGGCTCTGAAATAAGAATGGGGCATGTTTGACCCACATAGGTTCTTCCTAGCTGTCAGAGCCAGCATGCATGATGCAGGTTGCCAAGGTGGTGCCCGGGGGCACATATATGCCCATAGAGGCTTTCCCCCAGGATCTCCAACTGCCACTGAAATTAAGCTTGAAATTGATTGCATCTGTTGCAATCAATAGGCTAGGTCACAGTGTGAGCTTAGGGTATGTGTGCGGGGGGGTTTTTTGGGGGGGGGGGACGGGGGGACGGGACAACAGCCTCTCCAGTTTGCAAACGCATCCACAGGTCCTGAAAAGGTTTGGTGGAGCATCTTGACACTCCTTTGCCCCAAGACCGCAAGGCCACCCAAGGCACACTCAGCTCAGCTGTCACAGAATTTTAATTTTTCAATTTAAAGCCATCAACTGTTCCACAAAAGGTGGAGGATTTGCACCAGAAACTTCTTAAGATATTTAGACACATTTGGCTGAACAGTTTTCAATGCGCACATTGCTAGGTTCTACATTGATGGATATCAATGTAGAACCTAGCAATGATCACTGAGGTGGCTTTAATTAATAAATAAGACGATTAGACAAATTTGTGGAGGACAAGGAAATCTATCATCGGTTAGTCATTAAGCTGGATGAATGGAGCCTCCATGCTCAGTGACAGTATATCTCTGAGTATTTTCATTACTGGGATGGGTATCAGAAGAGGGATGATGCCTTTGTGTCCCCACAGGGCAGTGTTGGAAGCAAGACAGCTGAACCTGATGTGCACTTGGGGCTGGTCTACCAGAGCCAATTCTTGCATTGCTCCTCCTGGCCAGATTTCAGGAGGCAGCTTCCTAAACGTCAGCCGTCCTGCTCGATGATCCTACCCCCAGAACGCTCTGCCTGGCTCCTCTGGAAAGCTTGTACGGCACCCACTCTGCATCTTCCATTTCTTTGGCCTCATCCGAGTCAGAAGATGAGTCTTCCTCGTCCATGTCGGCTGGAGGCAGGGAGGTCATTCGCCTGCGAGACTTTGGCTGAAGGGGGGGGACCGGGACCGAATAATAATAATAATAATAATAATAAATTTTTATTTATATCCCGCCCTCCCCAGCCGAAGCCGGGCTCAGGGCGGCTAACAACAATAAAATACAACATTCTAAAATCATTTCATTATAAAATTAATTCAAATCAAATTGATGGCAACCATTGGGCTAGAGTTCTGTGGGGATTGCCAAAGGAGGGAGTCAGGCTGTGCCCTGGCCAAAGGCCTGATGGAACAGCTCTGTCTTGCAGGCCCTGCAGAAAGATGTCAAGTCCCGCAGGGCCCTAGTCTCTTGTGACAGAGCGTTCCACCAGATTGGAGCCACAGCCGAGAAAGCCCTGGCTCTGGCTGAGGCCAGCCTAACCTCCCTCCCAGGCCCGGGACCTCCAAGATGTTTTTGTTTGAAGACCGTAAGTTCCTCTGTGGGACATACCAGGAGAGGCAGTCCCATAGGTACGCGGGTCCTAGGCCGTATATGGCTTTGAAGGTTAAAGCCAGCACCTTCAACCTGACCCTGTACTCCACTGGGAGCCAGTGCAGCTGGTATAGCACCGGGTGAATGTGATCTCACAGCGAAGACCCCATAAGGAGATCCTTCTTACTGGAGTTTCTGGGTCAGTCAGAAGAAGACAAGCTCACCATTTCTGCTTCATTCAAGTTATGGAACAAAGGCAGCCGCACAAAAAATGATCAGGCCAGGTTGGCTGCAGCTGATGGAAGTTGGAACTCAAAGCCCACCTGGTCGAGGTTAGCGATTTTCTCAAGCAATGTAATTTGGGGCACTATTTGGGGATCAGAGACGAGCCTTTTTACTTATTTGCTGCATTCCTATCTCAATCTTTCCTCCAAGGAGATGTACATGGTCCTGCCCCCTCCTCATTTAATCCCCACAACAACCCTGCGAGGTAGTTCAGGCTGAGAGCCAGGGACTGATATTCAAGGACACCCAGTGAGCTTCACGGCTGAGTTGGAATTTGAACCCTGGTCTCCCAGGTCCTGGTCTGACACCCTAACCATTAAACCACGCTGCCATGAACATTAAGGCAGCCACTAAGAGCTGTAATGTATTTTGACTTGTGCTTCTAATCCATACAGAGGTACCTCAGGTTACATACGCTTCAGGTTACATACGCTTCAGGTTACAGACTCCGCTAACCCAGAAATAGTGCTTCAGGTTAAGAACTTTGCTTCTGGATGAGAACAGAAATCCTGCTCCGGCGGTGCGGTAGCAGCGGGAGGCCCCATTAGCTAAAGTGGTGCTTCAGGTTAAGAACAGTTTCAGGTTAACTACGAACCTCCGGAACAAATTAAGTGCCGTATTTTTTGCTCTATAAGACTCATTTTTTCCCTCCTAAAAAGTAAAGGGAAATGTGTGTGCGTCTTATGGAGCGAATGCAGGCTGTGCAGCTATTCCAGAAGCCAGAACAGCAAGAGGGATTGCTGGTTTCACTGCGCAGCGATCCCTCTTGCTGTTCTGGCTTCTGAGATTCAGAACATTTTTTTTCTTGTTTTCCTCCTCCAAAAACTAGGTGCGTCTTGTGGTCTGGTGCGTCTTATAGAGCGAAAAATACGGTACTTAACCCGAGGTACCACTGTACCCAGCTTTATCTTTCAGGTGATGGGATGGAACAGCCATACAAACAAGCTCTGTCGCACGCAGACACCCTGCCTTGATTCTCCGCTCCACCCCACCGGAAGGACACACACCTTGGGTGGAATGTATTCGAAGGGGGACTCCGGGGTGCCTGCTGCAGGGGCCGGCTGGCCATTGCAGATCCTCTGGCCACTGACAGCTTGAAAAACTCTGAGTTTCTGTTAGGAAGAAAGGGAGGAGTGTGAGGTTCACTGAGTGGCAGGAGCAAAGTCAGCTCCTCTAATAGCAGCCGCTGTTGTCACTCCCAGACCTACCTGTCTGAGAGTTTCAATCTCTTCTTGGTGCTCCTGGTTCTTTTCAAAAACCTCCCTCATCTTGGCCAGCTCTTCTTCCTGTCCACAGTAAAGAAGGCAAAAGGCTCTTATGGTCTCATCTTCAGCTGCAAAGAAACCCACGCGTTGCGGTGTTTGAACACCTAGGATTTGTGCAATCCTTGCCTTCTAAAGATTTGAAGAGGGCTACTAAGAATGAGGTGGGACGTGGGTGGCGCTGTGGGTTAAACCACAGAGCCTAGGACTTGCCGATCAGAAGGTCAGCAGTTTGAATCCCCGCGATGGGGTGAGCTCCCGTTGCTCGGTCCCAGCTCCTGCCCACTTAGCAGTTCGAAAGCACGTCAAAGTGCAAGTAGATAAATAGGTACCGCTGTGGCAGGAAGGTAAACGGTGTTTCCGTGTGCTGCTCTGGTTCGCCAGAGGCGGCTTAGTCATGCTGGCCACATGACCCGGAAGCTCCCTCAGCCAATAAAGCGAGATGAGCGCCGCAACCCCAGAGTCGGTCACGACTGGACCTAATGGTCAGGGGTCCCTTTACCTTTTACCTTACTAAGAATGAAAGAATGCTCGATATTTCCCCCAGCTCTGATTTTTAAAAATTATTATTTTAAGGATAGAGCTTTGAGTGCCATCACTTGAAGTTCCAATTTCTGGCCTACAGGATACGCTGGTTGATTTAGAGACTCCCCACACACCACACCACATTTTCTCCCTCCCTCCCAGCAACACCACAATCCACCCAGTCACACACACAGCCCCTTCAAAACTTATTTAAATGACCAGAGCTAGCATTGCTTTGCGTGTTTTGAGAAACAGAAAAATGTGGAAGAACAACTACAGTATTTATTAGCATAGCCTTCAAAAATGAGGGAGAGCAGAGAAGACACTTTGGTTACAAAGCCAGTGGATGATAAAGCAGAGATCGACAAGATGAGCCTCAAGAGTAGCGGTCTGAGCCAAAATCAAGCAGCCTCATTCAGTGACACAATGCCAGCACCACAAGCCTTGTTGCTTGGATACGGGATTCCTTCCCACCAGCAAAGGGAACAGCTGGAATGGTTGGATGGCAAACACGGCTGCCTTTGAGGGGGCAGGAGCAACCATGCCTAAGAGACACAGCAGCTTATACCTGGAACTTGATGCGCTCGAGTTGCTGCTGCTCCCGTTCTGAAATGGAAGTCTCCAGCTTCTTCTCTGCTTCTTCTTTGTGCTGTATCTGGCTGAGGAGATAGAGTACCTGGGGATGGGTGGAAGAGAGATGTGGATGGGTAGAGACCTTGGGTCAGAGGCGGCACAGTCTGAAGGGAGGCTATACTTTCCGTATAACTCGCATTATGGCAGCCAAAGTCTTGAGTTGGCTAAACCACAAATGTGTGGGATAACCAGCCTCATATAACCAACATGATTAAGTCTAACTAACGCATGAAGGGGTTAAGCTTAGCTCACCTTGGGAGGGATTAGGTAATTAAGCCTTTGTTCTCTCTCCCAGTCTACCAAAGAAGCTCAATGTATGACACCTGAGCTGGTTACTGCAGCTCAGAACTCATGGCTCTTACAAGCCACTCTTGAGTTACTATAGTAATAATCTAGGAACTTTCACCACTGTAACTAAGCCAAGTTTTATCGCCTGTGTTTTCTGACTGATATATGGAAAACCACATGAACCTGACCTTTGAAGAGTTTGTAAGTAAACTAATTTTTAACTTAACAAATGTGTGGTATTTCTTTATGCTAGGGGAAGAGGGGAACTTTAGAAGAAACCCACAAGGGCATACCTCCTCTATTTCCATGCTTTATTTTGCTGCATGTTTTGTGATTTTAATCTCTGTTGGGGGTTCTCTCATCAAAGAATACATGACCCAAACCTGGATCTGGGGGCATTCTAGTGGGTGGTGCCAAGCTAATTAGTTCTAATTCTCTTCCCATCCACCTTCATACTGAGTTCTACAAGGGGCAACACTGAGAATGAAGAGGAAGCTGGCAGGCAGACAGGGCCACCCTCTGGACTGGTTGTAAGTTAAGGCAGGCAGGCGGGCAGGATGGGGTTGTCTGACGGTAGTTCATGGACCAGCGTTCAATCTCAGCATTTGCCACCAGATCACCCACGTTTTCTAGCCACTGAGCAACACAGAGTTCTAAACACTGAAAGAACTTGGAGCACCCCAAGCCTGCAAACTTTACTGAGAAGGCAGCAACTGAATTGCCCTTTCTCTGCTGCTATTGACCGCTGGCACTGCAGTTCTCCATAAGGGCACTTCCAGGGATCCCATTCACAGCCACCTCTCCACTAACATGAGGTTGGACTAAGCCAAATTCATAGGTGTGGGTAGAGGGTCCTTAACCTGGAAATCAGGTTAAATGTACCAGCAGCAAAGCCTGGTTAGGACTACTCTAGAAAACCTGGAGTAGGTATAGACTGGGTGATCAACTGCTCAGAATGGGATTTTGGGATGGGCGCAGTTTTTGTAGCTGCTGCAGAATTAGGTGGTTTTGGGGGGTGGGGGTGGGGGTGGCAGGTGATACCTTTTCTTGATGCTGCTGCTCCTTCTGGACCAGCTGACTCTCGTGCTCCGCTTCCATTTCTGCCACAACCTTTCGCTCTTCGAGAAGCATTTTATGCATGTCGGCACATGTGGTTTTGGTCTGCTGCAAACGGTTCTCCAGTTTCCCATTCTCCACTTTTGAGGAGACCAGCTTTGAAATATACACGCACGGGGGGTAGGAGGTGGAGAAAGAGAGAGAACACAATATTAAAAGGTGTAATGCTGAAGAATTTGCATCTAGGACCAAGGGCCTTCCGGCAGTTCCCTCACTGCAAAAAGTCAAGTTGCAGAGAGACTTCTCGGTGGAATACCCTCCCGTCACATTTCAAGGAGATAAATAACTATACATCTGAAGACATTTAAAGGCAGCCCCGTATATGGAAGTTTTTAATGTTTGATTGTGCTTCTATAATTGTTGGGAGCTGCCCAGAGTGGCTAGGGCAACCCAGTCAGGTGGGCGGGGTACAAATAATAAAAATATTATCTTGCCAACTGGCATCATTGTGCTCATTCAGTACAGGAAAGGTACAGAACTATCTTTGAGAAAGGGTTGAGCTGTCAAGCAACAGAAGCTAGGAGGGCTGCCCCCTTTAGCCCACGAGGGGTCACTGCCACTGTGTCACTGCCCCTTCCACCCCCCAGGCCTCTTATTTGTTCTAGAGGCTCAAATCCCTGGTTCCATTCCAGAGCCGCCTGCCTCTTCGTTCCCGCCCGCCTCCTCGGCTGCCACTCAAGCTTACTTCGCCAATCAGGTATTTGATGGCACACTTGGCTTCTGCAAGGTTGGTGATACTCTCCCAGCGCTGCTTGGTGCGGTCGCCGGCGTCTGCGTCCAGCAGTTTCTGCTGCAGGTCAGCAATCTGGGCGCTCCTTGGGAAGAAGAAGCCACCGCATGAATTCGCATCGGATTTACCAAAAGAGAAGATCGTTTGGGGAACTTGGGCAATTTGGCCCCTGCTTGTGTAGGAGGAACTGTGACCAGAGCATCAGCGGCAGCCCTGGGTGAATACGCAGTTGCTTAGGCTGCCAGGCTGGGTTTAATTTACTAAGAGACCTGCTGTGGTCCAGAGATGATGCAGCAGAGTGGCAGATAGATGACTGGAGGACTGAGAGGGAAACTTCAGCACCTCCCGAATCTGCCACCTCTTACCCCCTTTCCACAGGAAACAGCCACAATAAGCTTTCCCAGATGCTTTCAAAACAAGAAGATGAATGTTACACAGCAACAGAAGATTGAAGAATCGTAGAACTGTAGAGTTGGAAGGGACCCCAAGCGTCATCTAGTCCACCCCCCTGCAATGCATAGTTAGAACTATGGAATTTGCAACCATGAGATGATGAACGCTAGAGCTCAGACAGCCTTAAAAGGGGGTTAGAAAATCAATGGAGCCAATAGGTACTAGTCAATCAAGGTTATATACCGGAGGCAGTATGCCTCTAAATTTCTAACCAGGCTAGATTAGCCTCCAGCTGGAGGAGATTTTCTTACACTCTTTGTTGTGCTTTGCTTCTTCTGAGACTTGAAAACACCCCATACCTGAGCTCCATCTCTGTTTCGAGGCTCTCTACTTGCTTGGCGATGGAATGCTCCATTTCCGCAGCTTTATGGGAAAACGTGCGCCTCTGGAAAAGGAGGATGGGAACGGAATCAGAAAATAAGCAGAGCACAGGGAGAGGAGCTCCCTCCCCATGGAGATGGGGTGGGACTCAGTTCAGAAGATGCGGCAGTTTAACTCTAAGAGAAGCAGCAGTAGCTATTTCCAGCAGGGCAAGACTTTGATTTTCCCCTCTGGAAGAGGATCTGCCGTGGTGGGGAAGCAGAACCAGCTTCTGGAAGATCTCCTGTCCCCAGTGCAGAATGAGAGAACGCACCCTTTACAGCAGGGGTGGAAAATCTGGGGGCCAAAGGCAGCCCCAAGCCTTTCGGGGGTCTCCTTCTCCCCCACTCCCATTGCACCTGCTGGAGTGTTCTGCCTAGGTAAAATGTCTGTGTGAGCACTGAAAATGCCTGGATGGAGGATCAAGAGGGCTGCACAAGTAAGAGTAGAAATTAGCTTCACTCCGCAAAGGCAAAATTCACACTCGTTGCTCCACCCATTTTTGCCTGTGGCCCTGCCCACTACAGGCAGAAGCCTATTTCCTGCATCAGAAGACCCCAACGTCAAAGAGAAAGTGGAGAGAACACACGGTCCCTTCCTTCCCCCTTTCCGCTGCAGCCTGCATCACTGCCCACCTTGTACTTTGACGGGAGGTTCTCCCCAGCATCTCGCTTCTCTTTAAGCGAGGCAATCTCCTTCGCCAAGGTCTTCCGGTCCTCCAGGAGGTCGTTGAGGTGACGCTGAGCCTCTTCGATGCTAACAAGGACCTCCACTTCGTTCGCGAGCCAGCTCTGCGCAAGATGGAAGCTGGTTACGACAGAGGGTCGGCGGAAAGGTGGCCAGAACCCACCCCATGGTGCCTGCAAGCCAACTTTGCCTCTCCCCTGGACTAAGCCATTTGAGCCACTGTGAATCTGCCCTAAGCAGAAACAAGGAGAGCTACGGCCCCTACCTTCACCCGAGCAGCAACTCCCTCAATCCCGCGGTTGACGTTCTCTTTTCGCTTATTGGTAGCCTCTTGCTGTTTCTGGAGAGCATCCTTTAAGCGCTTGTTGGCAGCAGCGGCCTGTGAGAGAGGGGTGGAGGCTGGTGTGTTGAAACAGGACCCAAGGCACAAACTTTCAAAATCCCTTGCTTGGCAATGAAACTCACTGGGTGACCTTAGGACAGCCACTCTCCAAAGCTAGCCTCCCCCTGGGATTTTAGGAGGATGAAGAGCTGGAGGTTGCTCTATAGGGGGCTGCTATAGCCCAAGGGTCAGATCAAGAGCTGGCCAACCCCCCACAGGCCATTTTCAACAGGAATGGAACAAATTCAAAGGGGCTCCCTATAGGCACTTATCAGTTGACCAGTGCTGACAGAGAGTCCATTTGAACTTGTCCATTTGCAGATCCAAAGCTGATTGCAAAAGCGGGGAGGATGTACTTCTGTAAGGACAGCTTGCATCCAAACCATGCCTGTAGCGTCTTCGAAAAGGGCTCACTGTCAGCAAACCCAGCTAGCCAAGGAGCAACTGGGAGCACAATTTAAGCTCCCGATTGTTCCTTCTTTGTCTGCCTCACCCGACATCACTTATGACTTCAGGTGTGAGGCAGGTGGGTGCGGTTTGGGGGAATCGGCCCTGCGACCCACAGCCAGAGGTTTCCTACCTCTGCCTCAGAAGGGTGGGATAAAAATGTAACCATCAATGCGCTCCAAGAAGAGATTTGATGTTCTCCTACTCAAAAATGAGGATTTTCACAGGCTTTGAAGTTGGTATTCTAAGAACTCTTTGCTTTAAAATAAAGAGCCTCAGCCAGCATGGCTGACGAGGACAAACGGAGAATCAAAAATGTGTAAGCAAGTACTTAGAATCATAGAATTGTAGAGTTGGAAGGGATCCCAAGGGCCAACCAGTCCAACCCCCTGCAATGCAGGACTGAGGTTAACTCATTGAAGATTACAAGAAAGCTGTTACCTATCCTCTAGTTACTATGCCATTGACCTCCGATCTATGCTAGGCTTTCCAGCAAAGTTAGTGTCTTAAACCAGGACAGGAGAACCACCTGTGGCTCTCCAGTTCTTGTTGAATACAACTCTCATTACCCCCTGACGGTTGGCCAGGCTGGCTGTTGGGAGTCAGAGGCTGACCATGTTTGGAAGGCCACCGGTTCTCCAGCCCTGGTTTAAACTATGAATCCTAGAGGCAAAATTAAGTCAAGCATACTCCATTTAACACCACATATTCCAGACTCTCTACACAATCAGAGGGAGGGAAGAGCTTTGTACACTATTCCCCCACTTCTGATTTACTGAATCAGGGAATTCTAACCTTGGGACCTGTCCCTTGTCTCTCTACCCAAAGCATTCAAAGTCTCAGCCTGTCTAATCTCTGTAGATTATTTTAAAAACAGTGGTGCTTCACCAGGCGGAAGATATTGCTGTCCAAGGCCACTCACCTCCTCTGCTTTTCGCCGGAGGACAGTGGCTTGCTTTTGGAAGTCTTGCTCTAGTTTGACAAGTTCATACTGCCTCTTGCGATCCTGAAAGACAAAGAGTCAAAATGGCTGACCTTTCAACAACCAAGCAGGACAGTGATTTGTGGTCTGCACTCAAACTTAGCAAGTCTTGTGACCCACTTTTATAGAGGCATTAAACCCACCTGTATTCTAGAGACCTCATCAAGTAATTTGAAATGCTTGGAAAACAGAACCCAGGACAATTCAAATTCCTGGTGTCTCAAGGAAGACTAGAGAGCCACAGCCAAACAGTTTAGATTACACTGAACTAGGCCAATGGTATTACTTATTATAAGGAACACAGAAAGCAGCAGCTTAAGCGATAATACTGGAAGTTATTTAGGTCATTTTTTGTGTGTGGCGGGGGGGGGGAGATTTGCATGTATGGAGTGGAGTGGATGTGCATGTATGGAAACTGGAGTGGAATGGTAGCAAACTTGTCCAAGAGAACTGGCTAATGATTTAGGGCAAGATCAAAGGTCTGCTTTAATGGCAGAAATGTTTGGCTGGCTGGACCCTGGTGAATCATGAGAAACAGAAGGCTTGGCAAGACTTTAGTCAAGTTGAGATCATGCAGCAGGATGAAGGCCGCTCGTTAGTGACTCCAACTGACCTTCATGAGGCTGCTGGTACAGATAAGGTTCACGAATATGTCCTTCCTCCAAAGCAATTAACGAAAAATAAAACAACTCTTTTAAAGGAGTTTGCTCCTGAAAGTCAATTAAACAACTAAATCTTAGGGAGAAAGGAGTGAATCAGAAGACAGGAGAATTTGGAGGGATCAAAGAGAGACAGTATCTTGGTGCCAGCGCCTACCAGGTCTTTGCTTATTCTTATTTAGCCACAAGTTTTGCTAATAGAGTTCTGTCTGTTCTGTGGCTTTTGGAGTCCAGTTTGCCTTCCCTTTGAGAGCAGAAGGGATTTCTTGCTTGCCTGTCCTTCAATTTTGGAAGCTGCTTTTGGCTATTTTATCCAAGTCTTTTATCCGAGTCAGACTGAGTCCAACGGTGGTTAGATTCCAGCTCCAGGGTCAGAGGCTGTCTGCCTACAATCACAAGCTGGGAGAGTACCATTGCATTCAGCTTCTCCATGTGGGCTTCCCCATGGAACATCTGGCTGGCCACTGGGTGAGAACACCCAGCGGCTGCAGGGCTTTTCTGGTACAGTTCAGTGCTGACGCTCGACTCACCCGTGCCTTCAGCTGGATGACTTCCTTGTCTTTCTGTTGCCTCCACTGCTTAAACTTCTCAGAGTCCTCTTTCATTTGACGTATCAGCTGAACACGTTGACTCTTCATCGCCTGAAGGGGGAACAAAGGAGGAGGAGGAGGAGGAGGAAAGGCCTTGGGTGAGAATCTGCCTAGCAGGTGTATCCAAGGCTCCCAACTCCCATTGGCCTCAGCACAGTCAAAGGTCAGGGATGATAGGGGAAGTTTGACGTCTTGAGGGAACCGCATTGCCTATCGCTGAGATGCCCAGATTCTTAGAAACCTTGAAATTTTTTGGAGCATGCAGCTTGGAGGACTTCAGGAAATCAGCTCGACTGATAAAAGCTTTTGGCACGGACTGGGGAGTTTAAATTCTCCAAATCCTTAGTTTCTTTCGCACAGCCTTGATAACTTCCCAAGAATCCCATTCAAAATTTCTTGGTTTTTCTAGCTCTCATGACTGAAAAAGCAAGCATTCAAACTTAAACAAGTTGCTGTTGCTTTTAAACAGTAGCTGAGAAACATAATGGCAGTCAGGGTAAGAATGAACTACTTTCCCAAGATTATAAAAAATACACACATCTCAAGTGCCAGTTATACAGTTACAGTGTCCATCAAACATAAACCAATAAAATGCCAACCTTGTCGGCTATCCACACCACAAACCCCATTATCTTTCTTATTGTACCCTCTGGGTGTTACGTTTCCGAGCACAATTCAAAATGTTGGTGCTGACCTTTAAAGCCCTAAATGGCCTCAAAGGCCCAGTAGACCTGAAGGAGCGTCTCCACCCCCATCGTTCTGCCTGGACACTGAGGCCCAGCTCCAAGGGCCTTCTGGCAGTTCCCTCCCTGCGAGAAGCCAAGTTACAGGGAACCAGGCAGAGGGCCTTCTCGGTAGTGGCACCCACCCTGTGGAATGCTCTCCCATCAGATGTCAAGGAAATTAGCAACTCTGACTTTTAGAAGACATCTGAAGGCAGCCCTGTTCAGGGAAGTTTTTAATGTTTGATGTTTTGTCACTTTTTTATTATTAATAATATTCTGTTGGGAGCCATCCAGTGTGGCTGGGGAAACCCAGCCAGATGAGCAGGGTATAAATAACAATTTATTTATTTATTTTTATTACTACTACTACTACTACTACTACTATTATTACATACCCGGATCTCCTGGTTCAGTTTGCACACTGTCTGCTCATTGGATTCTTTCATCTTCAGGAGCTTCGACTGCTCCTTCAGCTTCTTCTTCAGATCTGCCATTTCCCCTTCCAGCTCCTGAAGCCGCTTCCTGCGCCGTTCGCTGAGTCTGAAATGAACACCGCAGCCCTGTAGTCATGAAGTCAACAACCTTCCCCTCTCAAACCTCCCGATTAGGTGCCTCTTACTTTGCTTGGCTGACATCCTTCTTTGTCATATGAATGCCAAGGACCAGGTCTTCTTTTTCCTTCTGCAGTTTGGCCACCTCCATTTCCAGGTCCTTGATGCTGGTCTTGATTTAAACACACATACATACATTTTTTCAGCACCCCACCAAAAGCAGCCCCTCCAGCTACAGCTGTTTCTTTCCAACAGGCCACATCTCCACTTAAGAAAAGGAGAGGCTGCCCTCCTGTGGCTTGCTAGGCACCCAGTCAAGCAGCCCACTGTGTGTATAGATGCTCACTCCTTCCTGGTCAGCTGCTGTTACCTGGTATTGGCATTGTATGGGCTCCAGCTGGCTGTCGTTCTGAGACATCTTCCTTGCCAAGGCCTCCTTCAGAGCCAGGGCTTTGTTGAGCTCAAGCAACTCTTTGGACATCTGAGCTTGGTGGAGAGCGTGCCGAGTGGCGTACTCATCAGAGGACCCTTGAGCATCCAGGTCACCTTCTGACACCTAGGGGGGAGAGAGGCAAAGGTTTAACTAACATCTGGATTTTTAAAAAAAATGTTTTATGTGCTTTGCTTTTCTACAATCTTATGTGCATACCAATTAGAGAGCTATTTGATTAAGTGGTCCCTAAAATCTTCTAAATATGGAATAACTGATTGGTTCAAAATTGGGAAAGGAGTACGACAAGGCTGTATATTGTCTCCCTGCTTATTTAACTTATATGCAGAATTCATCATGCGAAAGGCTGGGCTGGATGAATCCCAAGCCGGAATTAAGATTGCCGGAAGAAATATCAACAACCTCAGATATGCAGATGACACAGTCTTGATGACAGAAAGTGAGGAGGAACTAAAGAACCTTTTAATGAGGGTGAAAGAGGAGAGTGCAAAATATGGTCTGAAGCTCAACATCAAAAAAACAAAGATCATGGCCACTGGTCCCATCACCTCCTGGCAAATAGAAGGGGAAGAAATGGAGGCAGTGAGAGATTTTACTTTCTTGGGCTCCATGATCACTGCAGATCATAGAATCATAGAATCATAGAGTTGGAATAGACCACAAGGGCCATCGAGTCCAACCTCCTGCCAAGCAGGAATGGCGACAGCAGTCACGAAATTAAAAGACACCTGCTTCTTGGGAGGAAAGCAATGACAAACCTAGACAGCATCCTAAAAAGCAGAGACATCACCTTGCCGACAAAGGTCCGTATAGTTCAAGCTATGGTTTTCCCAGTAGTGATATATGGAAGTGAGAGCTGGACCATAAAGAAGGCTGATCGCCAAAGAATTGATGCTTTTGAATTATGGTGTTGGAGGAGACTCTTGAGAGTCCCACGGACTGCAAGAAGATCAAACCTCTCCATTCTGAAGGAAATCAGCCCTGAGTGCTCACTGGAAGGACAGATCCTGAAGCTGAGGCTCCAAGACTTTGGCCACCTCATGAGAAGACAAGACTCCCTGGAAAAGACCCTGATGTTGGGAAAGATTGAGGGCACAAGGAGAAGGGGACAACAGAGGACAATATGGTTTGACAGTGTTCTCGAAGCTACCAGCATGAGTTTGACCAAACTGCGGGAGGCAGTGGAAGACAGAAGTGCCTGGCGTGCTCTGGTCCAGGTGGTCATGAAGAGTCGGACACGACTAAACGACCAAACAACAACAACAGCAACAAAATAATCTTCTAAATAAAGGTGTTGCTTCCATCAGTCCCTTATTGTAGCTGGGGTCCTGTTGCCAAGAAACCTCTAGCTATACATTGAAAAGTACACACAGGATTCGCATCAAGTCAGGAGGCCTCTTACTTACAGCGCTGGAGTCTTGATCAGATGTGTCCATGTCCGTAACGCCAGCAGGGGTTTCACTCTGCAGAGAACACACAAGGTTTGCCTGGCGCCACAAGACAGTCCTATGGTCTGCCAAATGCTCTGTGCAGTTTGAAATGTTACATGCTGCAAACACCAGCAAGATCTCACCCCAAACAAAAAGGAGCTGCTTGGTCTACTTTTGAACTTCTCTGGAAGCCACCAACACAGAATGTCTTGAATGCTTCTTGCTTATTCCCCAAATTTGGGAAAGGCAGCAGAAGCAGCGGGTTCCATCAACCATGAAACGTCCTCGTGTCCCCAAAGGGATCCTTACCAGAAACTGGGCGATTACTTGCTGCAGGTGGCGAATTAGTTCCACGTGCTCTTTCAGTTCTTGATCCTCCAGAGCCTCCATCAGCTTCTGCAGGTCGAGTTTCAGCCTGAAATCCAGTCACACAAGAACTTACTCACGAGTTGGTGTTAGTTTTATGCCATGCAGATGCTTGATTGAATAGACTCATCCTGCTCTAACTGACCTACACGTGGATTATTTATTTATTCCTCCTACCTCATAATACAACACCTGTTTTTACTTTTGCTGCCCATAAAGGTAAAGGTAAAGGGACCCCTGACCATTAGGCCCAGTCGTGACCGACTCTGGGGTTGCGGCGCTCATCTTGCTTTGTTGGCCGTGGGAGCCGGCGTACAGCTTCCGGGTCGTGTGGCCAGCATGACTAAGCCGCTTTTGGCAAACCAGAGCAGCACACGAAAACGCTGTTTACCTTCCCGCTGGAGCGGTACCTATTTATCTACTTGCACTTTGATGTGCTTTCGAACTGTTGGAAGGAGCAGGGACTGAGCAACGGGAGCTCACCCCGTCGCGGGGATTCGAACCGTTGACCTTCTGATCGGCAAGTCCTAGGCTCTGTGGTTTAACCCACAGCGCCACCCACGTCCCATACTCATGCCCAAAAGTGCCCTTTCAAAGCAGCCCACCAGTCTCACTTCCTGTATTTTAGACATAGCCAGTCCCATGAGCAATCGGTCTGCATTTTGAACAGCTAAGAGCGTGCACAGAGAACAACTACTTACGCATCATGTTTCTGGAGCTCTTCCACCTTTGTGCTGATCTTTTCGTTCTGCTGCTCCGTCTGCAGAAAGTGGGAAGCAGGTTGTGCGTCATGGGATAGTTTTGAATTAAACCAAAGGATGTGACTACAACCCCATCGTCCTCAACCACTAGCAATGCTGGCAGGGCATGATGGGAGATGGGAGTCGAGAAACCTCTGGAGGGCACCAGGTTGAAAACAGCTGGCTTAGGAGGTGGTGGCCAGGTGGCGTATTTGGCCCCTAGGTGGTTGCAGTTCAGAGTTGGGCTCAGTCAACTAAATCTATTATTGTTTAGTTTGTTGCATTGGTATCCCATTTTTTTCTCCAAGGAGCTCAAGGTGGCATACATGGTTCTGCCCTCATTTAATCCCCCAAACAGTCCTGTGAGGTAGATTTGGCTAAGAGGCAGTGGCTGGCCCCCAAGGTCACCCACTGAACTTCATGGCTGAGTGAGGATTTGAACCTTGGTCTCCTAGGTCCTAGTCTGACACTCTAACCCAGGCTTCCTCAAACTCGGCCTCCAGGTGTTTTTGGCCTACAACTCCCATGATCCCCAGCTAACAGGACCAGTGTTCAGGGATGATGGGAATTGTAGTCTCAAAACATCTGGAGGGCCGAGTTTGAGGAAGCCTTATCCAACCACTACACCACACTGATTTAAGCAGTAATAAGTGTGGGTCTAACTCTGAGTAGATCTCACGTTACAATATGTTCCAGTGAGTACAGGCAGAGACCATTTTAGGCATGTGCAAATGCACCCGAAGAGGGAAGAACAGGGGCCAGGAACGGGACCCCCACACAAAATGGTCGTCACCTGTACAGTGGTCCTTCGGGTTAAGTACTTAATTCGTTCCGGAGGTCAGTTCTTAACCTGAAACTGTTCTTAACCTGAAGCACCACTTTAGCTAATGGGGCCTCCTGCTGCCACCGTGCCGCCAGAGCACGATTTCTGTTCTCATCCTGAAGCAACGTTCTTAACCCAAGGTACTACTTCTGGGTTAGCGGAGTCTGTAACCTGAAACGTATGTAACCCGAGGTACCACTGTACATAAAAACCAGCCAGGAATTTCAATAATCACTCACACCACTGCATTTAAAAAATAATTCCTAAACTCTTAAATGAAGTCACAAGACTGCATTTTTGCCAACAGAATAGCCCTCTTTCTGAACTCACTGATGGGAAGTCATGCCTATGCCACAAAAAGGTGTCACCGCCACCAGCCACCCCACCCCCCAAATATCTGAGGCCTTACCACAATGATTCTTTCCAGCATCTGGGCAAGCTGGCCTGCTGCTTCACTGAGGCCGCGGCTTAGTTTTTCATTTTCCTCCGCGAGGGAGTGATTTTTCTCCATCAGAGATTGCAGGTTTTCCGAGGGCTCACCACTGGAAGTTTAAGCAGGAAGCATTTATTTATTTAACGAAATTCATATACCGCTCAGTTGTAATAGCGCCTCTAAGTGGTTTATTGGCTAGTCATCTGCCTGCATCCGGCACACTAAGGAAGATTTATCTCATTCAAGAAGAAAAAAAAGAGCCCAGATTCCTGGAAGGGCGAGTTAAAAGTAAATCCAAGGAAGGACAAGGCTACACTGCTAGAAAAAGTATATTAAATATGAGTTAAAGATTATTTCATGTCACAGAAGAACACACTAGAAGTTTTCTCCTCCATTATTCTCAAAACTGCAGAATAACCCCCTTCCGGGCAGTGCATAAACAGGATTGCCGTGGGGGTTCAGAAATTGCCACCTTGCCACTTGGCAGAATATCTTCAGAGAGTGGGCTCTGCCCAGGCTTTAGACACACTTGGAAATAATCATCTCTCTGCTTTCCATGCATTTCCAAATCAAAGCAGCGCAGCTGCAGGCATTTTCTATATTGACTGTTTGCTTAAAACTTTTCTATGTCTTCAGGCTTACGCAGAACATTAAGAAAAACACTTTCTGTAACTGTTAGTTTGTGGTGTTCAATTTTAAATCTTTGTGTCACTTTTATTGCACGCACACACACATATATAAGCTGTAAGCTGCTTTGAATTTTTTTAATGAAATTGCAGCATAGATGTATTTTTTAATAGAAAACAAGCAAAAGGCTTGCTCCCAGCCCCAAACTGGAAGGGAGCTGAGATTCTTGTCCCCAGATTTGCACTAGGACTTTAAAGCATTTCTGGTGCCTCTAAATGGCACAATGACATCAGAGGAATGAAACACACACACACCCTGCCTAATCCTACCTGCTCAGACGGGCAGGATGTTAGACAAGTGCAAATTTGGGTTGGCTAACTAAGACAGTCCTTTTCATGTAGTTCTGTGGGTACAGCACTGTGTGTTTTCTATGAAAGAGGGGGAGCCTTGCATGGAAAATGGACCACTCAAATCACCCCAATGGGACAGCATTAAGTGCAGGCAAATAAAACAAAGAAGAAAAAGAAAAAAGTATGGGCCAACTTACAAGGAGCCACAGAAGAGGGAAGGCTTGCAGTGGCTCAGGAAGAGCAGGTTTTCAGGCATGTTTTTAGGGAATGGGGTTTTGACAGAAAGCAAGATGCAAAGCAGGCTTGAAGCAAGAGGAAGAATAAGAGGAGCTTGAGAAAGACAGAAAAGGCAGCAGCACCAGACCTGGATTTGTATCCAGAATTCTGTTAATTTGATTTGTATGCTTAAGAAGGAGTGACACATCCTGCAGTCAAAAAATTCAAAGTCAAGCAGCATTTGGATGTTTAGTCTTGGCAACGTATTAACTTTCAATGCTCTCTTAAACAGGGCAGCGGTTTTCCAAGTGCATCTCATCAATTCATGCCTTGAGGCCAGACAAAGCTTTGCCAATTATGTTTGCAGAGATCGCTGCACCAGTGCCTTTGTTGGTCAGGTCTGCAGTAATGAACGTTTATGAAAAAGTACAGGTTGCCTTTAGCACTGAAGAGTGAGTGTCACATGTGTTGTTGGCCAGCAGTCCTCACCCAATAGACACAGGAAGCGTCCCTCCGTGAGCCTGCAGCAGTAAGACCTGCAGCTGTTGAACCTGAAGGAGAGAAAATGGCTACTTTTAACTGTTTCTCACCCATCAGAAAATTCAGCCTGTGGTTCTGTGGCAGCTCTTTCAAGTAAGCATCAATACTGGCCTGCATCTTCGGCTCACAACCCCACCACCACCCACATCTCTGGAGCCAACTCCTCTGCCGCCCCCTCCAAATCTAGTAGCCCACAGACACACCTGCAGCTTTAGCCGGCCGATCTCTGCTGCCTGAGGGTCAATATTCACTACCGGCTTGTTCTTAATTTTTCTGGCCCTGTCAGCATATCGAAGGGTATTCAACGTCTCCTCGAGATTCGAATCTGCTGGGCTCACACAGGCCACCATCAAGGTGTGGCTATTGCCTCCCAAGGAATCTGAAGGGAGAAAAACAGGGCGACTGTTTAGGTAAAAAAAACCCCACCACTTTTGGGAGATGAAAGGAGGTTTCCAGAGGCACAAGATGGACTTTTTGGCTCCCACTCTTACCTTGCAAAAGGCGTGTTAACTTAGAGTCCCTATAAGGGACAAAATTGCCCTTCTTGCTTTCCTCTCCAAGAGCACTGATGACATTCCCCAGGCAGAGGAGTCCTTTGTTGATGTTGATCCCTAAACATGCAAACACGCAAAAGGGGGAAGAGATGGAGAGCCGAGATCAACACTTTTAGAATTGTAGAGTTCAAAGGAACCCTTCTGGAACCATATTGTCAAGTTTATTTACTGTCAAATACTAGACAATGAAAACCCAAAATTAGGGATAATTTTCTGAATTGAGCAATCCTAGACTATACATATGTATCTCCTTTATCTGAATGGACAGCATTAGGGTCAAAATATATTAAAACCTAGGATTCTCTTGACTCACTCTTGTCAGTTAGAAAGTTATGGAATGTAATGGCTAATAAAAAATTATTTGACCAATTCTTCCACGTTAAACTGACTCTGTGTGGAAATCCTACTCTAACAATCATGGAAAAATGGTTGTATGGGACAATTGTATAGATGTGGGTATACTGACTCTAAACCAATTAATAGACGAGGATGACAAACTTTATGCATATTTTATGCATATACACATTTATCCAGCTGGATAAATGTGTATTTACCATTACTGACCACTAATTAGGGTTTTCACCTTGCTTTAAATGTATTGTTTTTGTGTTCTTATCTGTTTTTAATTATCTTATGTGTAAATTGCTTTGAGATGGTAGCTTAGAGAGTGAAGAAGAAGAAGAAAAAGGAGGAGGAGGAGGAGGGCCATATAAACCATTGATCTTAAATTAGGCAGGCCTGAACAGCTATTTCTAAAAACAAGGTGTATTCCCCTTTGAAGCGAGGATTTCTAACACAGAACAGATCACAATTCACCATGGGGACAAACTTACCATGCCATCAGAAATTTTTACCACTCACCTTCCCGAAGTCGATCACCTTCTGCTTTGGTCTTCTTTTGCCTTTCTGAACCAGCAAGGTCTACGAGGTGCAGCTTGGAACAAAAACTGGGGTTCCTAAGCCAGAAGTAGGAGCATTTCACTCACACAGCAATGAACAAAAAACCCTGAGGCTGTAACAAGAACCCAGCTTTCCCCAACCTGCTGCCCTCCAGATGTTTTGGGCTAAAGCTCCCATCAGCCCCAGCCAGCACAGCTGCTGCAGTACAAAGCATGTGGTAGGCACTAGGTTGGGGAATCAAAGAATCATAAAACTGTAGAGTCGGAAGGGACCCCCACGAGTAATCTAGTCCAACCCCCTTGCAATGCAGGAATCTCAGCTAGCTCACACATGCAACCTCTGCTTAAAAATCTCCAAGGAAGGAGAGTCCACCACCTCTAGTAAGAGTCTGTTCCACTGTCAAACAGCTCTTACTGTCAGAAAGTTCTTCCTGATGTTTAGTCTGAATCTCCTTTCTTGTAACCTGAAGCCATTGCTTCGGGTTTTATCCCCCAGGAAGAGAAAACAAGTTTGCTCCATCCTCCCGTGACATAGGCACCATTTCGAATACGCCAAGAGCTCTCAATCTGTTATCAACTTCCACTTTTTCTGCCCTCATCGTCTTGAGGCAAGGCACCCTTCCTTAACTACAGTCTCAAGGTGTTCCTTCAATGGACCTTGCTTTTAAGAGAACAGGTTGTCTGAACGCCTTTGCTTACGTGTCACTCTTGCTTTTCTGTTCAATGGTCATGGTGAAGATGGCGTGAGAGCGTGATGACTGGGTGTTCATGGCTGTGGCAGCCACCGTTCGGGAGTTGTTCCCCTGCTCCAGGCACAGGGTGGTCTCTTGAGCAGAATGCACCACGTGCTCAGTGAGCCCCACAATCTGTATCAAGAGAGAAAATGGGGAGGAAAAGTTTTTTTCTGCCTCCCTTCGCTTCATCAACAGCATATTTCTAAAAAAATCCTACCAAGCTTTTGTTACGGGTGTTTTCTGTGTCCAGACGTAATCGGGACCATCTCGGGAAATCAGAGCACTGCTAGTCTGTGTTCAAGCTCCCAGAAGCGATGCTTCACCCTAGCCATCCTCCTGGATAAAGGAGTCTGTTATGGGAATGCATAGGCTAAATTATCTGTTTGGCATGCCCGGCCATGTAGGGAGCAGGAGGACAGATCCCTTCTCTTTGGGAAAAAGAGCAAGGCCTGACTTGAAAAGGAAGGTTCAATCTCCTGCATCTCTAGATAGAACTGGAAAGGCCCTGTTTGAGGCCCTGACTAGTAAGTGTACAGGTGACTCCCCCACTGCGTGCAAACATGAAATCACATAAAATGGGGAGTGCCCTGGAGAGTCCTCCTTGCTCAGGAGGAGACCCTCCACAGAGCCCGAAGACGACCTCTTCAGGCTCTGGAGAGGGTCTCCTCATGAGCCAGAGGGTTGATGAGGCCGCTTAGCTGATACACAGGAAAGCTAAAAGTTAAATTGAATGGTTATTTCAATCAGATTCCCCCCCACAACAAAAAAGCTTTCACGTGTCTGCCACAGAACAAGGCAGGATCTATTTGACACTACCAGCCTTGCCTCTATGACATGCTGTACCCTGTTCTATAAAAATAACAAATCCTGGCAGGGACTCCACCTTTATGCCTTCCTTGGGGTCTTCACGGATGCTGATTTGAGCTGTCCGCTCTTTGGCTGGTGCCAAGAGGTCTAGGATGTCTTCATTATAGATCTGAGGAAGAAAAGATAGCAGATTGGAAGAGAGGTTTGACACATCCCAAAAGCCAAACAGAATAGAATTGCCACAGCTTTTGTATTCCTGCCCTAAACCCCTTGGAAGTCACAGCTTTGCAAGGGAACCGGGAATGGGAGTGTTAAGCTCCACTACAATCCACAGCAAGAAGAAACTTTAATGGTTCAGCACAGCAACCCGAGCCAGTTTATGGAGCCACAAGCACATTTTCAGCAACACAGTATGCTGAAACAGAGAGAAAAAATTAAACTTTCTTTAAAAAGGCCGTCCAAAGGTAGGGTTGGCACACCAATCAACTGACCACATAAACATCTGATACTACTTTAAATAATAGAGGATAATGGTTACTAGTATGTGACAGCTGCATATTCCTGCATTGCAGGGAGATGGAATAGATGACCACCAGGGTCCCTTCCAACTCAACCATTCTATGATTCTGTCTACGTGCTGCTTCAACATATCAAAGGCACTGAGTCTCAGAATACCAGACACTGGGGGGAAACAGCAGAAAAAGGCCACTGCCCTCTGCTCCAGCTTATGGACTTCCCAAAGGTGTCAGGGATGTTGAACTGGACAGGCCTTTGGCCTTACGATCACAATCAGCCTGTTTCTACCTTTAAAAACAGTTGTGTTATAACAGAACAACAACAAATAATAATATAAATTCTAAGTCAGTTTTGAAGTGCAGGCTGACCCGGGCATTAGATGATAAAAGCCAAACAGAAAAACTGTTCGTGGAACCACTTAGGTAACAAATCTTATGTAACATTGATAATATTTCATAATTATTTAAAAAATAAAAAAAAGCTGTTCACTTCATTGGGCATGACTTAGTCAGCCATGACCCAGAGTAGACCCACTGAAATCAATGGATTTAACAGTTTAAACTACTTTGCTTTAGTAATTCGCAGATATCAAGCCTGTTGATGATTAAAGGATTGTCTTTTGTTGTTGTTTTCAATAAAGTTAATGCTTTAGAAAATGCTTGACCAATCAAATCTTTTTTGACTGGTCAAATGCCCATCCCTGCCCAGAGGCATTTGATCCCAACCTCAACGAAATTTTTAAGTAATTCTGGCCCTGAGGCTTGGATTTCAAAGTGAGGGAGAAGCATATTTTTGGCCCTACACTGCAACTGCTCTTAAAAGTACAAAAATATCGACAGCATAGATGGCTTTTACCTCCAAATAAGAGACTTTCAGGAAGAACTGCCACCCCACCCTCTCTTTCATTTCTTGGAAGAGAAGCTTTATTGCCCGAGGGATGATTCCGACAGTGGGATCGTTCTCTTTGTCGGCTGTGTAGGCACCTCCCATGGAGTAGGTTTTTCCAGATCCCGTCTGTCCATAGGCTAAAACCGTGGCATTATATCCTGTGGAATTAAGAACACAAAAAGAAGTGAGGGTCATTTCCAGGACGACAACTGCCCCTTAATAGTATTTCGTGTGTTGACAACAGCAAGGACAAGAATCAGACTGGAGCAAGTTGAATATATCTCAATCCCTAGGCAGCCTAATCAGCCTGCATCAGGGTGGATAAAAATTAATGATTAAAATTAAATTAAATCAATCAATCAATCAGATTGTTTTATTTAAATTTGATTTTTTAAAATAAAATGCTTTTGGAGGAAAAAAAATTCTAAAGAGTTTTCTATTTGCGTTACATTATAGTCCAAAAACTATTCATCAGGAAATAAGGTTTTCATGTTTGCTAAACCTCAGTCTGTTTAAAAACAACAAAACGTTTAACCACATCAGTTAAACATGGATACATATGCTATAATGTTATTACTTCAGTTAAATAAATTGTTTAAATTGTTATTAAGGAAATGATTTTTTTCCTTCCAATAAAGTACAGCAGAAAAGTTGTCCAAATATAAAGTTAACTTATTAAACCTCAGAATAATTTCTTAATTATTTCTAATAGTATAACCAAATCAGTAATTTTTTATATAACTATATAACATATATATATATATATATATATATATACACATATATATATATACACTCTGAAAATTTATTATTCCCAAAACAAAATCTTCCTCTGGTTGTAAATATTAAGATGATACCAGCAAGAATGAGTCTTTCTGTAAAAAGATGATTTAAATCAAGTCTTACTGACTAGCAATTTAAATCAATTTGATTTACAGTGGTGCCTCGCAAGACGAAAAGAATCCGTTCTGGGAGTCTCTTCGTCTAGCGGTTTTTTCGTCTTGCGAAGCAAGCCCATTGACGGATTAGCGGATTAGCGCTATTAGCGGCTTTTAGCAGCTTATCAGCTTATCGGATAAGCAGATAAGCGGCTTAGCGACTTAGAAAAAGAGGGGGAAAAGGAAAAAAACACCCCAGGAACTCGCAAGACATTTTCGTCTTGCGAAGCAAGCCCATAGCAGATTCGTTTTGCGAGGCACCTCCAAAACGGAAAACTCTTTCGTCTAGCGAGTTTTCCGTCTTGCGAGGCATTCGTCTTGCGGGGCACCACTGTAAATAAAATCCACCCTGACCTGCATGTTACTGAAACTCCAGTACCAGCTCATTTTTCAGTTGCTGCTCAGCTAATGTATGATTTTATTATCTTTCTTACAACTTGTAGGGAAGAAAGTCTCTTTATTTTTCATACTCTGTTACACTTACACACTTACACACACACACACACACACACACACACACACACACACAAATAAAACTAAATTGTGATCTTCACGGGTCCCAGGGGCTGAAGGCAGTTTGAGCAGCCTCACTGCAGATACTAAGTAGGTTTGGCTCAGTGCCTGGATGGGATCCTGACCAAGAAGACCCTATGGGTGCTGCCTGAAGTTGGGCAGGTCAGTGAGGCTTGGCTGATGTGGGCAAATTAGGCTTGTGGGACAGAAGCCCCCCCCCCCCCCAATTTGAGCTTGCAGTGCTGGCAGTCTCACATGTTCCACGCAATACATTCCAGTAAAGCAAGATGCCACTTCCAAGCATCAAGTTATTGTCCAGCCAGCATGGCATGCAGGACCTTTTAAAACAGAGTAAGCTTTTTGTGGCCGAAGAACTTAATCACCACCTTTCCTCCAGGTCACCAGGCCACTTCCTACTGAAGATGTTCCCAACACGTTCCACCTCAACAGCTCTCACCTTTGAAGATGCCCATTAAAAGGGGAGAAATACAGGCGTTGAACACCTCCTCTTGCTCAGTGGATGGGTCGAAGACATAATCATACGTGAATGCTTTGTCATTACCTAGAACCACCTGTGAGGAAGGAAGAGAAGTAGTGAGGGCTATGGTTTTGCCTCTTAGCAAAATCAGCTCTTGAGGATTTGAGAACTGGTCCCATTTATAGCGGAGTGAGTCTCCACCCGTTTCTCCTAGGCTAGTTATAAGAGGGGCATTCATTAAAGATTTCCCCTGACATACTTCCCATGGACTGAGAAACGAAACTGCGCAGTTATTAGTCCTTCTCTACATAGCTACCTGCAAGAGTCAAACATTTCTCCCATCGCTTTATGCAGCTGTGGAGACCTCGTCTGTAGAAGTCGGAAGGTTGCGTCAGAAGCTACAACTTGACCTCAGAAATCAGCATTTCATCATCTGGAAAAAGCTTGCCCTTCAAAAATAACTTCATGGTTGGAAAGAGGTGGAAGTCCGATGGTGCGAGGTCAGGAGAATAAGGGGGGCGGGGAAGGATTTCATAGCCACAGGACCGTGCGTCTGTCTGAGCAACATGCGAGTTGTGAACCGGGGCTTTATCCTGCAGGAGGCAGACACCTTTGGTCAGCATACTACGCCTCTCGATTTTGAGGGGTTTCAGCAATTTTTGCAGCAGTGAAGTGTCGTATGTCCTGGTAATTGTGGTACACTTTGCCAGGAAATCCATCATCACTACTCCGCTCTGGTCACAAAAGACCGTGAGCATGACCTTGCCTGCTGACAGTTGGAGACGTGCCTTCTTTGGAGGTGATGAGGCAGAGTGCTTCCATTGTTTGGACTGGGATTTAGTTTTTGGGTCATAATGATGGATCCATGTTTCGTCCTGAGTAATTAGTCTGGTGAAGAAGTGATCATGGTTTTCATTACACGACCAAAAGAGCCAGTGAGCATGTGACTCGTTCCTGTTTCTGGAAAGGCGTCAGCAGCCAGGAACCCACCATGCAGACTCCTTTCCCACGTGCAAATGGTCATGGATTATTTTTTTCTACAGAGCCCACACTGATCTTGACATCTGCAGCTAGCTGGCGAACGGTTATGCGGCTATCCTCCAAAATGGCGGCTCCACTTGTTGGATGGTGTCTTCATTAATGGCAGACTGTGGTTGCCCAGGAATGGGAGCCATTCTACCGGTCCGACCACACTTGAACTGACGATGCCAGTGCTTGACTACGTCAATGGGGCATCCTCCCCATAAGTCCCTTTCATCTCATCAAACGTCTCTCGTGTTGCATGCCCTTTCAAGTAAAGGAACCTGATCTCCACGTTAGCACCAGTAACAGAGAAACTGTTAGGAGTTCAGAGCTACAAAGTACAATGTTACCAATGGAGAGCTGTATCTTTAGTAAAGGGACCCCTGACCATTTGGTCCAGTCATGGCCGACTCTGGGGTTGTGGCGCTCATCTCGCCTTACTGGCTGAGGGAGCCGGGCGTACAGCTTCCGGGTCATGTGGCCAGCATGACTAAGCCGCTTCTGGCGAACCAGAGCAGCGCACGGAAACGCCGTTTACCTTCCCACCGGAGCGGTACCTATTTATCTACTTGCACTGATGTGCTTTCGAACTGCTAGGTTGGCAGGATATGTATCATTGTACACGTGCAATTTCATCCTCCTACATTAACCGGAAGTGGGTGAGGGGAAATCTTTAATGAACGACCCTTGCATCATTTTAGAGCAGATGAAACACAAACACACACAGAAACTCTTTCCAAATCTTTCCTCACCTGCTGTTCTCCAGGGACAAAAGACAAACACATCTGACAGCCCTCAGCAAGTTCCTTAGGAACAAGGGGGCGGCACCTTAGTGCCACCCGCACAGGGATGACCCGGGCATCTTCCCTTGACATTTTATGTTATCTTCCTAAAAGAAATTAGAAAGTTTAAAAGCATTAGCTCACTGGGAAATACCACCAGTTTTGATTTGCAGCAAACTGCTTCTGAACCTAATGTAATATATTATTTTAACTTAGGGTTAATCATTTAAAATACACTTATATATAAAACTTCTCAAAATGGTTTACAGTAAGGGTGAAATCTCTAAAACGTACATTTAAATACAATGCGCACACATATAGACAATAAATAGAAATGCAAAAAGCGGGGAGGGGAGGGGGACGGACACCAAAATACTCAAAAATATTGAGTAGTACAACCAATACAACCCTGGTTCAAGAAGTCTCCATTCATGCATGAAAAGTTTTTGGGGACCTTGGCAGCTGGTTGCCACCTCCCAGCCTGAGCTCCCTCGCAGGGCTGTTATAGAATTATTGAATGATAGTACAGTAGTACCTCGGTTTAAGAATGATTTGGTTTACAAACTCTGCAAAACCGGAAATACAGTCTTGGTTTGAGAACTTTACGTCGGTCCAAATACAGAATCCGAATGGTGGAAGGGCACCAGCGGCGGGAGGCCTCATTAGAGAAAGCGTGTCTTGGTTTAAGAATGGTTTCAGTTTGAGAATGGACTTCCAGAACGGATTAAGTTTGTAAACCAAGGTACCACTGTAGAATAATAATAATAATAATAATTTATTATTTATACCCTGCCCATCTGGCTGGGTTTCCCCAGCCACTCTGGGCGGCTTCCAACAAAATATTAAAATACAATAATTCATCAAATATTAAAAGCTTCCCTAAACAGGGCTGCCTTCAGATGTCTTCTAAAAGTCAGATAGTTCTTTAATTCTTTGACATCTGATGGGAGGGTGTTCCACAGGGCGGGTGCCACAACCGAGAAGGCCCTCTGCCTGGTTCCCTGTAACTTCCCTTCTCGCAGGGAGGGAACTGCCAGAAGGCCCTCGGGGCTGGACCTCAGTGTCCAGGCTGAACGTTGGTAGGTTTGGAAGGGGTCCCCGAGGGTCATCTAGCCCAACCCCTGCAATGCAGGAATCTCAACTAAAGCATCCGCAGCAGGTGGACATCCAACCACTGCTTAAAAGAAGAAGGAGAGTCAGTAGAAGTGCTCAACTCCAACTGCCCCCCCCCATACACAACCCAGCCTTGAAGCTCACTTAGAGGACATCACAGGGGGAGGGGAGCAGGACAGCCGCCAAAGCCTCCCTCGCAGGGTTGTTGTGCCACAGAAGTGCCCAACCCCCACTCGCTTAGTGCGAAGCTGGGGGGCGAGGAGGAGAAGTGGGGAGGGGTCTTCTCTCTCTCTGGTGATCACTCATAGCTGAGCAAGATTGTCTTCCATAAACACGGTTTTAACAATGAATCCATAAGTGACTGCGGAGGCAAATTCTGGATCCACACGTCCTTCCACATTGGTTTCCGGGTTGGAGTCGATCACGGTGAGAGTTTGCCATGCATGCCTTCCTCTTGGCACATTTCTCCCTTGCGTCCTGAGTTCGAGTGTCTTCAAAGCCCAGGACACCTTTGGTAAAGGCTGTTCTCCAATTGGAGCACTCGCAGTCAAGTGTTTCCCAATTGTCGGTGTTTATACCACAGTGGTACCTCTGGTTATGTACTTAATTCGTTCCGGAGGTCCGTTCTTAACCTGAAACTGTTCTTAACCTGAAGCACCACTTTAGCTAATGGGGCCTCCAGCCGCTGCGCAATTTCTGTTCTCATCCTGAAGTAAAGTTCTTAACCTGAAGCACTCTTTCTGGGTAAGCAGAGTCTGTAACCTGAAGTGTATGTAACCCAAGGTACCACTATACAGGCCTCGGGTCCTGTATACCTGAAGGAGCGTCTCCACCCCCATCTTTCAGCCCGGACACTGAGATCCAGCGCCGAGGGCCTTCTGGCGGTTCCCTCATTGCGAGAAGTAAGATTACAGGGAACCAGGCAGAGGGCCTTCTCGGTGGTGGCGCCTGCCCTGTGGAACGCCCTCCCAGCAGATGTCAAGGCAATAAACAACTATTTTACTTTTAAAAGACAACCGAAGGCAGCCCTCTTTAGGGAAGTTTTTAATGTCTGATGCTGTATTGTTTTTAATATTCAGTTGGAGGCCGCCCAGAGTGGCTGGGGAAACCCAGCCAGATGGGCGGGGTATAAATAATAAATTATTATTATTATTATATATTTTTTAGATTTACCTTGAGACAGTCTTTCAACCTCTTGGCCTGAGCCTCCCTCACAGGGTTGTTGTTGAGAGGATGCGAACAGCGCCGGCGGGGGGGGGGGGAGGAAGAGGAAGGAGAACCTCGCCCCAGGGGAAGAATAAAGAGGCGTCCCACGCGAACAGCCCCCCCCAGGGGAAAATTGGGAAATTTAAAAGCAACCGTCACTCGAAGACGCGTTTTGGGGAAGGAAAAAGGCGGGGAAGGGGACCGAAAGGGTTAAAAGCGGGGCGGGGGGGGGGCTTTGCACTGGTCTGGGACCTACTCCCCCCCCACCCCCGCAAGCGACCGTTACCCTCTTCTCCTCCCGCGCGCGGCCTTCTCCTTCCCCGTCCACTGGCCGGCCCGCCAACGGCCTCGTCTCGCGGAGACACCGCCTCCGCCGCTCCTTCCCCTCAGTTTACAACGTTCAAATCCGCCGCGCCAATCCGGGCACCTCAAGGGAGGGAGGGGGGGGAAATAATGCAGACGGACGCGCCGAGGCAGCGTGCGCGGTGACGTCAGCACCACCCCCACCACCGTCGGCGCATAGACGTATGCCAGAGTGAAGAGGTGTACCTGTTGCGGAGAGTTTTCGGGTTCTGTTAGATCTGAGGTGTCCTCAGTCTGTTAGCGAATGGTAGAACTGAATGGGTTTGGTGTTTATGGAAGACAATAATACTCGGCTACAAGTGATCGCCGAAGAAAAGAAGAAGATTTTAACAGTTGAAAAATATCTTTGCTACTGTAATGCTTGTACCCGGTCAGGGAATGAAATCTCTTGGCCGAGACTTCACAGAGTTTGTGAGTCATCTTGAAAACAACTTCTGTTATTGTCCACCCACTTCTTCCGAGAGAGAAAGGAAGAAAACTCTTGCTAAATCATTTGAATGCAGTTGACCGAGGTCTCATCACCCAAGTATCTGCGCAGCTCGAAAGCACGATCACAGTTTAGTTTGTTTTCTGAAACCCAAATATAGATTCATTTTTGGTTTAATGGAGCAACGTGGCCATAGATCTGGGATCCTGTGAAGCGGGTGAGACTGGGAAAGACAAATCCCGCCTACTGCTAAACTTCAAGTGAAATCGGGACGCCGCCATTGGCCTTGACTCTGAGGAATGACAACCCCCATCTCGTCATCGTTGCAGGGGCTGATGGGATTTGTAGTTCTTCCAAGCTCCGGGATCAAAATGGCGTCTCTTTCGTGAGGCAAGAGCTGGGAAATCAGGACTATATATTGTCAGCCCTTCTTTCCTTAAAAGATGCGTGTGACAGAACTCTCTCGTTCATTTATGGGTTAATGTTGTACACTGCCCTTCCTTGTTAATCCCCCAGGATGGTTTACATCAATTTTTTAATTTATTTTTTAAATGGAGGGAGCCAGCCTGTGGGAACGAAGCAGAGAGAAGCCCTCTCTCCTTCTTTTACCTCACAGAAGTGACCGTTGGGTCACGTGCCGCGCCTTAGTTACTGCGCGCCTAGCAACCGTTGCCATGGTAACCACTGGAGTAGTTTCACGCCCAAACCCTTTCTGTGGGGGGCGAGAAGTTGGTTGCCATTAAGAGAAGGCTTGAAAAACAAATACCGTTTCCTCACATTTTAAATCCCCCCCACCCAATTTGAAATATGTGCGCCCTGGCCTTCCAGCACATTCAGAGTCGCAGCCATTAAAATGGTGGGTTTTAAAACAGGCCCGACTCCTCCCCATAATTCCCTCAGAGGCAGGAGCGCCTTATTTTCCCCGCCTCCTGAGAAACCCAACCAACCGTTAGGCTTCTCACGCTAACTGACAGTGAGCTTGGCTAGTAGGAGTAGAGTAGTGATACCCTTCTGTTTTGATTGGGTGGCTGGCAGGGGAGGAGCCTCCTTTGATTGGAGGAGGAGGAGGCTGGTGTTTGTCCCTTGGAGCTCAGCTGATCAGCAGCAGGAGGAAGGCTGGTTCTTCCAGGGAGCGGATTGGACGCCTCTGTGCCCCTTTACTCTGGAGTAGGCCCACTGAGCTCTGTGGGAGTGGATCCAAAGGGAGCTTGAGCCTTGGGAGGCGCTCCTGGTTTCGCAGCCCTCTGGGTGTCTACTCGGAAGTAAGTCCCATGGCGTTCCCTGGGGGTTACTCCCAGGTAAGTGGGCATGGGGTGGGGAGAATCCGCTGGGAGCAGGCCCTATGGAAACTTCGCAGGGCTCACCTCTTGAGTAGACCTCCCTCCCATCCATACATTGAAAGTGCTGTGATGATAATCATTTATAATAATAATTTATTATTTATACCCCACCCATCTGGCTGGGTTTCCCCAGCCATTCTGGGCGGCTTCCAACAAAAATTAAAAATACATTAAAATGTCACACAATAAAACCTTCCCTGAACAGGGCTTTGAACAGCCATTTGTTCTTGTTTAGTCGTGTCCGACTCTTCGTGACCCCCTGGACCAGAGCACGCCAGGCACTCCTGTCTTCCACTGCCTCCCGCAGTTTGGTCAAACTCATGCTGGTAGCTTTGAGAACACTGTCCCACCATCTCGTCCTCTGTCCTCCCCTTCTCCTTGTGACCTCCATCTTTCCCAACATCAGGGTCTTTTCCAGGGAGTCTTCTTCTCTTCTCATGAGGTGGCCAAAGTCTTGGAGCCTCAGCTTCAGGATCTGTCCTTCCAGTGAGCACTCAGGGCTGATTTCCTTAAGAATGGAGAGGTTGGATCTTCTTGCAGTCCATGGGACTCTCAAGAGTCTCCTCCAGCACCAGAATTCAAAAGCATCAATTCTAAGGCAATCAGCCTTCTTTATGGTCCAGCTCTCACTTCCATACATCATTACTGGGAAAACCATGGCTTTAACTATACGGGCCTTTGTTGGCAAGGTGATGTCTCTGCTTTTTAACATGCTGTCTAGGTTTGTCATTGCTTTTCTCCCAAAAGGATTCTGGGAGCTGTAGTTTCTTAAGTTGCTGAGAGTCCTTAGGAGACCCCCCCCCCTTCCAATCCCTCCCTTTCCCTTCTTAGAGCTACAGTTCCCAGGGTGGTTTAACAGTCAATCTCTCTTGCTAGGGAACTCTGTGGATGGCTGCTCTGAGAAGGGACTGGGGCGTGGTGGTCTCCTAACAGCTCTTGGCAAACTACAGTTCCCAGGATTTTTTAGGAGAAGCCACAAATGTTTATAAAGTTGTGCGATGATTCGTTCAGTGTATGGTTCAGATGCAGGGCCTTAGCATCAAGAGCAGGCAGAGGCAAACTCCGGCCCTCCAGATGCTTGTGACTACAATTCCCATCATTCCTGACCACTGGTCCTGCTAGCTAGGGATGATGGGAATTGTAGTCCCAAATATCTGGAGGGGCGGAGTTTGCCTACGCCTGGTCAAGAGGTAGCGGAGGTAGTTTTGAGAGTGCCATTGCTGTTATTGGGTAAAGGGATAGCGCACCTTAGGGCGTTCCAGGGAGAAAGAACAGATCTTTCTTTGGAATGGATGAACACTTTCCACCATCTAAACAGCCACTTGCCATTCACACTCAAGGTCCTGAACTCCAAAACTCCTGTTCGAATCCTTGCCACCATGCCAAGGAGGAAGTCCCTTTCCTGAGTCCTCCCTCCGAGCTTCAAATAACTCACACATAGGCACCGAACGGGTTATCGGGCTTTATTGGCATATTTTCTGTCACCAGCTACAGACGTCAAATGGCAGTCTGATCTATGGCATGTTCTCTCCTCCCCTCGGCAGGTTAACTCGAAGATTTATACCCTGTTTCCCCGAAAATAAGACAGTGTCTTATATTAATTTTTGCTCCCGAAGATGCGCTAGGTCTTACTTTCAGGGAAAGACGGTGCAGTAATTGTGAGTCAGCCAGACTCCGTCAGGGCAGCAGGCGGCAGCTTGTCCTGGTGGCAGCATGGGCTCTCTGATTTAAAGAGACCTTGCACTGCCTGAACAGCTCCGGCTGCGCTACGGCCAGTGAGCTGCGCGGCGGCGTCTGCCACTATGGTCCAGAGGAGTCAGATGTCTTATGGTAGCTTCAGGGGCCTTATGTTCGGGCGAGGCCCTATTATTGGGGAGGTCTTATTTTCAGGGGGATGCCTTATATTACAGCGAGAGGCAAAACTGGAAGTACCGTATTTTTTGCTCTATAAGACTCACTTTTCCCCTCCTAAAAAGTAAGGGGAAATGTGTGTGCGTCTTATGGAGCGAATGCAGGCTGCGCAGCTATCCCAGAAGCCAGAACAGCAAGAGGGATTGCTGCTTTCACTGCACAGCGATCCCTCTTGCTGTTCTGGCTTCTGAGAGTCAGAATATTTTTTTCCTTGTTTTCCTCCTCCAAAAACTAGGTGCGTCTTGTGGTCTGGTGCGTCTTATAGAGCGAAAAATACGGTAGGTCTTATTTTCGGGGGATGTCTTATTTTCGGGGGAGAGACGGTAGGGGCTGGGGAATGCTGGCAGCCAGCCCGCCCCATCATCTGCTCCCACTTTGGGGACTACAGTGGTACCTCGGGTTAAGTATTTAATTCGTTCCAGAGGTCCGTTCTTAACCTGATACTGTTCTTAACCTGAAGCACCACTTTAGCTAATGGGGCCTCCTGCTGCTGCCGTGCCGCCGGAGCACAATTTCTGTTCTCATCCTGAAGCAAAGTTCTTAACCCGAGGTACTATTTCTGGGTTAGTGGAGTCTGGAACCTGAAGCATATGTAACCTGAAGTGTATGTAACCCGAGGTACCACTGTAATTGTTAACCACCTGCCTGAGGGGCCCCACCCATCGATACTTGCTCGCAGAATCACTACTTCATGACAGTAGTTAAGGAGTGAGGAATGAAGGCTGGTATAGGCTATATGAGGCTTTGGCATATGCATTCATTGTACTGTGTACGTGTACAAATGGGAGCAGATATATATTTTATTTATTTTTGTTTGGCATTCTTTATCTCCCGCTTAATCCAAGATCTGTATATGCATAAAATAAAGCTAAAAAAAAAGTAGACGTAAAACGTATTCACCATTTATATATCTGTTTTCAGATAGCATGAAAACATCTCCCCCCTCCAGCTCTCCTTCTTCTAGGGGTGGAGGAATGAAATGAAAACCTGTTTCATTTAAACAGCAAAACATTATTAAACCCAGCCCTGGACAAATGAACGTCACTATCCTGCGTGACAATTTAAACTCCAAAGGATGTTCTAAAAAGATGTGTTCAAAGCTAGTTTAAAAGAGACCAGATTTTAATAGTGTTCTGACAGATATAGGATTCAACAAGCATAGCTATTGCCACTGTCACATCTCTGAACTGGGAGAAAACTGTACTTGATTTTTAAAAGCACTCATGCAAAAGTTTAAAGCACGAAAGCTTTTTGGAGAGGAGGAAGAGACGACGACTTTAGAACAAAATTACAGTTAACAAAAAAGACTCTTATTTATACCACAGCTGGTGGGAAATAGATGACATCAAATCTCTTGTGCAATCACTAGCTTTTTGGGTGTGTGTGTGTGCGTGTGGGTGTTTTCCATTAATTTCTCCCTGCCTTGAAGCATACCGTATTTTTTGCTCTATAAGACTCACTTTTTCACTCCTAAAAAGTAAGGGGAAATGTGTGTGCGTCTTATGGAGCGAATGCAGGCTGCGCAGCTATCCCAGAAGCCAGAACAGCAAGAGGGATTGCTGCTTTCACTGCGCAGCGATCCCTCTTGCTGTTCTGGCTTCTGAGATTCAGAATATTTTTTTCCTTGTTTTCTTCCTCCCAAAACCAGGTGCGTCTTGTGGTCTGTTGCGTCTTATAGAGCAAAATATACGGTATTTGGCTTTAAGAAGGAAAGTTGACAGACCACGTATACTGTTTTCTCCCCAGAATTGACATCCCATCTTTGGAAAGATCGTCTGGGGCTTTCGCAGCTCTGTACTGACTCCAAAATGGATATCGGAGGTGGTGGCTGTGGCCGGATCCCATACGATGACTATCCCGTGGTGTTTCTGCCTCCCTACGAGAGCCCTCCCACCTGGATCCCTCCTCATGAGGTGTGTATCTAAAAGATCCCTGGGTCATTAAGAAAGCCTGGCCGCTGTTGTCCATGTGCTGGTAACCCCCAGCATAGACTACTGCAGTGCACGTCTTGTGGGACCTGCTTCGGGCATTGTCCTGGAAGCTAGTGCAAACTCCAGCAGCTTAACTGCTCACCCGGTCAGACTATCTCCATCATGTTACACTGCTTTTGAATTAATTCCCCTAGGTGCCAATTAGCTACCAGGATATTTTATTTTTGTTTTGAATTGTTGTAGCAGAAGAGCTTATTCTATCTTGGTTCGATAATAACATTGATTACTTTCGGTTACATAGACATAACAAGAGAAAATTGACAATAGGCTAAAGGGTTAGAGACTCGGGCGAAAGCACAAGAATATAGAACATTAAGTAGAACAAATCATCGCTTCAGGATTAAGTAATTAGAAATCCATGCTTCATAAGCATGTTATTTGACTGCCTCAGAAGGCTCTTCCATCTGAATTTCTTAGTAATTATATGTAGCAGTTTCCAATATCATTATTTCAGCTACCAGGCTATTTTAAAGATGTTGGAACTGGTGTACAAAGCACTATACATCTTGGGACAAGAATAGTTTAAAATATCTATTCACTCCATATCCCCCCAAATTGATCACTGCTCTCTGCAGCAGAGGGTCTCTTGCAGATAATCTCATCAGGAAACCTGGGGAAACCCAGCCAGATTGGTGGGGATATAACCACAACAACAACAACAACAAATTATTATTACCACCTTCCTCTTTCAACAAGATGGCTCAATGGAGATTCCCCCCCTCCCCAGACTGTATCTCCTGGATTCCAAAGCATTTTTATATATGAAATCATTTATTTATTTATTATATTGTTGCTGTTCGTATTGTTAAATCACTTTGGTATATTATATAATCCATACTGGTAGGAGCTGATTAGAGTTGGGCGTTGGCTGACCCTCTTCTACAGTGCTGATGTCTGGTTGTAAGGTTTTAAAAGAGATCCAAGTTGCTTAAAATGTTTTTCTTATTCTTCTTGGGGCAGCACTAGGCCATGGAATGCTATGATGAACCCCAAGAAGTTTCTGATTTCCACAATGAAATTCACCTTGCCATTTTTTTATTTTGTATCTTGCTTTCCCCCGCTAGAGAATTTACCATTCGGATTATAACAATGAGCTGACCCAATTCCTGCCTCGTACCATTGTGCTGAAAAAACCTCCAGGGGCACAGGTGAGTCTTGGCCCACTCTCAGGGGACTTGCGGAAAAAGGGGAATACAAGGGTGTGAGAGGTTTTCTCAGCTGGGATTGTAGGCTTGTCAACTGAGGCCCTCCACACCAGGCTTGGAAAACATGAGGTCCTGTGGACTTTTTTGGACTCCATCTCCCATCAGCCCCAGTCAGCACGGGCAATGGTCAGGAATGATGGGAGTTGTAGTCTGAAACATCTGGAGGATAGCTATCCTTAGAGGGGATTCTCTGCATTTGTAACCTGCCCTGTGTTTTACAAATTTTATTTTATCTATCTGGCCATTGATAGCAGTTCCTCTCTTTCATGGGGTCATTGTGGGTTGCAGTAAAAATGCAATGATGACGTAGACCTCTGTCACCCAAAGGTCTGTTGCAGAAATAACAGTCTGGAAGAAGACAGTACAGTGGTACCTCGGGTTAAGTACTTAATTCGTTCCGGAGGTCTGTTCTTAACCTGAAACTGTTCTTAACCTGAAGCACCACTTTAGCTAATGGGGCCTCCCGCTGCTGCCGTGCTGCCAGAGCATGATTTCTGTTCTTATCCTGAAGCATAGTTCTTAACCTGAAGCACTATTTCTGGGTTAGTGGAGTGTGTAACCTGAAGCCTATGTAACCTGAGGTACCACTGTATTCAGGAACAATCTATATGTTGAACTGCCAAATCTCCAACTCAATTCTGTTTCCTTTCTAGCTGGGCTTCAATATTCGAGGAGGAAAAGCATCACAACTGGGGATCTTCATCTCTAAGGTGCGTTGATCTTTAGTCCTGACCTCATGGCTGCCTAGTTCTGTTGACATGCAAATTAATTGTGTTTTTTGGTCATTTTTTTAAAAAAGCATTTTACTATGATCTTCAGCTGAGAAGGCTCCCAGAGCATTTTATGTAAGATCACAAAACAAGGGAGTCCCTGCCCACAGATTTGCAATATAAAAGGCATGATGCAAAAGGGAAAGGGGTTGAAGAGGGCAGAGGAAAAAGTAAAACTCATTCACCAGTTCTTATTATATGTTGCACTTGTCAAATGACCTGCAGTTTCATCCTATGAGTATTTTTGTTTAAGTTAGCATATAAAATTATAGAAAAACACCCCTTCTAATCTGATTAGAATTAATTTCAATAAAGCATAAAATATGTCTATTCATTTGCCAAATTACTTGATGAGATTCACTTTCTCTATGAAGAATATCTATCAGTTATTATGCCTGTTTCCTTGGAAGCATATGCCACATACTTCAGTCTTGCTTATTACCAAACAAACAGGCTGAGGATTGCAGCTTTAAATGATTATTTCTGGTAAATGACTTAGGCGTTTCATACAGATCTTGGTTAAAAAATAAATCTAAAATAACCCTACCTTATCACACGACTTAGATAAAAGAGGAATGGTTGGATTTAAAAACAGAACCATTTATTTCAGTCTAGCTGCTATGAGCTTGATTTGCAGGTTTTCAAAATAAAAATGAAGGGAAGAATCCTGCCTGCCCCTCCCAGCAGCCTCAGGGTTCATTTTTGTGCCTTTGTCCTAAACCTTTTCCTTCTGCTGTTTCATTACAACTGGCAAGGAGACCAGCAGCTCAGTCCTTCCTCTGTTGTAAGCAAGTTTTGCTCATTTCAACGGAGCTTCGCCTTGAGTTTCTATCCATCGGATTCATAGACTCATAGAGGTGGAAGGGACCCTGCAATACATGAATCTCAACATGCAGTTCCTCATCCAGTTTGAAACCACACCAGACCCTGCTGAGCTTCACAAATATGCCAGCAGTTTTATCGCCGCACCATTTGGGGACTGAAAGGTTTGGAAGTGGCAGAGCGCAGGGCAGTGAGTTGTGTGACAGGATGGGGCCAGCTTCCCCAAGATGCCAAGGGCGCATTTGCAGCTCCTGGCCTCTGTCTGAATGGCGGTCTTGCCTCTCCTGATCCCAGGTGATCCCGGATTCAGATGCCCATCGAGCTGGATTGCAGGAAGGAGATCAAGTGCTGGCAGTTAATGACGTCGACTTCCAGGATATTGAGCACAGCAAGGTGAGAGGGGGGAAATGATGAACCAGAGGCCTGCATGGAGCAGCCACAGGATGTGGTCTGAAGGCTCATGGTGTATCAGCCTTGCTGAAGCAAAGCTGGTTTAGGGAAGTGCCTGGAAGGGAGACGGCCTTGAAATCCTTTATGTGGGATGCCTTCTACAATGGGAAGGAAGGGCAGATCCTGAATAGGGTAACTGTGCCCCTGAAGGACCAGGTGCGCAGCCTGGGAGTCATTTTGGACTCACAGCTGTCCATGGAGGCGCAGGTCAATTCTGTGCCCAGGGCAGCTGTCTACCAGCTCCACCTGGTACGCAGGATGAGACCCTTCCTGCCCGCAGACTGTCTCGCCACAGTGGTGCATGCTCTGGTTATCTCCCGCTTGGACTACTGCAATGCGCTCTATGTGGGGCTACCTTTGAAGGTGACCCGGAAACTGCAATTAATCCAGAATGCGGCAGCTAGACTGGTGACTGGGAGCGGCCGCCGAGACCATAGAACACCAGTCCTGAAAGATCTGCATCGGCTCCCAGTACGTTTCCGAGCACAATTCAAAGTGTTGGTGCTGCTGACCTTGAAAGCCCTAAATGGCCCTGTATACCTGAAGGAGTGTCTCCACCCCCATCATCCAGCCCGGACACTGAGGTCCAGTGCTGAGGGCTTTCTTCACTGCAAGAAGTGAGGTTACAGGGAACCAGGCAGAGGGCCTTCTCGGTAGTGGCACCTGCCTTGTGGAACACCCTTCCAGCAGATGTCAAGGCAATAAACAACTATTTTACTTTTAAAAGACAACTGAAGGCGGCCCTGTTTAGGGAAGTTTTTAATGTCTGATTCTGTATTGTTTTTAGTATTCAGTTGGAAGCCGCCCAGAGTGGCTGGGGAAACCCAGCCAGATGGGCGGGGTATAAATAATTTATTATTATTATTATTATTATTATTATTATTAATAATAATAATAAATCAATGATTCAACCCAGTGTGATGCCCTTCTTTGTTTAGATGTTCATCTGCTGTTTTTCCCCTGCCCCTACAGGCTGTGGAGATCTTGAAAACTGCTCGGGAGATCATTATGAGAGTCAGATTCTTCCCATATAGTAAGTGCTGTTGCCGCCACCACTGCTACTGCTCTTTGCAAAATCTTTGACCTGTTTGAAAGAGACTGTTTGTCAGGTGAACTGGGACCCACTGCATCCATGAAAGAGGAGAGGAAAAATAATGTGCTCCTCTATTATACAAATCCAAAATATGAAACACACACACACACACATATGTATTTTAAAATAGTGTAGAGTTTCGTAACATCATTATAGATGGCTTAAAAGGGGTATTTATTAGACAAATTCCTGGAGGAGAGGTCTGTCTGTGGCAGTGATGGCTGAATGAAACCTCCAGCTTCAGGGCTAGTCTACCTTTTGAACACCAGTTGCTGGGGGACAACTGTGGGAGGAGAGCTGTTGCCTTCATGCCAACATTGTGGGCATGAGAAACAGGATCCTGAACTTGAAGGGCTTACGTCTAGGAACGCAGTCTTTATGTTCTGCCACTCACACTTTTTCTCCTATTCCCCTTCCAGACTACCAGAGGCAGAAGGAGCGAACGGTTCACTAGAAATCCCTTCCCAGCTGGCAGCCTTCTCTTTGCAGAGAGTTCACCACCCTTCAGCCAGATTCTTCTTTCCGTGTTTACTCCCGCTCCAAAGCCTTTTCCTTCGGCAAATGCCTGCTTGGGGGTGTCGAGGGGGCGTCATTTGTGACGCAGAAACCTCCCCTTTTTGGCTGGATTCCATAGATCCAATTACCTACTGAGAAGGATGTCTTTAAAGTTTTCTTCTGCTTTGTGCTGTGAAGCAAGAAGCAGTAGGAGCCGGATGCAGGGCTTCAGCCAGTTCCCTGGTCCGAGGAAAAATGGATGTCAGTTTGCAGATAAAGCTGCTACCTGTTTTCATTCATCCCCAGGCCCAGAAGGACATTCTCTTCCAATCATTTGATACCTTCATAGCTCTCAGAAAGAGGAGGGACAGAAAGCATCGGGTCCCAGAGGAGCAAACGGAATGCTTCTGAGCTGGTCTCCTTTTTGAATCAGAGATGGGCCTGCGGTGGTGATTTGGGGCGTAATCCACTGTAAATATCTGCACGAAAGCATGCTGAAATGAAGGGGATTTATTTCGTCATTGTGCTAAAGCTGGTGCAAGGGCTGGGGCTTTGATATATGTCTGCCTCTTCTATATGAAGGCTCGGGCTTAAGAACCAATGTTGGTTTGCATGTCATGGGATATGGCTTTAGTAGGATCATTAATACTTATCATTAAAATGCTGGAAGGAGTTTGCTTTATACACAAAGCAAGCTCCTGGTTTTCATGCACAAGGAGTGGATTCTTCTTTTCTGGAAACAGTAATACCAGGGGGATCTTGCATGTGATGGTGGGGTATCTGCAAAGCATAGATGCCTTGCCTTTCCCCAAATCTCTCTCGTTACCTGTGTTTCATCAGTTCTGCTTTTTATTTAGAATACCCTTAATGAACACTCAGGCTGTCTTAGGCCACATTTAATGCACTATAATATAGTGGTACCTCGGGTTAAGTACTTAATTCGTTCCGGAGGTCCGTACTTAACCTGAAACTGTTCTTAACCTGAAGCACCACTTTAGCTAATGGGGCCTCCTGCTGCTGCCGCGCTGCCGGAGCACTATTTCTGTTCTCATCCTGAAGCAAAGTTCTTAACCTGAGGTAATATTTCTGGGTTAGCTGAGTCTGTATCCTGAAGCGTCTGTAACCTGAAGTGTATGTAACCCAAGGTACCACTATACTGCTTCCCCAAAGAATCCTGGGAGTTGTAGTTTGTTAAGGCTGCCAAGAGTTGTTAGGAGACCTCCTAGAGCAGGCATGGCCAAAGTTGGCCCTCCAGATGTTTTGGGACTATGACTCCCATCGCTCTTAGCTAACAGGACCAGTGGTCAAGGATGATGGGAATTGGAGTCCGAAAACATCTGGAGGCCCAACTTTGGCCATGCCTGTCCTAGAGCTACAATATCTCAGCATGGTTTAACCACCAATCCCTCTTCACATGGGACTCTGGGAATGGTAGCTCAGGGAGAGGAATAGGGACCTCCTGACAACTTTCAACACACTTAACAAACTGCAACTCCCAGAATTACTATGGCATCATAGTGCTTCAAAATTGTGCTGTGAATGTGACCGAACACAGGCAATGATAAATCAGTAAATAATGTACTGTGCACACACCTAATTCATGAGTCAGAAACTTTTTTTAAAAAAGCAACAAAGCTGAACTTTTTCAGATTTCTGGGCAAATGAGTGGTACCCTTTTCTCCTCGGTGTGATCACACCCATTCCAAGCTGTGGGTATGTTTGCAGTCCTTATCTGTCCTGGCAGCCGCAGATTTGCTTTTGCCTTCTTTGATGTGAGTAAAGGTAAAAGGTAAAGGGACCCCTGACCATTGGGTCCAGTTGCGGACAACTCTGGGATTGCGGCACTCATCTTGCTTTACTGGCCAAGGGAGCCTGCGTACATGACTAAGCCGCTTCTGGCTTAGTCCTCTCCCCAAACTGCAGCCTGCTTGGTTCTGTGTGGGGCGAGGTTGTCACAGCAGTGAAACCTGCCTAGATTTTGTTAGGTGAGCCTTACCACATGAACCACATGAACATTTTCAGGTTTCTGATGGCAGGATGTCTTCCCTGCCTCTAGCTGTTTCTGCACAAGGGGATCATTAAAAAAAAAAGCAGCAAGAGAATTTGATTAACTTGAGCTTCAGCCCCTTAGAGGAAGCGCGGCTAGGGAGTTAAAACACACACATTCCTCACCTCCAAAGAATGCTTGCTCATCAAAACTCTACCTCCTGCCTCATTAAGTTTGGGTGTGGATCCGTATGAAGGAGGACAAGCGTGCTAATTGTCCAGTTCACAACACTCAAAATATTTATATAACTCTCTTGATGTTCTGTAATGCGTTCTCTTTGAGACTTATTTTTTCACAACAGAGACAGCAACCTTTTCTTGTCATTGCTGGATTCTATCAGAGGGGTTTTTTTGGGGAGCGGGGAAGTTTCAGTAAAATGTTACCATCTGAGACTGGTGTATTATTCACCCTGCTTGGGGTTGCTGTGGACGCCATACTGAGAGCCTAGATTTCACAAGATTTCCCATTTTACTTCTTCTGTCTAAACCACAGAGCCTAGGACTTGCCGATCAGAAGGTCGGTGGTTCGAATCCCCGCGACAGGGTGAGCTCCTGTTGTTCAGTCCCTGCTCCTGCCAACCTAGCAGTTTGAAAGCATGTCAAAGTGCAAGTAGATAAATAGGTACCGCTCTGGCGGGAAGGTAAACGGCGTTTCTGTGTGCTGCTCTGGTTCGCCAGAAGCGGCTCAGTCATGCTGGCCACATGACCCGGAAGCTGTACGCCAGCTCCCTTGGCCAATAAAGTGAGATGAACGCCGCAACCCCAAAGGCTGCATTGTCTCAGTTACAGGTTGTCGGAGGCCTTGAGTCAGGTTGTAAATTTCCTGACAAAACTAGTACCATGCCTCTTTTATTCCTTATAAATACTTGCCTATGTAGCAGCTATCTTCACCATGTCAGAAAGAAAAGAGTGTCCCGCCCAGAAATTGATGGCACCCTGTTGCTATGTCCCCCAAAGGAAGCTTTCTAGGTGGCTGTAATAGCAGTGGGTGCTTGACCCAAACAAGAGGGATACCATAACCTTTACTTGCCTGTAAACTTTCCCGAAGCAGCTGGCAAGCTGCAGTTTGACTACTGGACAGGAGAAGAGTAATTGTTGTTGTTTAGTCGTGTCCGACTCTTCGTGACCCCATGGACCAGAGCATGCCAGGCTCTCCTGTCTTCCACTGCCTCCCGCAGTTTGGTCAAGCTCATAGCTTCGAGAACAGTGTCCCACCATCTCGTCCTGTCGTCCCCTTCTCCTTGTGCCCTCCATCTTTCCCAACATCAGGGTCTTTTCCAGGGAGTCTTCTCTTCTCATGAGGTAGCCAAAGTCTTGGAGCCTCAGCTTCAGGATCTGTCCTTCCAGTGAGCACTCAGGGCTCATTTCCTTCAGAATGGAGAGGTTTGATCTTTTTGCAGTCCATGGGACTCTCAAGAGTCTCCCCCAGCACCATAATTCAAAAGCATCAATTCTTCGGCGATCAGCCTTCTTTATGGTCCACCTCTCACTTCCATACATCACTACTGGGAATTCATAGCTTGAACTATACAGACCTTTGTTGGCAAGGTGATGTCTGAAGAGTAATTGGTCTGATCCAAAAAATCAAATCTACTTTGTGTGCACTTTGAGGGGTTTGCTTTGTTTTGTTTTCAGTCCAGCAGTGAATAAATTTTACGAACCAAGCAAATAAAGCCAGGGAAGTCTATGCAAGTGTGTTTGGGGGGAAGATTCTGCAAACTAGGAGAATGATTTCTCTGTCCCATTCAGGTTCCGTCCCCCCCGTTTGAATCTTAAGTTTAAAGCATGCAGGTTTCCAGAGCAGACCGTTTTCCAGAGCAGCTCACATTGGTATCAAAATAAAACACAGAACAGAAAGGAAAGAAACCGCATCAGAATGCAACGCCACATTTCAAAGTGATTTGAGAATTAGTTTCGAAGTGGCATCAAATTCAAATGGCGCATAGAATCAACGCCTCCTTTTGCCAACCTCTTACATTGCAAATATCCTACTTGTTTTCAACCCGCTTTCAAAGTGCTGTGATGAATTTATACGGCAACAATTTCGTGGGCATAGCCAGGATTTTTGGTGGGGGCAGACTTTTTGTTAGGGAGGCAGGCCAAACAGCTTGCAAGGAATTTAATTGATTTTTATTGATTGGAGGCAGCTGCCCCTCCCTGCCCCCCCCCCCAGTTACACCCATAAACAACTCCCTAGACTAAAATTCCTATTGTAATTAAGCCATAGTATGGGTAATTGTATATTCCTTCCATTTAGCCTTAGCTTCCTTTGAGTCTATTTTTAGATTGCAAGCCTCTGTGATCTGGGTCCTGCCAAACCTGTTTTTTGTGTCCATATACACATATGGCAACATGGGAATGGGTGCCGATGAGAGGCCAACCTGAAAAGTCAAGAATATTTATATTTTTTGCTGTTCCATGCTACTAGTCCTCGCCTGCCTGCTTCACACTTCCAGTGAAATGGGAACACTCCTGGTGCAACAGTTTCCAGTACTGTATTTCTTTTTTTAAAAAAAAGGAGAAGACAGTGCTTCAAGATTCAAATAGTATCTGATTATACCCTTTCTTCTATATTCCTCCTTCATAATGTAAACATAGAAAGAAGGGGTGGCATTTGGCACCTGTTATTATCTTAGTGTGCAATTAAATGGGAACAAAGTCACGGGACAGGAGACGGCTGGTATGCTTGGTTCCATGGTGTAATGGTTAGCACTCTGGACTTTGAATCCAGCGATCCGAGTTCAAATCTCGGTGGAACCTCATTTTGTTTGTGAATGGGGGTTCTCCCATCCCCTAACCCCCCTCGATTTTCAAATTGCGCGTTAGCCACAAACCTTGGAAAGAATTTAGAGGGTTGCGTCTCCAGTGGAGAGAGTTGGTCTCGTTCACTCTCAAGAGTAATTTAAAAGCAGAAAGTGTGTGCATGGATTTCTAGTGGAGTTTACAGAAGTGCTAAAAGTTAGTGTCGTTGTCTCCAAAGTAGAAAAGCTTTAATCCGGAAACGAAAACTTCAGTCTGAGTTCCTTAAACTTAAGCAGTAAAAGCTTTAGAGGGTGGGGGAATAAAGGGGGCGGGCTAATCAGCTGGAAGGCGTTATGCAATCTTAAAGAAACCAGCCAATTTAAACATGTGCAGAGTGCCTTACGGACGGGCGGGGTGATTTCCTTCCCTCTCGTGTGCCTAAGATAGGAGATCGCAGATCAGTCAACACAGCGCAGACTGAAGAAAAAGTTGCAAGAATATGGCATCTCAGAAGGAGGCATCGCCCAAGTGTCGGAGAACAGGCTGCGTTTTGATTGCTGGGGCCCGAGATTCATTTTCGGAAAGCAGGACGGCTAAGCTGCAAAATGAAACCATGCCAACAATAGGCTAACACGTCCAACGTTTTCAAAATGCCGCTCACACCTTGTAAAGCTTCTACATATACTGTGACGGGGAAAAGACGAGAGCGGATGCATTGGTGGTTCAGTGGTAGAATTCTCGCCTGCCACGCGGGAGGCCCGGGTTCGATTCCCGGCCAATGCAACGTACATTTTAATCTACTTTTAAAATTCCTGCATATGTTTCTTCAGTTAATTATATTTTATCGCACAATAACATTTCCTCCATCTTCAGGAATAGCAAAAGGCAAACTTTTATAGCCTTTTGAGTAAAGCAGTATCAAGAACTGCTGAGATTGCACATTACATCAAGACGCCTATTATCACTGGCCGAAATAGCTCAGTTGGGAGAGCGTTAGACTGAAGATCTAAAGGTCCCTGGTTCGATCCCGGGTTTCGGCATCAGTATTTTACGTTTTCGTTCTTCGGCCTTTAAGTAATAAGAGTCAGTAAATGCAGTCCTTTAACGGCAAGTTTCTCCGCTGTGAACATACAGACAGACTACGTTTTGTGTGGACACTTTTTATTTCATTTTTTTTAAGAGCTATGCCACTTCAAGAAAAGACAAGAGGACATGAAGATAAAAAGAAATGAAGTGTTGTCATGCCATTACAAGTAGTATTTAAGTTATTTACTGAGCACTTGCTGAAAGAAGACGGAAGAGCACTTTTCATTTGCAAATAAAGAGAAAAGAAATAGGGTTGGGGGACGACAAGGGAAAAGGAAGAGACCAGCTTTTTTTAAAGAAATAGCAATTCATTGCACGTCTGAATACCCATTTTTGAACAAGCATCTGTGGACCAGCACTGCGAAAGAGAGTTAAGTATCAGGAGCAAATGAACCAGTGTTAAGACAGTGGATATGAAGTCTTCCAAGTCACCCCGTTTCCCCTTAAACCTAATGAATATGATATAGGTAAAGCTGAGAGGTGAATATGAGAACAGGTGAACCTGGCCAGGAGAATAGCCCGATCACGAGCAGCAGCCGCGACGAGGTGGCCGAGTGGTTAAGGCGATGGACTGCTAATCCATTGTGCTCTGCACGCGTGGGTTCGAATCCCATCCTCGTCGGTGCATGTTGGCAGTTAGGGTGTCTTTTTTAAAAAATAGCAGTACGCAGCGTAAGCATCAAACCTGCAGTGCAAACCGATCATGAATCAGTATGTGGCAGGTATCACCAAAGCAGTATTGTCATTTTCTAAATACGCTGTTGATCCCGCGCACCGCACCTGCCGTTTTCTCCTAAAACTATTCTTCCATTAAATTGCAATTAGCAATTATATCAAGTAGACACTATGGTAAGAAAAAAATAAACCGCATTCCCTTTGTTGTGAGCAGCAATGTAAATAAGGAAGCAAATATAAATAACTGGCAGGATCCAAACCCAGCCCCCCTTAAAGACTGGAGTCTTAAAGCAGCGTTTTACGACCGCTCGCTTACGCTGCCACAATTCGTTTAATGTATCTCATTTAGAAATACGTAACCATAAGAGCAATCAATTTCAGCGACTTGGGAGAAGCCGATCAGGGCAATGATTTCAGTCTTTCGCAGAAATTGTGGGTGGCTCTTAAAAGAGCCGTTTGTGTGAAATGACGCCCCCCAGTAGAAATGTTAATTCACTTTTTCTTAGGGGCGAGTTTGGGCTTGGATGCCTTCGGCTTGGCTTTAGCCTTCGGCTTCAGAGCTTTGGCGGGGCTCTTCGTTGTCTTCTTGGGCTTGGTGACTTTGGACTTCTTGGGGCTCTTGGCTGCCTTCTTGGCACCTCCTGCCCCCGGTTTCTTGGCCACTTTCTTGACGGCTTTCTTGGCCCCAGCACCTCCTACAGCCTTCTTCACCTTGGCCGCGGCAGGCTTCGTGCTCTTCACCGCCGCCGCCGGCTTCTTGGGCGCCTTGTCCTTGTTTTCCGCCTGCTTCTTATTGAGCTTAAAGGAGCCGGAGGCGCCCGTGCCCTTGGTCTGCAGCAGGATCCCCCGGGTCACCAGGCTCTTCAGGCCCAGCTTGATGCGGCTGTTGTTCCGCTCCACGTCGTAGCCGGCGGCCGCCAGCGACTTCTTCAGCGCGGCCAGGGAGACGCCGCCGCGCTCCTTGGACGCCGTCACCGCCTGGGTCAGCAGCTCCGTCACGCTGGGGCCTGAAGCCTTGCGGGACTTCGGGGCCGCCTTCTTCGCGGTACCTTTGGGAGCCGCAGCAACAGCGGCGACAGGAGCAACTTCAGCCATTATCGCAGTGAACCTCCTTATTCCTCAACTCCGAAATCTGAGCGCGAGCAGCGGCTCGGAGCTCGCTATTTATAGGGGATGAGCCGCGCTCTGATTGGTGCGTTTCGGGGACGGCGCGTGCACGCCAATACCTGGCTGGGGGCCTTTGCCGCGTTGTGCTTCTTTATCAGCTTAAAATGTCAATTAATCGAAATTAGCTGCACGGATAATTTCGGTTCCGGGAGGGATCGATGGGGAGGATATGTGCGATTTTAAGGATCTGGTTTTCGCGTTCGGGGGATGCAAGGCAAGCCTGGAAAACAGAGGGGAGCTCAACCCCTAGCTAGTTCTTAAGCCTTCAAATAGGTAAACATTTGCTTTTAAGTCAAAATAGCAAATGTTTCTTTGGACGGACACTTGTGGAAAGTATTTAATAGGATACTTTGGAGGGTTTCCTTTTCAGTAACCGAGAAAGGAACGTGTTTCGGCGGATTATTTCAAGACAATTGCTTATTTAATTGAGCCAAAGTAGCACATCCGGCTTGTCTTATGAGGTGCTGTTTTCTGGCGTTCAGTGAAAGGAAAGTGGTGTTGTATAGTTGTTTTTGAACCAAGCTTCCAAGATATTCCGCGGGAATTTATTGAAAGTCTAAACCACTGCTGCACAGAAACTGATCGGCTTTCCTCAGAAATAATTGTTAAGAAGGTTTGTCCGCTGTGTCGCCTGAGGATAGATATATCACCGATATAAAGGGAGTCTGCAACAACAACAACAACAGATGCAGACTTTGTGCCTTAGGAAACTGACAGTTTCTCCCACTCCACTCCAAACTGAAGTTTACAAAGAATAGACACTTGTGGGTGTCCCACAGCAGACAGGGTCTGGGTCCCTTTGGTTATTGCAAGTGTCTGGAGATGAGTGTCTGCAGGCTGTTGGAGGATGGGTAGCGGCTAACAGATTGAGGTTGAATCCTGACAAGATAGAAGTGCTGTTTTGGGGGGACAGGAGGTGGGTGGATGTGTAGGACTCCCTGGTCCTGAATGGGGTAACTGTGCCCCTGAAGGACCAGGTGCACAGCCTGAGAGTCATTCTGGACTCACAACTGTCCATGGAGGCGCAGGTCAATTCTGTGTCCAGGGCAGCTGTCTACCAGCTCTATCTGGTATGCAGGATGAGACCTTCCCTGCCTGCAGACTGTCGTGCCAAAGTGGCGCATGCCCTGGTTATCTCCTGCTTGGACTACTGCCATGCGCTCTATGTGGGGCTACCTTTGAAGGTGACCCAGAAACTACAACTAATCCAGAATGCGGCAGCCAGACTGGTGACTGGGAGCGGCCGCCGAGACCACATAACACCGGTCCTGAAAGACCTACATTGACCCCCAGTATGTTTCCAAGCTCAATTCAGAGTGTTGGTGCTGACCTTGAAAGCCCTAAACTGCTCAGTTTACCTGAAGGAGCGTCCCCACCCCCATCGTTCTGCCTGGACACTGAGGTCCAGCTCCAAGGGCCTTCTGGCGGTTCCCTCACTGCAAGAAGCAAAGTTACAGGGAACCAGGCAGAGGGCCTTCTCGGTGGTGGCGCCCGCCCTGTGGAACACCCTCCCACCAGATGTCAAGGAAATAAACAACTATCTGAGTTTCTGAAGGCAGCTGTGTTTAGGGAAGTTTTTTATGTTTAATAGATTTTTGTATTTTAATATTCTGTTGGAAGCTGCCCAGAGTGGCTGGGGAAACCCAGCCAGATGGGCAGAGTATAAATAATAAATTATTGTTGTTGTTATTATTATTATTAAGACTTCACTGTCAGTAAGGAGTCATCTAACTATATTGTAACACCCTGAGATTTTATCCTTTTATCCCTGGCTATGGTGGCAATGTAGTCTCTGGGATCCATTGGCTGACATCTATGACTGGTGAGTGCTACATCAGACCCGGGAAGACTTGCAGTTAAATTGTCTACTCGTGATAAAATTACCTAAAAGTCACTCATTAGGTGATCTGAAGCCAGTCACTCCCTCTCAGTCTTGCCAACTTCACAAGCTTGTTGCGAGGTTGAAAATCAGGCGAAGATAAATTGTTCCTGCTTCTCTGAAAAGGGTGAAATGTATAAAACTGAAATTGATACAACACTGCTTCTGGACCCCTTGAACTGAATATACAAAATGTTTGATAGATATTTAAAGAAATTAATAGAAACAGATAATGCCACACAGCAGTGGCTACAACAATTCAATGGAATGTCATAGTAACAGACAATATCGTGGAAACAGCACACACAAAAACCCATCAACCCAGGGGCATACAGTTGCACAATGGCACAATATCTTTTCTCCTTCATGAGGGTAAATTCTTAGGAAACTCTTATGAAAATGAATCACTTCAAAAAATCAAGGAAAGATCAGAAATCACTTTCTAAGCTGTTTAACAGTGCAAACCTATGCGTGTTTATCCGAAAGGAAGCCTCATTATATGCAATGGGCCTTCGTCCCAGGTAAATGTGAGAAACGTTGCATTGAAAAAACAAGAACTCAGGGCTGCAGCATCCTCGTACTTAATTAGTCACACCTGCTTTTTGGGAGGTCTCAGCCCTTAGGCAGACTCGAATACTATTAGGATAACACCAAATCAGGAAAACTGCAGATCAGCGAAGTCCTCGTTAGTATAGTGGTAAGTATCCCCGCCTGTCACGCGGGAGACCGGGGTTCGATTCCCCGACGGGGAGAAGCGCACATTTTGCCGGGGAGGCGCGGAAATGGTGATCGGAAAAACAATAGCTGTATATGTATTATTATTACTATTATTCTATATTATTAATACCCATTAACAGTTTAAAGTGTTAGATTAAGAATGCTATACTCCACTGATCAGCACTGAACACAATACTAATATTTAACATACGATACAATCTCAGTCGTATGAAAGGGAACATAAAATCGCTTGCGGGTTTCAAAACTCAGACAGTAGCAGAAAAAAACAATCTTCCATGTGGTCAGCATTCAGTTAACAGGAAAATAGATACTGGCAGCGGTGGGATTCGAACCCACGCCCCCGAAGAGACTGGAGCCTTAATCCAGCGCCTTAGACCGCTCGGCCACGCTACCTTACGAAAGCCGTTCTTTTTCTCTCTCATTTTAGTTTGCAAGACTAAATTTTCTTTTCTTTTGTGTTCTGTCTACTCATCTAATCAGTTGCAAGCATGTAAACCGGCACTTTCTGCAATTCTCTGTACAATTCCAGCAGAATTTAAGTCTCACGCTGCGCTACCATTTGCTTCGTTCTGATTGGTCAATAGCTAACTTCCGCTTTTGTCCATTCGTGTCGCCGCGCGGGATATTTAAATAAAAATATTTAGTTTTCCCTCGCTACCGGGTAATCCCAAAGAAATTGAAATTCAGATTGAGGGAGCACAGCCCATAAATGTATGTTCTTCATGAAATTAAGTCCACATATGTTGTGTCCTCGCCTTTCATTTTATTAAAAGAATCCTGGAAACAACAAATATATTGTGAGCGAGGCAAGCTAGGGAAGGTAAAAAGAGAAAAGGATGGAGACGTTGCGGCTTCAAATCACGTCCAATCCCTGCAAAGCGCGGGAGATTCAAATCCGGCAAGTGATTGGTCAATGCTCTTAGCCAATCCAGGCAGAGGAATTACTGTATAAATAGCCCGCCAGAGGCCGCTTTCGACAAGTCGTTGGTGTCAGCCGTGAGAGGAGGTGCTTGTTTTCTATTCTTTTCGCCTTGTAGTTCTGTAATGGCTCGTACCAAGCAGACCGCTCGCAAGTCCACCGGCGGGAAGGCGCCCCGCAAGCAGCTGGCGACCAAAGCCGCCCGGAAGAGCGCCCCGGCCACCGGGGGTGTGAAGAAGCCTCACCGCTACCGCCCTGGGACTGTCGCCCTGCGAGAAATCCGTCGCTACCAGAAGTCGACGGAGCTGCTGATTCGCAAGCTGCCCTTCCAGCGTCTGGTGCGGGAGATCGCGCAGGATTTCAAGACTGATCTGCGCTTCCAGAGCTCTGCGGTGATGGCCCTTCAGGAGGCGAGCGAGGCTTACCTGGTGGGCCTTTTCGAAGATACCAACCTGTGCGCCATCCACGCCAAGCGGGTCACCATCATGCCCAAAGACATCCAGCTGGCTCGCCGCATCCGCGGAGAAAGGGCTTAAATCTACACCTCTCGCTCAAAGAACAAAAGGCTCTTTTAAGAGCCACTACATACTCTCAAAATTGCTGGAAATTGCTCTTATTCTCCTTGCTTTCGGTGTACTTTCCGGTAGGGCAAAATGCCCATCGTATACATAAGCGAAAAGTGCTATAACATTTTCTGCATATAACTTATAATAAGCGGTCTTGGGCCGGGGGTAGATCCCTTTTACAGGACGTATATATGTCCTTAATGATAGTGTAGAAAAATGCAAATATTTTTGGCTGGCCACTTCGTCTTTTCAGTGCATCTATGCCTAGGACCAACAGGGCAGTAAGCTTGGACTTCTATGGAAATTTTACAGCTATTTCCGTAAAGGAACTGCCTCGTTATAATTGCTTCCCCTAACCTAGAAGTTTCAACTTGTATACACATTTGATTCATGCCTCTAAAATATAGCTGTTCCAACCTGCAGTTTAACATCCAGCTTTGCTGTTTCATGCTTGAGACAGCTGGTATACAGTTCACAACTTTGGATTTCGACAGCATACTGGAAAGAATGCTGCGGTTTTGTAAAATACTGTAATATCAGCTGCTAGGTAGGGAACTGCAATAGGTTGGTTTATTTTTGGATTTAATAGCAAGCTGGAAGCATATCTGGTGGTTATCCAATAAGCCAACCTTAAGCATGGTTGGGTTAATTTTACAACACTGGAATCTGCCGCAAGCATCTAGCATTTTACGTGAAAAGCAAGCACAGCTCTTCTAAAGAAAAAGTGGAGGGCTCTTAAAAGAGCCTTTGGGTTTAAGTGGAGGGGTTTTTTTCCAAGTTTACTTGGAGCTGGTGTACTTGGTGACAGCCTTGGTGCCCTCAGACACGGCGTGCTTGGCCAACTCCCCGGGCAGCAGCAGGCGCACAGCAGTCTGGATCTCCCGGGAAGTGATGGTGGAGCGCTTGTTGTAATGGGCCAGGCGGGAAGACTCGGCAGCGATGCGCTCAAAGATGTCACTGACGAAGGAGTTCATGATGCTCATGGCCTTGGAGGAGATGCCTGTGTCTGGGTGGACCTGCTTGAGCACCTTGTAGACATAGATGGAGTAGCTCTCCTTCCTGCTCTTCTTGCGCTTCTTGTCGCCCTTCTTCTGGGTCTTGGTAATGGCCTTCTTCGACCCTTTCTTGGGCACGGGAACCGACTTCGCAGGCTCAGGCATTTTCAAAATCAGCCGCTACTTCTGTAGCGCAGAGAGAAACAAACGCCTTTTATGCCAGCTTCATGCAAATGAAGGACTTGAAGCACTTGTTTTCTGATTGGCTGGTCAGGAGACTCTTTCAAATACTGCGTTTCTATAGGCAGAAAATACGTGTTTCCCATTGGTTTAAGAACTACGCTCCCTAGAGTTTGAATTACAAGCTCAATATGGTATTGGTCGCTGACTGGAAAGCTTGCATTGCTATCCAATCAAAAATGCGATTCGAAGCCACAGGCCAAATTGAGCAAAACGTTTCAGGGAAATGCTTTTTAAAAGATAATACAATCATTAGATCAAAAAGGGATAATTTTAGATTCAGATATCTGTTCCCATGAAAAATCACACAAACCCCCCAAATTTCCTTTTGAGAAACGGAATATAGTACTGTAAATTCGCAATAAAATTGCTGAGCACTCATATGATTCCCAACTTCTTCGGCGAATTATTTTTTTAAGAAAGCCCTGTTGCTTTGTCTTTTACTCTTTAGCATTCAAAACGGGGGCTTGCAAGTTACAGTAGGAAACCGTTTGATTACTGCACTGTTTTGATTTCTCCCGTAGTTTCTCTCCCAACCCCCAAACCCCCGATAATCTCCCCAAGCCTTCCCTTCCGTTCTGTTTCTCAAGGTTCAGGGACGGAAGTGTCGACCAATTTTTCAAGCACGGTTGCGCTTCTAAAAAACGCCACCTCCCTTTTTGATATGAAGCTTTCCTAAATCAGATTCCAACGTGTTCTCATGATAATCGATTCCCTTAAATCCCCGGGAGGGGGGGGCGCCATTGATAATCGGATTAAACGGCTTCGAGCAATCACGTGGATTGCGTAGTTTTGGCAATTGCCCTATGGGGACTCGTTATGCACCTTTTCCAACAAGTATCGAAGGCATTAATAAAATCTTCAGGTGTGGGTATCTTCTGTAGGCTAGGACGATATCTAATCAGGAAATCAATCCTATTTTTAAAAATTAAAACGTAAAATTTCGTGTGCAAAATGTTTAATGGAGATGCCGGGGATCGAACCCGGGGCCTCATACATGCAAAGCATGCGCTCTACCACTGAGCTACATCCCCGCCCGCCATGAACGCTCTGGAAATATATATTGAAAAGGCATAGTTATTGTGCAACCAAAGAAAACCAAGTATCTAAACTGCCCATGCTAGTTCTAGGCTACATTAGGTGCTTGTAACCTTGAAAACAAAACCCAACAGGAACGATAAACCTTTTTACTTCAAGCCTTCCGTCAGCTCTACTATGAAGTCAAGCCAAACTCTCGAGAATTCCCAATTCACTAGTGCAGATGCAGAAAGCCTTTTAAAAAATAGAACATTTTAGCGCATTTTAACAGCTCTTTTATGGGCAAGTGGTGGCCCTTAAAAGGGCCGTTTGTGCTGCGAATATGAAATCAGGAATTTAGCCGCCAAATCCATAGAGAGTACGGCCTTGGCGCTTCAAGGCGTACACCACATCCATAGCGGTCACGGTCTTCCTTTTCGCGTGCTCCGTGTAAGTTACAGCATCGCGGATCACGTTCTCCAGAAACACCTTTAGGACACCGCGAGTCTCCTCGTAGATCAGCCCAGAAATACGTTTCACTCCTCCGCGGCGAGCCAGCCGGCGAATAGCGGGCTTAGTGATTCCCTGGATGTTATCACGAAGAACCTTCCTGTGCCTTTTGGCACCCCCTTTGCCCAAGCCCTTGCCACCTTTGCCACGGCCAGACATCTTGCAAAATCACAATCGGCTACAAACTCACGAGAAACCAATGTAGCGTAAGCCTCTGCAGTTGTCCTTTTATACCATTGTATCCGACCAGAGGGAAAACTTCAACGTTTGCTCCACCCACGCCTCTCAACCAGTAAAAATACGCCGCGGGTCTTCATACAATTCAACCTGCCGAATGATGTTTTTCCTAGTGAAGATAAACAGTTCTGTCAGCGTACATGAATTACAACTTCGGTGCTTTTGATAACACCCGTCCTAGCTTCTTGGAAATCGAATTGCTGGTGATTTGTATTTATTTTTTGACAAATAAATGGCTGGAAAAAGCACGGCACGAGACAGAAATTCCACTTCACTTAAATCTATCCGCTAATTTTAACTGTGAACTAAGGGAATGGAGAAGAGAACAGAGTTAATTTAGCTTTAGCGCCCCTTGGTAAAAACTGAATATTTTATTATTAAGTTTCTATACTAGTGTACCTTTCATCAGGATTACAGGGCGGTTTACAATACAAAAATACATAGTGAAAATAACAATAACCCCTCAGACACAGTTTAAAAGGCCACAACACAGATTGCTTAATTAGCCAAAGGTTTATATTCTAAAACTGATAAGTGTTCTAGAACTAATTTTTAAAAAACTCAATCTGTAAAGTCTACAAGCTGAAGCAGGAAGAACCTTGCTTTGAAGGCCAAACTAATGCCAGTGTACTGGAAGTAGCAAATATCACCACTGTTGAAGAAATGATTCTTCAACATCCACTTCGTTGGACTGGTCACGTTGTTTGGATACCTGATTATTGTCTTCCAAAGCAACTACTCTATTCCATACTTGAAAATGGAAACCGTGATGCTGGTGGTCAGCAAAAGAGGTTTAAAGACTCTCAAGGCAAATCTTTAAAAATGTAGTATAAACACCAGCAATTGTGAAACGCTGGACAGCAAGCGCTCCAGTGGGAGAACAGTCTTTACCGAAAGTGTCATGGGATTTGAAGACACTCAAACTCAGGACGCAAGGGAGAAACGCGCTAAGAGGAAGTCACGCTTGGCAAACCCTCGCCGTGATCAACTCCTGCCTAGAAACCTATGTCCCCACTGTGGAAGGACGTGTGGATCCAGAATTGGCCTCCACAGTCACTTACGGACTCATTGTTAAGACCGTGTTCGTGGAAGACAATCTTACTTGGCCATGAGAGATCTCCAAAAAGATGACAATGACTCCTAGGTAATAGGAATCAGAACTGCAGCTGTCACTTATCTTCATGTTACCAGAACACATTGACCGATAATATATTTGGAGGCTGCTGTGGGAGAGAATTGGGGGAATCTTAAGTGGAAAAGTAGTTTGAACCCCCGATAGGGAGAAAATAAGTTTGGGGAGGTTCGAATTCCTTCAAAACATGAGTTTTCGGATTTCACAGGTATTCTTGCCTTGATTAGACACTAAAAAAGTCATTAAATAGTCCCCTGGGAAAAGACTGAATGAAACACCTAACTGCTTTTCCTGCGTCCAATATTTATTTTATTGAAAAGGTTGTAAAGGAACACAACTACATACCAAGGTTTTACTATTCAGATTTAATACAATAAAGAAATGGATTCAGTTTCTAGTTTCACAGATGTGAAATCACAATTAATATATGGTACAAAGTGCAGAGTGGGGGGAGGAAGTGACCAGGCAACATTTTTGAGAGAAGTATAAAGTTGGGTAAGTGATAGGACTTGATAATTCTTAACGAACATTTACTCACTGTGACTCAAGGGGGAAAATAAGTTGTAGGTTCTATTGAGATTTGAACTAAAAACGCTGGAATCAGAGTCCAGAGTGCTAAACATTACACCATAGAACCACATAAAACGAACTATATTATCAGATCCTGAAGCTGCACAAAAGAAAATGGTTAATTACCAATTAGAAAATGTGTACATAGCTATTCAATGTGTGTGCTTATGCAAAGGACTAGTGGTAGGTTGATATGTTACCAGTTATTACAACAGAACAATGTTGTCTCCCAAAAAACAGTAACTTGCCTTTTCCTGTACAGTGGTACATCATGGTTAAGTACTTAATTCATTCTGGAGGTCCGAACTTAACCTGAAACTGTTCTTAACCTGAAGCACCACTTTAGCTAATGGGGGCCCCTGCTGCCACCGGAGCACGACTTCTGTTCTCATCCTGAAGCAGTTCTTAACCTGAAGCACTATTTCTGGGTTAGTGGAGTCTGTAACCTGAAGCGTATGTAACTTGAAGCATATGTAACCCGAGGTACCACTGTACTGGATTGGTAAACAGTTCTTAATGCTTATTACACCAGTGAAGTCCCCCCCTTAAATTCTAGTAACTCTGTTGAACCAATTTCTTAATACATTTTAAACTGTTACTTTTGAATGTGGTGGCCAGATTGTTGTAGATATTTTGGGGACAAGTTGGAAGCCCTAAGAAATAAAACTCAGTAGTGATTTCATCTTTTAAAATAATTTGTGTGGCTCTTAAAAGAGCCTTTTGGTTTAAGTGGAGGGTTTTTTCCCCAAGTTTACTTGGAGCTGGTGTACTTGGTGACAGCCTTGGTGCCCTCAGAAACGGCGTGCTTGGCCAACTCCCCGGGCAGCAGCAGGCGCACAGCAGTCTGGATCTCCCGGGAAGTGATGGTGGATCGCTTGTTGTAATGGGCCAGGCGGGAAGACTCGGCAGCGATGCGCTCGAAGATGTCACTGACGAAGGAGTTCATGATGCTCATGGCCTTGGAGGAGATGCCCGTGTCCGGGTGGACCTGCTTGAGCACCTTGTAAACATAGATGGAGTAGCTCTCCTTCCTGCTCTTCTTGCGCTTCTTGTCGCCCTTCTTCTGGGTCTTGGTAATGGCCTTCTTCGACCCCTTCTTAGGCACGGGAACCGACTTCGCAGGCTCGGGCATCTCGAAACGATTCCACCAACCGCCGAGAGAGAAATGAAGCACTCTTCGCCGCCGCTTGTATTTATACGAGTCTCATGCAAATTAGCACCTCAAACGCTCAAATTTCTATTGGTCGGCAACTTAGTATGCAAATAGCAGTGGAAGCGTTTGTTTGTCATTGGCTAACCAAGGCTCCTTCACTTTAGCGCCAACTGGGAGTCCATTTCCTATTGGTTAAATCGAGAGTTCGCTCTCATTGGTTTGGTTTCCCCCGCCATCCAATCAGAAGTGTCTATTTACAATCCGAGAAACGAACTGGGCAAATGAGAAGCCGCGCGGGAATTTTGAAGCTATGCTCGCGGCTTATGGGATTCGCATTGGGCGTCGCTTGACCGCGATGAGTTTTTAGGATAATGGAAGGGATCTCAGAGGACCGACCAGTATCCCTGCTTTGTTCCCTTTTCGGATTAGATGCATGCAAACCAGACAATGAGCTCTTTGGAGCTTGCCGTTTGCTATCCGCTGCTGCATTTGATTATGATGAACAGGAAAATAATCCCGCTATTTGCTTTGGGAAAGGGGAAAGATAAACACATTGGGAGGCTGCCCTGCGCCTCTTTGTCTCCTGGTTCTCCCAGCCGAGTGAAATCAGGATGCTGAATATATGTTAAGTCAGCTCTGTCTTCAGCCAAACCAGCCACAGTAACACGCGCCCAAGGGCCAGTGGCGCAATGGATAACGCGTCTGACTACGGATCAGAAGATTCTAGGTTCGACTCCTGGCTGGCTCGGGAAGGGTCAACTTTTTGGGGGAAGAGGAGGTTTTGCCCCACGGTCAATCTCCGATGGCATCTCCAAGTCGAAGCTCCTTGAGCCAGTCTGTGAGTTACGGTAACTGGGCCAGTGGTCTGACTCGGTATAAGCAGGAGCTGGCTTAGCTTGATGTTTTCATTGTGGCATCTGCAATGGAGGAGGATGTTCTGACAATGATCCTACTAAGTGTCTCATCCTGCTCCTTGGGGTTTCAGTTTCTGCTCTACTGCTGCTTCCCACGAAGAACATCTACTTGCCGACTCTTAGAAGAGGATGCTGAGCTAAGAGAGGCCACTTTGGCCCCATCAACTTCTAAAGTTTGCATGACCCCTTTCTGAGCCGGCAGCATCCTTCCTCTTTCTCACCTCCAGCCCCACTCTGCTGCTCTGTCATTTCCTCAAGCGCTTTGGTTAACAGGCAAAAGCACAGCAAGGACGGATGTGGTGAGCTCTGCTCTTTACTCCTGTGGTCAGCTTTAGGGACAGGCAGCATGTTGATGCAGGCCAGCACTTAGGTCCCTGGCAAGGAACTGTTGTTATTACATTCTAATTTAATAATCCAGGTTTTTATCTGCTTTTCTATTACAGTTTCCTGACCTTTATGTTGCATATTTGTTTTGATGGTGTACACACCAAGAAGCCATGCACTGTGCTCTTGAATTTGCAGGGGTGGGGGCTGATGCTTTCTCATGCTCCCCCTCCACATTGTTGCATTCTGGCTACTTTGAAAATCACATAATTGTAGAGTTATAACCCTAGTCCAACCCCTTGCAATGCAGGGATATGCAGCTGTCCCATATGGGAATCAAACTTGCAAACTTGGCATTATCAGTCCCATGCTCTAACCAACCCAGGCTGAACTGAACGCTATCTATCTACACTATCTATTTGAACACTGATAAAAACAAGTGATGGCATTGACACAGCTAGATCAGATGTGGTTAGCAGCTCTTTGATGGGGCTGAGTAAAGCTTATGGCCTATAGGCTGAGTTCTGCACTGAGCTCAGGGTTCATGTCATTGAAATTCTGCTCAGTATTGATCCAGAGGAGAACTCCAGCGTATCGTTAGCAGAGCAAAAACTTAAACACATTGCAGGATTCCCAAAAAGTAGACCAAAGGCAATTGATATTTCATCCAGCAGAGAGCTTTACTGAAGGCAAATGAGCATAGCGGTCACAAATCCAATGCATTCAGGATTGGCACCGTCCATAAGAAATCCAGTTACAACAGACTTAACTTAAACTTACAATAACTTATAATAAGACTAAACCTCAACACTATATCCTGGAGGGAGACTTCCGGGTTAGCGCCATCGCCGAATGGCGGACTCCCTCCGAGCTCCGGAGGGAGTCTGCTCGGCAGGGGCTGGGTCCTACCGCGCCGGCGACGCGGGACCCTTAAAAACCACGGGCACGGAGTCCGTGGACATGGGTGACTCGGCTTGCACCATTAGCGCCCTCCCGACTCGTGAAGGAGCCTTTTAAAGGCTTCGGATCGGGTGCCGGGGAGTGGCGTGGTGCTTGAGTCCACTGCTTTCCCTGCCGAGCGCAGCCGCATGCCATTCGACGGAGAGCGCTGACTTCTTCTATTGAAAATTTGGACTATTAACAACAACCCGTGAGTAATTGGGAAACCGGGTTCAAAATTTTGGATTTGGCACGAGCGGGGCGATTTAAAAGGAAGTCAATCCCCCTATTGTAAGCATTCCAAAACAAGGACTGGGTAACCAAGGTCCAAAGGGAAGTATGTTTCTGATAAAAATCATTAATTTCACGATGGGAAATTATAAGAAATGTGCTGGAGGAGAAGAGTGGAGGGTGAGAAGAAAAATGCAACCCCCCCCCCTGGGAACCGGGGCGATTCGTGGAGCCTGGTGAAGAGAGACGGAGACTTTGACAGCTGTCAAAGTGGCTGTCAAAGCTGGAGAATATAAAGAGGACTTTGTTATGAGGACCTTGCTGGTTAATTTTGTTACAATTTGCTATAATATGGATACAAACTGTTGGAAAATAAGCAACAATTTGACTTTTGGATTAGAGGATACAAAGTTATTACAATCCCCTAGAGGGGTTTCGGGATACTACAAGAACGGTCGTAAGTGGAAAAATACCCTGGGATTCGCACAGGATTTGTTATCTTCTGGGAAAGCTGCAAAACTGAAAGAGTATTTTGTCTACAGAGGAAGACAATGGAATTTTTATTGAAGAAAGAAAGGGACTGGACGTAAGTTTTTGTTCCTGAATAACAAACCTCTGCAGAGACACTAGATTTCTGAATTAGAAAGTTTTAGCAGCTGAACAGGACAAGAAACCTGAGAAAGTGAGGAATAAGAAGAATAAAGGACTGATTACGACACGGAAAGAACAACGGGAGGAATGGTAAAGATCAAGGAAATTAAAGGCCTTTGTTAGATTGGACATTTGAAGTCAAATATTATTTAAATTAATAAACTAAAAGAAAACCGGCAAGATGGAATCTGTGAGAAATCTGGTCATGAAATGAGACTTCCAATCTGATAATGTACAGACTGATGGATATTGGGAATTCAAACCGGGAAGGGGGCAGATTTGAAATCCAAAGGCTGTGTAACCATTTTTTGAATTTTTCTATATCTCTTATTTTCTATTTCTTTACATAACTTACGCATGTTATTTTACTTTGATCGGACGTGCTTAAAAAAAGGGAATTTGTGGAAGGAACTGGGGTGGATCTTGGGGAAAATCTTTTTCTTTTCTGTTAATGATGTGGGACGGTGGTAAGATTTGTACAATTCAATCTGGATAGTGGGTTAAACAAATTAAGCTTTAAATTGGGAGTGAGAGCTTGTAGAACCAAATTAAGGAAAGGGGAATACAATTGGGGGAGGGGGAGTCCCAGAAAGTAGGGAATGAAAGTAAGATTTTTAAATATCTTCTTTCTTTTGTCTTTTTTCTTTGTATTTTTATATTTTTGGAAACTTTAATAAATATGATTTAAAAAAAAAAACAAAACACTATATCCTGGAGGTTTTGCTGAATATGATTAGAAGGGACCAGTTGGTAAAAGGTATACAGGTCGGAGCGAAACAGTACAAATTGAGAGCATTTGCAGATGACTTAGTATTGACGTTACAGGAGCCAGAATCTAGTACCAAAAGGGTTTTAGAACTGATTCAAGAATTTGGTCAAGTAGCAGGATTTAAATTGAACAAGTCAAAAACTAAGGTTTTAGAGAAAAATTTAACATCGATTGAAAGAGAGAGGTTTCAGAATGAGACAGGTTTAACAGTGGTTAAGAAAGTTAAATACCTGGGGATTAACATGACAGCAAAAATGGGAATTTATTTAAAGACAACTATGAAAAATGTTGGGCTGAAGTGAAAAAGATTTAGAAATTTGGTCAAATTTGAAGCTTTCACTGCTGGGCCGTATTGCTGCGATAAAAATGAATGTATTGCCTAGAATGTTGTTTTTGTTTCAAACTTTGCAAATTGTGGACAGAATGGATTGTTTCAAGAGGTGGCAGAAAGATATTTCTAGATTTGTCTGGCAGGGCAAGAAGCCCAGAATAAAATTTAAAATACTAACGGATGCAAAGGAAAGAGGTGGATTTGCCCTGCCAGACCTTAAACTTTACTATGAATCAGCAGCTTTTGCTGGTTGAAAGAATGGCTACTTCTTGAAAACACTGACATTTTGGACCTAGAAGGTTTTAATAATGTATTTGGATGGCATGCATATCTATGGTATGATAAGGTCAAAGCACATAAAGCATTTAAAAACCATATTGTCAGGAAAGCGCTGTTTAATGTTTGGATAAGATATAAGGATTTGTTAGAAAACAAAACCCCAAGGTGGCTGTCACCAATGGAAGCGAAAGCCTTGAAAAAGCTCAATATGGAGGTCAAATGGCCGAAATATTGGGAAATTTTGGAACAAGATGGAGATAGACTGAAATTGCAGAGCTTTGAAAAACTAAAAAACAAAGTGCGAGACTGGCTTCATTATTTTCAGATAATGGAGGTATTTAAATTGGACAAGAAAATTGGCTTCCAGGTGGAAAAATCAAAATTAGAAACTGAACTGTTAGAACCCAAAACTAAGAATTTGTCAAGAATGTATAACCTGCTGCTGAAATGGAATACTCAGGATGAAACGGTAAAATCGGCTATGATTAAATGGGCACAAGACGTTGGACATAACATTATGTTCGCTGACTGGGAACAGTTGTGGACCACAGGTATGAAATTTACGGCATGTAATGCCTTAAGAGAGAATATTATGAAAATGATATACAGGTGGTACATAACCCCAGTCAAGCTTGCAAAAATCTATCATTTGCCCGATAATAAATGTTGGAAATGTAAAGAAACTGAAGGTACATTTTTCACCTTTGGTGGACGTGCCCAAAGATTAAGGCTTTCTGGGAAATGATATATAATGAATTAAAAAGGTATTCAAATATACCTTCCCCAAGAAACCAGAGGCCTTTCTCCTGGGCATGGTCGGCCAAATGGTGATAAAAAGGATAGAACTTTCTTTATGTATGCAACAACAGCAGCAAGAATACTCATTGCAAAGTATTGGAAGACACAAGAACTTCCCACACTGGAGGAATGGCAGATGAAACTAATGGACTATATGGAACTGGCGGAAATGACTGGTAGAATCCGTGACCAGGGAGAAGAGTCGGTGGAGGAAGATTGGAAGAAATTCAAAGATTATCTACAGAAACACTGTAAAATTAAAGAATGTTAGAGTGATGTTGGATTGAAAATGAGTGGTTTCCAGCTGTACAGGATTTAAAGTTATAGATAAACTAAGATTAAGGATTAGGATTAAAGAAGTTTAAGGAAATGGAAATTTGGCTTTTAAGAGGTAAAATTTTAATGTTATATTATATTAAGATTAAAGATTGGGATTAAAAAAGTGGGAAAGAAATTGCTGGACAAACAATTTGAACTGGAATACAAAAGAGGGAGGTATGAGGAGGTCCAGAAAACAAGTAAATTTAAAGATGGAAATGAAAAGGTGATACTGTTTTTAATTGTTCTTTTTGTCTTGTATTTTGTTTTTTCTTTGTTTTTTTGGTTTTTTTTTTGGACTATGTATTGTGCTTTTTTGAATTGTGTATTTTTCGTTTATGTTTTTCTGTTTAATCTTTTATTGAAACCTTAATAAATATCATTAAAAAAAATAAAAATAAACCTCAATACTATATACAGAATTGGCAGAGCTGATTGGGAGAATCAAAAACCAGCGTGATGGAGCTTTCCAAAAAGACTGGAGTAAATTTGTATAATATTTGAAGGATAATTGAAGAACAATTAACAACACTAGCAGGGTTGTTCTGAAAAGACCTGTAACAATGATTTCTGCCTTTTTATATTTACTCAAAATTTGTGATAATTGGAATAAGTGAAATGTAAATTGGAAGAGGCACAAATGCTAGGATATAGAAATGAATTATGAGAACCATGAGGCGGGAGGGAGGGAAGTCGATTAGCTCATATGAGCAAAGAGTTAAGGTAACAATAAGGATGTATTTAAATATTATAAAGGCAAATTGATATTTCATCCAGCAGAGAGCTTTACTGAAGGCAAATGAGCATAATGGTCACAAATCCAATGCGTTCAGGATTGGCACCGTCCATAAGAAATCCAGTTACAACAGACTTTAACTTAAACTTACAATAACTTATAAGAAGACTAAAACGCTATATATAGAACACCACACCAGAAGGAAGAGAGACAGAAAGATAAAGTGAAACCCAAGCTCCTCCCAGCCGTATTATTATCCATAGTCAGCATGACTTTGACAGAAGAAATAAGGCAGGCATGTTGAACAGGTAGATTGTGATCTGCCGGCAGATCACTGGACATTTGTGATAGATCACCAGGAGTAGATCACTGCCAGTTTTTAACTGTGTGAGTAGATCATGGTCTCTTGGGAGCTGGCCACCCCTGAAATAAGGGAACCAGTTTAAGTCAGCTGTACTCAGCTTCTCTGAAGGAACATCAAACATCATGAACCTTCTGCTTGTTTCTTTCACGCAGAGAAAAGCTCCCAGAACCCTCTCAAATTAAGCAGAATAGGAAAGATCTCTACACATCAGATCAAGAAATGCTAACTGGCAATGTGCTGGAGGGAAAGGTGTGGTGTTGCAGTTCCTGTCTTTGGGGTTTGTTTCAGCAGCACCAGCTTCTTGTCTGTCTTGAGAGAGAGAGCAGGGAAAGGAGGGAGTTGGGTCCCCCAGCCGTGGGTGATCTTTGAAGGATACGGACAGAGCATGAAGTCTGCCGCTTTTGTGACAGGTTGGTGACCTCTCTGCCCTCCTCAGATGGGGGAAATTTGCTTTCTATCTCACATTCACACCATTTTTATTGCATCTGTCCTTTGTTCTGCACTTCCAGCCTGTCTCCAGATCCTTCTTGTGAGATCAACCCACCCAGGTAAAGTTGACTTCCATTCTTGTTTGTTGTTATTGTTGTTTAGTCGTTTGGTTGTGTCCGACTCTTTGTGACCCCCTGGACCAGAGCACGCCAGGCACTTCTGTCTTCCACTGCCTCCCGCAGTTTGGTCAAACTCATGCTGGTAGCTTCGAGAACACTATCCAGCCATCTCGTCCTCTGTCGTCCCCTTCTCCTTGGGCCCTCCATCTTTCCCAACATCAGGGTCTTTTCCAGGGAGTCTTCTTCTCTTCTCATGAGGTGGCCAAAGTATTGGAGTCTCAGCTTCAGGATCTGTCCTTCCAGTGAGCACTCAGGGCTGATTTCCTTAAGAACGGAGAGGTTTGATCTTCATGCAGTCCATGGGACTCTCAAGAGTCTCCTCCAGCACCATAATTCAAAAGCATCAATTTTTTGGCGATCAGCCTTCTTTATGGTCCAGCTCTCACTTCCATACATCACTACTGGGAAAACCAGAGCTTTAACTATACGGACCTTTGTTGGCAAGGTGATGTCTCTGCTTTTTAAGATGTTGTCTAGGTTTGTCGTTGCTTTTCTCCCAAGAAGCAGGCATCTTTTAATTTCATGGCTACTGTCACCATCTGCAGTGATCATGGAGCCCAAGAAAGTAAAATCTCTCACTGCCTCCATTTCTTCCCCTTCTATTTGCCAGGAGGTGATGGGACCAGTGGCCATGATCTTGGGTTTTTTTATGTTGAGCTTCAGACCATATTTTGCGCTCTCCTCTTTCACCCTCATTAAAAAGTTTTTTAATTCCTCCTCACTTTCTGCCATCAAGGTTGTGTCATCTGCATATCTGAGGTTGTTGATATTTCTTCTGGCAATCTTAATTCTGGCTAGGGATTCATCCACCCCAGCCTTTCGCATGATGAATTCTGCATATAAGTTAAATAAGCAGGGAGACAATATACAGCCTTGCCGTACTCCTTTCCCAATTTTGAACCAGTCAGGTGTTCCATATCCAGTTCTAACTGTAGCTTCTTGTCCCACATAGAGATTTCTCAGGAAACAGATGAGGAGATCAGGCACTCCCATTTCTTTAAGAACTTGCCACAGTTCCAAGGGATGTAAGGGTGTTACGTACTTTTTTATTTAAAAAATGTCACACACACCCCTTGTTACAAAATTAAATAATTAGACTTACATGGCTGACAAAGAATGGGTCACTAGGAGGGGTAAAATACTAAACACATTATTTTTCAGTACACAATAATCTGGTGGTTACAGTAAACTAGTATAATGAATTCTTCAGCAAATCAACTTGAGTAGGAGGAGCGAGCTAATGAGTTGTGCTTGCTTATCTGCACCATACTGCAATATATGTTGTATTTCTCATCCATGTGTTGTCTCATATGTATACTTAATAAAATCACACCATGAAGTGTAAAAATTATACCGTTTGTTTCCCTCCTTTTCCGTTTTTGTGACAGCTTCTCCATTACAGCTGTTTGTCTGACTGTGTTACACCGGTGATCAATATTCATTAATTGCAAGTTTCTCCAGGTTCTGGCTATTACCATTCTAGCTGCCGTTAATAAATGTGTTATCAATTCCTTCTTCATTGGTCCATATCTGAAGTATATAAATTAAGTGGTCGCTGGGGTTGTCTGAGAGATCTCTTTAAAAACTTCTTTCCAAAGTAGTTCTATTTGTGGACAGTCCTACCACACATGTTGGTATGGGCGTATAATTTGCACCCTCTGCAACATAACGGAGGGCTATTGGGTTTTAAGGGAGGCACCTCAGTGTTAAATACCATCCATGCACAATTTTGAGAGAACTTCCTCAAGTCGCAGATTCAGGGCCGCATTTAGGTTTGATGTGGCCCTCAGCTACTGAAGGTAATGGGGCCCTTTATATGTCCAGCTGTCCTTTGCCAACAACAAGTTGTTTTTGTTGAATATATGCTATATGATAATTTATGGACCTCATAGGTATCTAATGTCTTTTACACATAACAAATAGGAGCCTACGCAACACAAAACACTGTTGCTGTATGTAGGTTTTATTTTGTTTTTTGTTTTTTATTTTGGAGATGTACATCCTCTATTTTCCACCCACATTCTGATTCAATGTCTTTTTTTGTTTGATTATCCATATTTTTTATCAGCATCTTGGTTTCCCCTTTCTTTAATTTAAAGGTCTTTAAGCAGAGGCTTGACAACCATATGTCAGGAGTGCTCTGATGGTGTTTCCTGCTTGGCAGGGGGTTGGACTCGATGGCCCTTGTGGTCTCTTCCAACTCTATGATTCTATGATTCTATGATTCAATTTTCCAGATCTATTTGTCTCTTTTGTCACACCTGGTATGCTCACTCTTGGTTGCTCTAAGGTTAATACAATGTCATCCGTGAACACTTTTATTTTGTAATTTTGCTGGCCCACTGTTATTCCATGAATTTTATTATTCATCCTTATATTTCTTCTCCCTTTCTATGTTCCTTTCTATTTTCCACGGTTTACCTTTTCCCTTTTGGCCACCAGATGGCGCCAGAGACACTCCTGTACTTGACTGCTACTTATGTCTCACATCCCACAAGTAATACATGTTGTTGTTGTTGTTGTTGAGTCGTTTAGTCGTGTCCGACTCTTCGTGACCCCCTGGACCAGAGCACGCCAGGCACTCCTGTCTTCCACTGCCTCCCGCAGTTTGGTCAAACTCATGCTGGTAGCTTTGAGAACACTGTCCCACCATCTCGTCCTCCGTCGTCCCCTTCTCCTTGTGCCCTCCATCTTTCCCAACATCAGGGTCTTTTCCAGGGAGTTTTCTCTTCTCATGAGGTGGCCAAAGTACTGGAGCCTCAGCTTCACGATCTGTCCTTCCAGTCAGCACTCAGGGCTGATTTCCTTCAGAATGGAGAGGTTTGATCTTCTTGCAGTCCATGGGACTCTCCAGAGTCTCCTCCAACACCAGAATTCAAAAGCATCCATTCTTCAGCAATCAGCCTTCTCTATAGTCCAGCTCTCACTTCCATACATCACTACTGGGAAAACCAGAGCTTTTACTATATGGACCTTTGTTGGCAAGGTGATGTCTCTGCTTTTTAAAAGTAGAGACAAGTAATACATAGGAAGCGCTTTTCATAGTGTGTGCCTTCAGTTTCCTTCTCAGAGTGTCTTCGTCCTCTGGATTTCATGCGTTTGTTTCCTGACTGGCTGGCTTTCCTCTCCTTCTCCAGAGATTCCACCTGCAGCAATTCTTTCCTTGGATCCCCAGCACCACGTCTACATCAGAGATGAAAAGGTGATTCTCACTTGTTTGGCTCCTGATGGTTTGGAGGTGGCAGGATATACGTTCTTCAAAGAACAGCAAGATCAGACCTTCAAGGAGTTGCCCAATAGTGGAATGGGGCCTTATGAGATGTTCCGTGTCAATGAAGATACTGTTGGGAATTACAGCTGTGTGTACTGGATCATGCCCTCAAGTGAGGAAATCTTTTCCTCACAGAGCAACCTTGTCTTTGTAGCCATGGCAGGTGAGCAGCCTTGCATTTTACTGTTTGACATTGTCTTGTTGATTCGTAACACAAGAGGGAGAGGAGCGCTGTGTTCCGAAAGGATTTCAGACTGCCTTGAAGGTAATAAGGTACAGTGGGACCTTGGTTCTTGAACTTAATCCATTCCGGAAGTCCATTCGACTACCGAAACCATTCGAAAACCAAGGCACAGCTTCCGATTGGCTGCGGGAGCTTCCTGCACTCAATCTGAATCCACGTCGGACGTCCGGCTTCCGAAAAACGTTCAAAAACTGGAACACTTACTTCCGGGTTTGCGGCGTTCAGGAGCCGATTTGTTTGTCGACTAAGCCATTCGAGAACCATGGTACCACTGTATGGTGGTACCTCGGGTTACAGACACTTCAGGTTACAAACTCCACTAACCCAGAAATAGTACCTCGGGTTAAGAACTTTGCTTCATGATGAGAACAGAACAGAAATTGCGCAGTGGCAGCGGGAGGCCCCATTAGCTAAAGTGGTGCTTCAGGTTAAGAACAGCTTCAGGTTAAGAACGGACCTCCAGAACAAATTAAGTTCTTAACCAGAGGTAAAGGTAAAGGGACCCCTGACCATTAGGTCCAGTCATGACCGACTCTGGGGTTGCGGCGCTCATCTCGCTTTACTGGCCGAAGGAACCGGCGTCCAGCTTCCAGGTCATGTGGCCAGCATGACTAAGCCGCTTCTGGCGAACCAGAGCAGTGCACAGAAACGCCGTTTACCTTCCCGCTGGAGCGGTACCTATTTATCAACTTGCACTTTGACGTGCTTTCGAACTGCTAGGTTGGCAGGAGCAGGGACCGAGCAACGGGAGCTCACCCCGTCGCAGGGATTCGAACCGCCGATCTTCTGGTTGGAAAGTCCTAGGCTCTGTGGTTTAACCCACAGCGCCACCCGCGTCCCTAACCCAAGGTACCGCTGTACTAGTAATGAAAGGAGCAGCATTCACATCCCCTCCAACATTTCCCTGATGAAAATAGGGACATCCTAAGGAAAGGTGGGACATTCCAGGATCAAATCAGAATCTGAGACGGCTTCTGTAAATCCAGAGACTGTCCCTGGAAAATTGGGATACTTGGAAGGACTCCTTTCATTTACTGAATCCAACTTCCTTCAGAGTAAACATACTGTGGGTGCTAGCATGCGGGAATGTTTATTGTTGAGTTATTAAATGCCATGTGAATCTGTCTACTAGGTAATGTCATTTCCTACTGATGGCGTATATATTGCAAAGGAGCAACGCCTTAGGTGAGATTAGATTATATCCAACGCTAGTCCTACTCAGGGTAGATGCATTGAAGGTAATGGGGCATGGCTAACTTAAGGCCATTAATTTCAATGGGTCTCCTCTGAGTAGGACTTATCTGGTTGCAATACATCATCAGGTCTGAATGTTTTTTCCGGGGGGGGGGGTTGAAATTTGTGGGGAAATTGTTCTCTGCTGAACGCCAGATTCGTAACACAATCTTCTGTGGGTGTCATAGTTGGCCACAGAGCTGAATGAATGAATCTTTATTTGCGTCAGCCATCGGCCATAGCAATAAAACAACAATATAATATACAAAGAATAGAAATAAAAAGTCAATTATATAAAATACATTTTAGGGTTTTGAATCAATAGTCAAATAGTGGATCTTATTCTGATTGCCCCAGCTAAAAACCTTGCAACCTTTGCTGTCACCTGCTCATCTTGATCTGCCAAGAGAAAGGGTACCATGGCAGTGGTTGGATGACCCAGAATGGACAATAAAAGAGAGGTGATAATCTCATTCCTCAAGTCTTTATAAAGAGTGAAAGCATGCGCCACCGATTCAGGACTACCATCTCCACAGGGACATAAGCGTTTTTCATGTGGAATCTGTTGGAATCGTCCCTCAAGTACAGCCGAGGGCAATACATGCAATCTCGCGAGATTAAAAGTGCGTCTATATTTTAGAATTGCTAGGTTATGCAGATAGGGTGCCAGAGAGTCGAAATGGGAAGGTGAAAAGTAGTCATACCATCAGCAAAAGTTTCTTATTGTGGCCAAGTTGTTCTGACGCTCAGTCTCATTTAAGGTAAAGGTAAAGGGACCCCTGACCATTAGGTCCAGTCGTGGCCGACTCTGGGGTTGCGGTGCTCATCTCGCTTTAGTGGCCAAGGGAGCCAGCGTACAGCTTCCGGGTCATGTGGCCAGCAGGACTAAGCCGCTTCTGGCGAACCAGAGCAGCGCACAGAAACGCCGTTTACCTTCCCGCCGGAGCGGTACCTATTTATCTACTTGCACTTCATGCTTTCGAACTGCTAGGTTGGCAGGAGCAGGGACCGAGCAACGGGAGCTCACCCCATTACGGGGATTCGAACCGCCAACCTTCTGATCGGCAAGTCCGAGGCTCTGTGGTTTATCCCACAGCACCACCCACGTCCCGTGTCAGTCTCATTCAGGCGCTGACAAATTAGACCGCTTTCTTTACTGTAACCCAAAGTGAGTAGCTGTTGTTGTGGTGATAAACCACAAGAGTGAAGTTTTTGGTAGACAATTTTAATCCAGGCGCTCTTGTGACCATCTTGCAGCCACAGAGCTGGCAATCGACGAAGCAGAATGCCAGCGTCAGAGCCCTGACTTTTCATAGAGCTGTCCAGCCAAAATACATGCCTTCGCTCTAAAAGCCAAGTGGACCACAGTCTCTTAACCATTGAGCCAAGTCATTGTCCTCAGCTGATTGCTTCTCCTTTGTGGATCACTCCAGATCACCCTCCCTCTCCGACGCTGATAGTGGATCCTCCACCTGGAGCGGTGAATGAAGGAGACTCGCTAAACATCACTTGCCTGGCCAGCGAGGGAGAGACTGAGAAAAGATTCGCTTTCTACAGGGATGGACTTGCGATAACCTTCAGCGACGAAGGATCTGTGTGGAGCTTCAGAGAACCTGGAACTAACTTCTCAAATGCCTCTGTTAGCATCTTGAAAGCCAAGCTCAACCATAGTGGAGAATTTGCTTGCAGCTATGAGGAAGAGGTTGGTGGCCGGTGGGTGACCTCTTCCTGGAGCCAGACGGTGAAAATCATGGTGAAAGTCCCAGGTGAGTCATTTGGGGAAAGTTAGAGCTCAATTTAGCAGAAGGATATTCCATTTTTCTGTGTTGATTGAAGTATTAAGGGGCGCCACTGGATGGGCCAGAAAAGGGGGGAGATTGAGCAAAATGTCTGTCATTCCCTGTAACCTGTAAATGTCATCTATTTTATTTCCTATGCCTTTTGTTGTTGTTTAGTCGTTTAGCCGTGTCCGACTCTTCGTGACCCCATGGACCAGAGCACGCCAGGCACTCCTGTCTTCCACTGCCTCCCGCAGTTTGGTCAAACTCATGCTGGTAGCTTCGAGAACACTGTCCCACCATCTCGTCCTCTGTCGTCCCCTTCTCCTTGTGCCCTCCATCTTTCCCAACATCAGGGTCTTTTCCAGGGAGTCTTCTCTTCTCATGAGGCGGCCAAAGTCTTGGAGCCTCAGCTTCAGGATCTGTCCTTCCAGTGAGCACTCAGGGCTGATTTCCTTCAGAATGGAGAGGTTTGTTCTTCTTGCAGTCCACGGGACTCTCAAGAGTCTCCTCCAGCACCAGAATTCAAAAGCATCCATTCTTCAGAGATCAGCCTTCTTTATGGTCCAGCTCTCACTTCCATACATCACCTCAGCCTTATTGTTGAGTAAGAGTGAGCAGTTTATATTTGAAAGGATTGAAAGGAGAGAGAGAGAGAGGTAGAGAGAGAGGTGTTATTTGCAGGGCTCAAACCATTTTCCCTCTTCAACTTGTCTAGAAAAGTCTGGCACTAGTTACTTGTCCTGAAAGTTACTTTTCAGAACTTGAATATTTATTTTGCATGACATTTGCTGCCTGTCTCGCATCCAAGGACAAGGAAGCCTTATTAAAAACGCAATAACCTAACCATTTTTCCTTTCTTTTCTCAGATCCTTCACCATCAACAGGTCCATCGCTGGCATTTGCATATCTGGCAGTCCCGTTTGTGACTCTGATGATTCTCCTCATTCTCTACTTTGGACAGAAAAAGACTGGTAGTTATGTGATGGGTTTTGAGGATACTGTGATGCTTATGTGAATAATATTGTGTGTACCTTTTCCGCCTTTGTCTCTCTTTCTCTCCTTTTTGGAAGCAGTGAAATGCCAGCAGGATTCTGAGCCAGAAGAACAGCAGGAGGAGGAGGAGGAGGAACTGGGTGATCTTGAAACAGGGGAGCCCCAAACAGCAGTTTTGCAGGAACACGACCAAGTAAGCACAGAGATTCATGTGTAATATTAGTTACATCCATGAAAAACTGCCTAACTACCTTTATGGAATGTGGTGCTACTGCAAGATGCAATGATAGCCTACAAATGACCAAGCTCGTGGACAGAGATCTCTATTGTGTACTGCCTTTAGATATCTTCCAAAATTCAGATAGTTGTTTATTTCCTTGACATCTGCTGGGAGGGAGTTCCACAGGGCGGGCACCACCACAGAGAAGGCCCTCTACCTGGTTCCCTGTAACTTTGCTTCTTGCAGGGAGGGAACCGCCAGAAGGCCCTCGGAGCGGGACCTCAGTGTCCGGACTGAACGATGGGAGTGGAGACGCTCCTTCAGGCCTACTGGGCCTTTGAGGCCATTTAGGGATTTCAAGGTCAGCACCAACACTTTCAATTGTGCTCGGAAACATACTGGGAGCCAATGATCAAGCGCTAGGAAGTGGGAGAAAAGCTTCCTTCTCTGAGCTCCGGCTATGTAGGGTTGTAGGCCAACAGTAGGACATATGCTCTGCATGTAGAAGGTCTGAGGATCAATCCCACTGGCCTCTTCAGGTAAGGCTGTGAAGGACTTAGAAAGCTGCTGCCAACCAGTGTCCACAATACCAGATAAGATACCCAGGGAAGTTATTTGCCAGGCCCCTCCTGCTTTCAGTGCTGACCAATGACACCCTCACATTCCTTCTGTTCCCACAGGGCTCAACCATCACCTACGCCACCATCAAATTCTGCTCTGCTAAGTCTTGCTTAGGAAATGGGCTCCGACTGGTGGAAGAGGAGAAGGTGATGTACAGCGAGGTTCTATTTCCACCTACTAACAGAGGAAGAAAGTGAAGAGATTGTGGAAAGGAAAGAGATTATGGAGTTTTGAGTGGCTGCCAAAGGATTCTACATCGCCTGCCAGTTGGTTTATTGCTCTCAGCCAGGGCATGGCTGAAGGCACAGGAGGTGCCCATCTTGCGGAAGCTAAGCAGGTCCGGGTCTGGTCAGTGTCTGGGTGGGTGACTAGCTGGGAACCACAGATGTGCTGCTGTGATGGTGTCCAGTGATGGAAGAAAGGATGGGATGTAAATTTAAGAAAAGAAAACAAACAAATACGTGTTGGTTGAGGTCCTCTGCACGTCCCACAGAAATCAACGCAGCTTCTATTCAATAAAGACAATTTGATTCTTACAAGTTGAATTCTGATGTGATTAAAGATTTACAGTGTCATTTACAAACATGGTTGGGAAAGAGAAGAGGGCAGAAACATCTCAAAATGACAACTAATCCAGAATGCAGCTGCCAGACTGGTGATTGGGAGTGGCCAACGGGACCATATAACACGAGTCCTGCATTGGCTCCCAGTACGTTTCTGGGCAGAATTCAAAGTGTTGGTGCTGACCTTGAAAGCCCTAAACAGCCTCAAAGGCCCAGTATACCTGATGGAGCGTCTCCACCCCCATCGTCCAGCCCGGACACTGAGGTCCAGTGCCGAGGGCCTTCTGGCAGTTCCCTCCCTGCGAGAAGCCAAGTTACAGGGAACCAGGCAGAGGGCCTTCTCGGTAGTGGCACCTACCCTATGGAACGTCCTCTTTTCAGATGTTGAGAAAATAAAGAACTATATTACTCTTAGAAGACATCTGAAGGCAGCCCTGTTCAGGGAGGTTTTTAATGTTTGATGTTTCATTATGCTTTTATAGTTGTTGGAAGCCGCCCAGAGTGGCTGGGGCAAGCCAGTCAGATGGGCGGGGTACAAATAATAAAATTATTATTATTATTGTGCTTCCTGCATAGTAATATGGTTCTCATGAATATTTATTTTTTAATTTAATTTAATTTGTATGCTACCCCTCAACCGAAGTTCTCAGCATGGTTCACAGAATAAAACCGCAAAGGTCAAAATAAGAACAAGAACAAAGCAAAACAATAACCCCCCCTCCCAAAAACACATTTAAATAATTGCCTGGCACCTAAAAATGTATAATGAAGGCGCCAGAAGGAGCCTCCGTGGGGAGAACATCTCACAAACAGGGAGCCACTGCAGAAAATGTTGCAGAGATAAAATTTTGTGCTGTTTGAAGCAAGTGGTAGCTTAAGAACTGACTCCTTTGGAAATGAAACTTTGTCCAGACCCATGAAAATATTGCTTAAACTTTTACTGGCAGAACTTTATTCAAAACAATTAAAACACCCATACAATATCTTGTGTTGACCAGCACAGGCTCAGTATCTTACAAAATAAGAAATAGTCCAAATAGACCTATAAACAGAGCACTCTCTCTCTCTCTCTCTCTCTCTCTCTCTCTCTCTCTCTCTCTCTCTCTCCCACCTTCTTTCCAACTCTTGCCAAGCCATTATCGCATGCTTTGTCCTCTGTTGCGTTCAGAGAATGACTCCATTTGCATCTTCACTCTATTGGGTTTGGAAGGCAAAGACTCAAAGGCAGCTCTGTTCAAAACGGCAGATTTGCAACTCAATACCTTCATCACATGATCAAAGGTTCACTCTCAGTACAGAGTAGAGAAACAAACAGCAGGTCATCATTAGCTAATTGCAGCTCAGAAAACTAATTACAGCTTTAGAAAACAGCATTGGGGAAAACTTCAGTATTACCAATATACATTTAGCCATGTTCCATTTTAAACCTTCTTTAATACGTGTACATTTTTCATTGCTGTGTGAATCAAACCATTACGCCTAACAGAAAAGGCCCGTTCTCGTGTTGACACCCTCCAGACCTCTTGTGGAGAAGGCACACAAAGAAGGGCCTCGGGTGATGATCACAGGGTCTGGATCCCTTCATGTAGGGAGAGGCGGTCGTTGAGGATCTTATTCCTGCTTCCTGGTGCTGGAGTTCCCATTCTGCTGATCCTGGTCTCTTCTTTCCCCAAAAGGAATGCCTGGTTGGCCACTGTCAGAAGAAGATGCTGGACTAGAAGCCACTTTGGCCAGATTACCAGGACTCTTCTAACATTTTGTTATTGTTGTTTAGTCATTTAGTCGTGTCCAACTCTTCGTGACCCCCATGGAGCAGAGCACGCCAGACACTCCTGTCTTCCACTGCCTCCCGCAGTTTGGTCAAACTCATGCTGGTAGCTTCGAGAACACGGTCCAACCATCTCGTCCTCTGTCGTCCCCTTCTCCTTGTGCCCTCCATCTTTCCCAACATCAGGGTCTTTTCCAGGGAGTCTTCTCTTCTCATGAGGCGGCCAAAGTCTTGGAGTCTCAGCTTCAGGATCTGTCCTTCCAGCGAGCACTCAGGGCTGATTTCCTTCAGAATGGAGAGGTTTGATCTTCTTCTTGAGGCCCCTTTTTGAGTCGACCACCTGTGATTGCTGCGTCCTTCCGCTTTCTCATTTCTAGCCTCGTTCTACCGCCTTCTCAAGCGTTTTGGTTACAAAGGAGGCTGAGCATAGGCGGTGCAAGGAGAGATGTGGTCAGCTGGTTGGAACATCGGTTGTTCCACCCAGCAGCTTTTGGTGTCCTCAAGGCCTATTAGCTGAGCTGTGTGCTGCACTGGGGGCCCAGGTACAATGCTTTGTGGTGGCTGGGAGGAAAGGAGGCGATGACTGTTCAGTTCCTGCTCTTGTCTTTGCGTCTGACAGTCTGGTTGAGTCAGGGAGAGACAGCCCAACCTCTCTTTGAAAGCAGAGAGACAGTGGTGAAGCAGAGGACCCCGCCATTGGCCTTCGAGGGACGCCGGCTGAGCATGAAATTTGCTGCTTTGATAACAGGTTTGGGGCCTCTCTCTTGTTATAGACAAAATAGGGGGGTTGGCTTTTGCTGCCCTACTTGCCAAGGTCGCCTAAGCCCATGATTGGTCATAGATGAATGGATGGAGGCAACACCTCGGTAACCAAAAACTCACTCCTTATCCTTATCCTTCTGGCGGTTCCCTCGCTGCGAGAAGCCAAGTTACAGGGAACCAGGCAAAGGATCTTCTTGGTGGTGGCACCCACCCTGTGGAACGCCCTCCCACCAGATGTCAAAGAGAAAAACAGCTACCAGACTTTTAGAAGACATCTGAAGGTAGCCCTGTTTAGGGAAGCTGTTAATGTTTAATAGTGGGACGCGGGTGGCGCTGTGGGTTAAACCACAGAGCCTAGGACTTGCCGATCAGAAGGTCGGCAGTTTGAATCCCCGCGACGGGGTGAGCTCCCGTTGCTCAGTCCCTGCTCCTGCCAACCTAGCAGTTCAAAAGCACGTCAAAGTGCAAGTAGATAAAGAGGTACCGCACCGGCGGGAAGGTAAACGGCGTTTCCGTGTGTTGCTCTGGTTCGCCAGAAGCGGCTTAGTCATGCTGGCCACATGACCCGGAAGCTGTACGCCGGCTCCATCGGCCAATAAAGCAAGATGAGCGCCGCAACCCCAGAGTCGGCCACGACTGGACCTAATGGTCAGGGGTCCCTTTACCTTTACCTAATGTTGAATAGGTTATTGTATTTTAATATTTTGTTGGAAGCCACCCAGAGTCATCATCATCATCATCATCTGCATCTTATGACTGACAGGCTTGGACTCAGCCACACTGGCAAAGGCCAAGATCAAGGGAGACCAAGCCTGAGAGGGCCACGGATTCCAGCCACCCTGAAGTAAGACGTCAAAAGCAAGGGAAATCTGCCCCTGGGTGCTCGTTCCTGTCAATCTGACACGGAGGAATCTGAGCTCTACCCACTTTTCTGATTTCTGGGTCAGCTGCCACAAGTCTGCCCTAACCACTAGGCAGTCTTGATATTCTTTTTCTTTGGCGATAACTCGTAGCTGAAAACATTGGCAGCATTGAGATAAATTCAACAGTGTAAATAAGTTTTGACAGATGCAATAACGGAATACTGAATCGTACAGTTTTTGTAAAATATGCAGGGATTTGTGATATGCAAAATGAACCATAGAAAGTTTGCAGATGATACAAGGGTGGTTGGTTTAATCACGGCTGGAGAGGGGGAGGCGGCCTATAGGAAGGAAGTTGAGCAGTTGGGGGAGTGGTGCAGGAAAAACAGCTTACTCCTTAACTTAAAGAAAACAAAAGAGATCATTGTGGACTTTAGGAAATGTAAATTGAATATTCAGCCACCTATTATTGAGGGGAAGTGCGTGAAACAGGTCTTGGTGTTTCGATTTCTGGGAATGGAGTTGAGAGACGACCCAACCTGGGGAGAAAACAGCAAAGACCTGGTGAAGAGAGCACAGCAGAGGTTATATTTTCTGAGAATCCTCTGGAAACACAATCTCTCAAAGGACCTGTTGATGGCATTTTACCATTGCACTGTGGAGAGTGTATTAACTTATGGTCTGTGTGTCTGGCTTGGGAGCTGCACGGCCAGGGGAAAAACAATGCTGTCCAGGGTTGTAAAGACTGCGGAGAGAATAACTGGGTGCACTCTTCCCACCTTGGATCAAATCTACGCTTCCAGGTGCCATAAGAAAGCTGCAGAGATAGCGTAGGATAGTGCACACCCCGGAAATGATCTCTTTCAGCTTCTGCCTTCTGGAAGAAGGGACAGGGTTATAAAGACCAGGACTAGCCGCCTGAGAAACAGTTTCTATGCAAATGCAATTCTGGTTCTAAACGCAGCATAAGGAGTCTCTATAGTATATTGTATTTTAAAATGGGGTTTCAGAGTTTTTAGGGGTTTTTGAATGTTTTATGTAGTTCAATTTCATTGTTCTGCATGGGACAATGACAATAAAGATATCATATATGGAAAGGGAAGAAGGGAAGTCACTGATATTTTAATGAGTATTTTAATTTGTAAAACAGAAAATTTAATAATGGTGTGATTGTGAGATAGAGGGTGAGTTTATATAAACTCACCCTCTATCTCACAAACCACACCATTTCTCATGACATCTCTCCTTTGCTGTTCACTTCCAGCCTGTCTGCGGATCCTCCTTTGGAGATCAGTCCATGCAGGTAAAGTTGGTTTCCATTTTTGTTTAATTGTTACTGATTTTAGTAAGCAGTTGCAAGGGATGGCCGGGGTGTCAATTTTGTATATGATTAAATTCACAGCTCAGGTTGTTGTAAACAAAAATTGCCCTTTTCTCTTCTGGGGTATCCAAGAGCCCAAATAGAGTCCTTGCATAGGTTCCCTATTGGTAGGAGAGAATAACTGAGGCCAACCAGAGAATATTGAGAAGCAAAGCAGCTAGTAAGCCTGATCTTTATTGATCTGTTGCAACAGGGTGCTCCCCTCACCCGCAGGAGAGAGGAGGAACCCAGAAAAATGGCGCGCAAGGCCTTATAAAGACTTTTGAAATTGCCACCCTGTAGATCAAGACCAACCCCAGAAACACCATACATACATCACAGAAGGGGTGTAACCTAAGACCACCCCTCAGATACATCATACCTACATCACAAAAAAGGCGGTCTTAAAACAGAAATTTGAATGTTGTTTATCTCCTGTCTGGCAGATTACTTGATTGGATTGCCTGGGGAGCCTGGCCAGTCTTTTGTAGTGATAAATACTTATTTCCTGGGCCAGGTCACAGGCTCACACCCTATTCAAACAGAGACATACCCTTAAGACAGGATTTGTGAAGGAAAAGACAATGGGGAGGCTTTTCCATTTTCCTTTGACCTTGCAGAGAAAACATTTGGTCAGTTTGGGACAGTTTGGGAATCAAAATGGTTCCAGGTCGGTCTTCCTGTGCTGATCTATGTATGTGTTTGGTTGGTACACTTATGAACATTTAACATTCCTATCACAAGGTGCATCTGACAGCAGCAAAAGGCAGAAATCCAGAAGGTCAAATTTACCACAGTGGGAGATGTGGTGATAAGCAAGGTATCACCTGTTGGATATTTGTTGCTGCCAAGGGTGTAGAATCAAGCGCTCCGGAAAGCCAGCCAATGCCACCTTGGTAGTCAAGAAAACCCCAAAACTAAATGGTAGTCGTTGCAAGAATGAACATATGTGTTTATATTCATTTGCTTCGATCTTTCCCCAAATAAGATACCCTCTTTATTCTGTGCTCCTTCGCTTCTCAGAGCATCTTCGTCCTCTGGGTTTCATGCGTTTGTTTCCTGACTGGCTGGCTTTCCTCTCCTTCTCCAGGGATCCCACCTGCAGCAATTCTTTCCTTGGATCCCCAGCACCACGTCTACATCAAAGGTGAAAAGGTGATTCTCACTTGTTTGGCTCCTGATAGTTTGAAGGTGGCAGGATATACGTTCTTCAAAGAACAGCAAGATCAGACCTTCAAGGAGTTGCCCAATAGTGGAATGGGGCCTTATGAGATGTTCCGTGTCAATGAAGATACTGTTGGGAATTACAGCTGTGTTTACTGGATCATGCCCTCAGGACAGGAAATCTGGTCCCCACAGAGCAACCTTGTCTCTGTAGCCATGGCAGGTGAGCATCTTTGCATTTTGCTGTTTGGCGTTGTCTCTTTCATTCGCAACACAAGAGAGAGAGGAGCACTGTGTTCTGAAAGAAGGATTTCAATTTTTTAATATATAAATTTATTTATTTGGTTTTTCAGACTAAAATTTTACACTCACATCCAACATAGAAACAAGATTCCAAAGAATCGCCTGGACTTCCCTCCTCCCTTTTTGTTAATCCTATTGTTAATCATTTCCTCCCGCATCTTTTATGATAATCCAAATCTTTTACCTCTCCATTGTGTCCAAAATTCGCCATTAAACTATAAGCGTTATTCTAAGCCTACTAACGATTTTAACTGTTTACAATGGTTTTTAAGATAAATTATAATTTCCCCCCATTTCTTATTAAAATTTTGGTCTTCTTGATTTCTGATTCTTCCGGTCATTTTAGCTATTTCAGAGTAATACATCAACTTGATCTGCCATTTTTATCTGGTAGGGACTTTATCTTCTTTCCATCTCTGGGCCAATAACATCCGTGCAGTCTTGGTCGCATACATAAATAGTATTTTCTGCTCCCTTTGGATTTCGGCACCTAGAATTTCTAAAAGGAAGGCTTCAAGGGGTTTTTTAAAGAAAAGGTTGTTTTAAACATTATTTTCAACTCACTGTATATCATTTCCCAAAATTCTTTTACTACCTTACATTTCCACCACATATGATAAAAGGTGCCCTGAAAGAAGGATTTCAGACTGCCTGGAAGGTTTATAAGGTGAGCGGGCAGTGATAAGGAAAGGATCAACGTTGATTTACTGAATGGAACTTCATTCAGAGTAAACATAGTGTGGGAACTTTCATGTATGAATGTTCCTTGTTGAGTTATTAAATGTCAGGCGGCTCTAACTTAAGCCCATTAATTTCACTGAGTCTGTTCTGAGTACTGACTGGCCAGCAACCCATTCTCAGGTCTCAAGGTACAGATCTTTTTGGGAGAGTGGCAGTGGTGTAATCTGGGTGAAGAGTCTTCCTTGCCAAATTTGCATGTGGCACAATGGGTCAGTGCTTCTTCTTTCTTCTCCTCTCCTCGTAGCCGAGTAAGATTGTCTTCCATAAACACGGTTTTAACAATGAGTCCATAAGTGACTGTGGAGGCCAATTCTGGATCCACACGTCCTTCCACAGTGGGGACATAGGTTTCTGGGCGGGAGTTGATCACGTGTGGATTTGCCAAGCATGCCATTCTCTTAGCACGTTTCTCCTTTGTGTCCTGAGTTTGAGTGTCTTCAAAGCCCAGGACACCTTTGATAAAGGCTGTTCTCCAACTGGAGCATTTGCAAGCCAGTGTTTCCCAGTTGTCATTGTTTATACTACAGTTTTTTAGATTTGCCTTGAGACAGTCTTCAAACCTCTTTTGTTGACCACCAGCATTACGCTTTCCATTTTTAAGTTGGGAATAGAGTAGTTGCTTTGGATGGCGATCATCAGGCATCCGCACAACATGACCAGTCCAATAAAATTTATGCTGAAGAATCATTGCTTCAACGCTGGTGATCTTTTCTTCTTCAAGTACATGGCCATTAGTTCGTCTGTGTTCCCAAGTGATGTGTACAATTTTTCAGAGACAAGATGGAATCTTTTGAGGAGTAGACAAATTGGGTCAGTGCATCTAGCTATTATCCAGAAGGCTGGTGGTTCAGGCCCACCCAGGGGCAGTTGTGGACAGGATTCCTGCATTGTATGGACTTGATGACTCTTGGGATCCCTTCCAACTCAACAATTCTATGATTGGGCTGGGTGTTCATCAGCATGCGGATGATACCCAGCTCTACCTCTCTTTTAAATCAGAACCAACGAAGGCGGTGAAGGTCCTGTGTGTGTCTGGAGGCGGTTGGAGGATGGATGGTGGCTAACAGATTGAGACTGAATCCTGACAAGACAGAAGTACTGTTTTGGGGGGACAGGAGGCGGGCAGGTGTGGAGGATTCCCTGGTCCTGAATGGGGTAACTGTGCCCCCGAAGGACCAGGTGCACAGCCTGGGAGTCATTTTGGACTCACAGCTGTCCATGGAGGCACAGGTCAAATCTGTGTCCAGGGCAGCTGTTTACCAGCTCCATCTGGTACGTAGGCTGAGACCCTATCTGCCTGCGGACTGTCTCGCCAGAGTGGTCCCGCTTGGACTACTGCAATGCGCTCTATGTGGGGCTACCTTTGAAGGTGACCCAGAAAATACAAATAATCCAGAATGCGGCAGCTAGACTGGTGACTGGGAGCGGCCGCCGAGACCATATAACACTGGTCTTGAAAGACCTACATTGGCTCCCAGTACGTTTCCAAGCACAATTCAAAGTGTTGGTGCTGACCTTTAAAGCCCTAAACGGCCTCGGTCCAGTATATCTGAAGGAGCGTCTCCACCCCCATCGTTCTACCCGGACACTGAGGTTCAGCTCCGAGGGCCTTCTGGCAGTTCCCTCACTGTGAGAAGCCAAGTTACAGGGAACCAGGCAGAGGGCCTTCTCAGTAGTGGCGCCCTCCCTGTGGAACGCCCTCCCACCAGATGTCAAAGAGAACAACAACTACCAGACTTTTAGAAGACATCTGAAGGCAGCCCTGTTTAGAGAAGCTTTTAATGTTTGATGTATTACAGTATTTTAATATTTTTTTGGAAGCCGCCCAGAGTGGCTGGGGAGGCCCAGCCAGATGGGCGGGGTATAAATAGTAAATTATTATTATTATTATTATTATTATTATTATTATTATTAATTCAGAAAATAAACTTCTTCAGGCACATGCCCAGTAATCAACAAAACAATATACCAGCCTTAGACCCCTGAGTTCCCATAGAACTGTCTGACCTAAATATATACAAGGTGTCACCGGAAAGTTTGGTGAACGGTCACATAAACCAGATAGCGAGAAATATTTGTACAATCAGCATCGGAAACCCACAAAATGCTCACAATTGTGTACGGAGATGAAGCCGTAACTCGAAAGACAGTGTATGAGTGGTTTAAGCGTTTCCTTGAAGGGCAGCAAATGTTGACAGAATCCATGAGTTATTGATGTGGGATCGGCGTTTGTGCATCCAAATCATAGAATAGAATCATAGAATAGAATCATAGAATCATAGAGTTGGAAGAGACCACAAGGGCCATCGAGTCCAACCCCCTGCCAAGCAGGAAACACCATCAGAACACTCCTGACATATGGTTGTCAAGCCTCTGCTTAAAGACCTCCAAAGAAGGAGACTCCACCACACTCCTTGGCAGCAAATTCCACTGTCGAACAGCTCTTACTGTCAGGAAGTTCTTCCTAATGTTTAGGTGGAATCTTCTTTGATGGTGGAAGAATTGTATATTCTGCATGAAATCGTTACTGAGGTTACTGAGTTGTTCCACCCTCCATATTCTCCCGATCTGGCCCCACCAGATTTCTTAATTTTTCCAAAACTGAAATCTGCACTGAAAGGGCACAGATTTTCCAACAATTCACACATCCAAGCTGCTGTGACGAGGGAACTGAAAGCAGTATGAAAAGAGGACTTCTCCAGAAGTTTCCAACAGCTCTACGAATGTTGTCAACAGTGCGTTGTATCAGAGGGGGCCTACTTTGAAGGCCTGTAAGGCACATACAGGTAAAACTCGGAAAATTAGAATATTGTGGAAAAGTTCATTTATTTCAGTAATTCAACATAAAAGGTGAAACTAATATAGGAGATAGACTCATGACTTGGAAAGAATGGTGAGGCACACAATGCCAGATGCTTGAAGTACAATGTGAAGTTTCCACAGTCTGTGTTGATTTGGGGAGCCTTGTCATCAGCTGGTGTTGGTCCACTGTGCTTCATTAAGTCCAGGGTCAACGCAGCCATCTACCAGGAGATTTTGGAGCACTTCATGCTTCCTTCCGCAAACGAGCTTTATGGGGATGCTGATTTAATTTTCCAGCAGGACTTTGTCACCTGCCCACACTGCCAAAAGTACCAAAACCTGGTTCCAGTGCCCATGGGATTACTGTGCTTGATTGGCCAGTTATAACAAATAAAGGCTTGACATATCTCACTTTGCATGTCATGAGTCTATCTCATATATTAGTTTCACCTTTTAAGTTGAATTACTGAAATAAATGAACTTTTCCACAATATTCTAATTTTCCGATGTTCAAATATTTCTCGCTGTCCGATTTCTGTGACCATTCACCGAATTTTTCGGTCACACCTTGTAGGTTCCTTTACAGGCCAAGTGGACCACAGGCTCTTAACTACTAAGCCATGTCTAGGTCACCTGCTCATAACTTCTCCTTTGCGGATGATTCCTGCAGATCCCCCTCCTTTTCCGGTGCTGAAAGTGGATCCACCGTCTGGAGTGGTGAACGAAGGGAGCTCCCTGCGCCTCACTTGCTTGGCCAATGGTACCATGACTGAGAAGAGATTCCATTTCTTCAAGGATGGTGCTGAGATGGACACCAGTCATGAAGGATCCAGAGAACCTGCGAATACCTCACCAAACGCCTCTGTGAGCATCTTACAAGCCAAGGTCAACCACAGTGGAGAATTTGCTTGCAGTTATGAGGAAGCGATTGGTGGCCGATGGGTTATGTCTCCATGGAGCAAGACAGGGAAAGTCGTGGTGAATGTCCCAGGTGAGTCATTTTGGGGAAGTGAGAGCCATCTTTAGCAGTAGCATAATCCACTTTAATGTGTTGTGTGAACTGGTCTTCCTCAAGGGACACGATGAATGCCGTCTTCTTTATTTCATATGCTGCGTCTCAGCCTTCATGCTTGGGGGGGAAATGGAGGGGGAGGGATGGAGATGGAGAGGTCTGCTCACATTTTATCTTATGTTTAGAGAAGTTTTTAATATTTAATGCTGTACAGTGGTACAGCACGCGGGTGGCGCTGTGGGTAAAACCTCAGCGCCTAGGACTTGCCGATCGCATGGTCGGCAGTTCGAATCCCCGCGGCGGGGTGAGCTCCCGTTGTTCGGTCCCAGCTCCTGCCCACCTAGCAGTTCGAAAGCACCCCCTGGTGCAAGTAGATAAATAGGTACCGCTTTATAGCGGGAAGGTAAACGGCGTTTCCGTGTGCTGCGCTGGTGCTGGCTCGCCAGAGCAGCTTCGTCACGCTGGGCACGTGACCCGGAAGTGTCTCCGGACAGCGCTGGCCCCCGGCCTCTTAAGCGAGATGGGCGCGCAACCCCAGAGTCACACACGACTGGCCCGTACGGGCAGGGGTACCTTTACCTTTACTTTTAGTGGTACCTCAGGTTACATACGCTTCAGGTTACAGACGCTTCAGGTTACAGACTCCGCTAATCCAGAAAAATTACCTCGGGTTAAGAACTTTGCTTCAGGATGAGAATAGAAATTGTGCTCTGGCAGCCCGGCGGCAGTGGGAGGCCCCATTAGCTAAAGTGGTGCTTCAGGTTAAGAACAGTTTCAGGTTAAGAACGGACCTCTGGAACGAATTAAGTACTTAACCCGAGGTACCACTGTATTGTTTTTAACAATTGATTGGGAGCCACCCAGAGTGGCTGGGGAAACCCAGCCAGATGGGTGGGGTATAAATATTAAATTATTATTATTATTATTATTATTATTATTATTATTATTATTAATGTTCTGCTCATGTTGTGAACGGGTTTCCGGAACGGATCCCGGTCGCAACCAGAGGTACCACTGTGCCGTCATTAAAGAGATAAAAATCAACATTCAGAATTCTTGGGACCTTTTTCAAATGACGTCACGCCTTCAGGACGAAAGACCCAAGCGAAACACAACGAACAAATAACGGATTCCTCTTTATTCCTTTCAGGTCAAGGGCCACATTCGTCGGCACCACCATCACCCACACCAAATCCATCCCTGTCACTGGGATATTTGCGCTTGGCTCCTACGCTCCTGATCCTGATGGTCCCTCTCGCTTTCTGTTGAAGGAGAAAGAGGAGCGATAGATAACGTTGGGGCTTTCAGGTGTCCCCTTCCGTTCTGTGCATGACCTGGAAGGCGGTTTCCGACATGCAGCGGGGACAGTTTCCAGGATGGGCCCAAAGTCTATGTCAGCCCTGTCTATCATTGGGGGGGGGGTGTTCCAGAAGAAGGTCTTCTCCATTCTGGTGGCTGCCATGGGGGGTCAGGGCATGGGGTCACCTGCCCTCAGAAAACGATTGCTTGGTTTTCATGGAGCATTGCTTTGCATTTACAATATGACCTGTTTGGGTGTTTTCTTTGTCATTAAAGGACTCTTTCAAATAAATAAGTAAAGCAAAACTTCTTTTGTTTCAGTCTTAAACAAATGAAACTGTGTAGGTTTCTGGACAGGGTAGGGCCCTACCAGTGCCGGATTTATGTACAAGCTATAGCTTAGGGCCCCACTCTCTTGGGGGCCCCCCAAAAAATTAAAGGAAAAAACCTGGATGTACGTTTCCAAAATATAAGATAAAAACCTAGATTATGAGTCTTTGTAAATTGTGTTTCTAAATGAACTTTTGTTATTGCCAAATGCCAATGTGATTGCATTATTAATTTTGTTATGAATAAAAAATCATTTTAAGTTAGAGCTTAATTAATATTTCACTATTAATACACTTCTTCTTAATTGTATTTCACTATTAATATACTTCTTCTTAACTGTATTTCAGTTCAACAATTATTTTGATAAAATACATATTTTGTTATGTGCAAATGGTAATAATAATAATAATAATAATAATAATAATAATAATAATAATTTATATCCCGCCTTCCCCAGCTGAAGCCAGGCTCAGAGTAGCTAATACCTATTAGGTTCATAAATTACCATATAGCATATATTCAACACAAAAACAGTGACAAATTGCTGTTGACAAAGGACAGCTGGACATATAAAGGGCCCCATTACCTTCAGTAGCTGAGGGCCTCATCAAACCTAAATCCGGCCCTGGGCCCTACATGGCAACTCTGTTGGTAGCTTGGTTCCCACCAGGGTTTGGTCTGAAGGCAAATAAAACTACCACCTTGCTGAAGCTATGCATGCTTGGATCTGGTCAATGCCTGGCTGTGTGGCTGCCAGAGAACTACAATTAATGTTTCACATTGTTCTTTTTTTTTAAAAAAAAATGATATTTATTAAAATTTCAGAAAATACAAGAATTACATAAAAACAAAAGTAAAAATACAAGAAAATACAAAGTACAGAAAAAAGAATACATGAAAAATAAAAAGGAACGTACAAAATAAAAACAATTAAAAACACATTAAATTTTCCCTATCATATCCTCCTTACCCTTATTTCCCCTGACCTCCTCGTACCTCCCTTTTTTGTATTCCAGTTCAATTTGTTAGTTCAGCAAATCCTTACCATTAAGCTTTTACCCATTTGTGGACCTTTTTTTTCATAACTCTTAAAGCATTACAGCTAGAAACCACTTAGTTTCTATCCAACATCCTTCTAAAATTCATTAATTTTACAATATTTCTGTAGATAGTCTTTAAATTTCTTCCAGTCCTCTTTCACCGACTCTTCTCCCTGGTCTCGGATTCTGCCAGTCATTTCTGCCAATTCCATATAGTCAATCCACATTGTTCTTAACTACGTACTCGTTGTTGATAATTTTGCTATTTCGTTTAAACTACAGTCAAGCTTTTACTGCAGTCCAGCAATAGAGAAATTTTCTTAACTAACCAAAGAAATATATGTTTGCCAACAGAAGAAAGGGGTGGGATCTAAATGCAAATACAGTGGTACCTCAGGTTACATACGCTTCAGGTTACAGACTCCGCTAACCCAGAAATAGTGCTTTAGTTTAAGAACTTTGCTTCAGGATGAGAACAGAAATCGTGCGGTGGCAGCAGGAGGCCCCATTAGCTAAAGTGGTGCTTCAGGTTAAGAACAGTTTCAGGTTAAGAACGGACCTCCGGAACGAATTAAGTACTTAACCTGAGGTACCACTGTAAATACATTTAAGTTTCTTTCTTTTTTTTAATATGTAAATATTTTTTATTCATTTTCCAATACAAAAATTATACAATCCAAACATCTTTTCATTTTATCACGAATTTCTCCTTTTTTACTTCCCTCAGCTTGTCTGATAATCCTTCATTTTACTCACTTCTTTCACATTTCTTAAATTAATATTGCACTACAGTATTATTTTGCTGTTAACCTTATTTTTTAACAATATTTCTGATCGATATTATCACAAAACTTCCTTAAAACTTACAAACGTTATCTCTGGTTTCAAACGTTATACTCTGGTTTCTCTTCAGATCGTATAAATCTTTCGCCTTTTTTTTACTTAAATGTATTTATATTGTAAATACATTTAAGTTTCAGCTGAGGTTCTCAGCATGTTGCACTGAAATCCGCTTCTCAATGCGTGTGTTTTCACATTTCCAAGTTGAATTCTAACGTGACTTCTTTAACTGTACTTGGGAAAGAGGGGGCAGAAGCTTCTCAAAGGAGTTTGGCAGGCTGGAAGCAGCTAATACCAGCTTCCCAGAGCAGGAGCTTTCCTTCCAATCTCCCGATCTTCCTTTGGCGATCCGTCTATGCAGGTAAAGTTGACTTCTGCTCTTCCCTTCTCCCATCCTGCTGCACATTGTTCCATTTGGGTTGCTTCAAGAAGTTTGACCGCAGAGAAAAACAGGTGATGGCACAGCAAGATCAGATGTGGTTAGCAGCTCCTAGATGGAGCTGGATAAAGCTTGTGGTTATGGCTAAAGCCTATAGGCCAAGTTCTGCACACGGCTCAGGGTGTGTGTCTACACAATGTTCAGGAGTCGAGGGTGTGATGTTGTGCTTCCTGTCTTTAGTCTTTGCTTTGAGAAGACAGACTTCGGCAAGGCCGGTTCATTGTCTCTCTTGGGACAGAAACCAGAGAGAAGGTGGATTTGGGGCTCCAGCCGTGGTTCTTCTTCCAGGGATACTGGCTGAGCATGAAGTCTGCTGCTTTGGTGACAGGTTGGTGACCTCTCTGCTCAACTCAGATTGGAAATTTGCCGTCTATCTCACATTCACACTGCATCTCTCCTTTGCTCTTCACTTCCAGTCTGTCTCCAGATTCTCCTCGGGAGATCGGTCCAGGCAGGTAAAGTGGATTTCCGTTCTTCTTTCAACTTTTGTGATAGGAGACAGAAGCTCTATGGGATGTAGCAGTGTCACATTTTGCTTGATTGGGTGGATGGCGGCTAGCAGATTGAGGCCGAATCCTGACAAGACAGAAGTACTGTTTTGGGGGCAGATGTGGAGGACTCCCTGGTCCTGAATGGGGCAACTGTGCCCCTGAAGGACCAGGTGTGCAGCCTGGGAGTCATTTTGGACTCACCGCTGTCCTGGAGGCGCAGGTCAATTCTGTGTCCAGGGCAGCTTTCTACCAGCTCCATCTGGTATGCAGGATGAGACCCTCCCTGCCCGCAGACTGTCTCGCCAAAGTGGTGCATGCTCTGGTTATCTCCCGCTTAGACTACTGCAATGCACTCTACGTGGGGCTACCTTTGAAGGTGACCTGGAAACTAAAACTAATCCAGAATGCGGCAGCCAGACTGGTCACTGGGAGTGGCCACTGAGACCATGTAACACTGGTCCCGAAAGACCTACATTGGCTCCCAGTACATTTCCGAGCACAATTCAAAGTATTGGTGCTAACCTAGATAGCCCAAAATGGTCTCGGTCCAGTATATCTGAAGGAGCGTCTCCACCTCCATCATTCAGCCCAGACACAGAGGTCCAGCTCTGAGGGCCTTCTGGCAGTTCCCTCCCTGCGAGAAGTGAGGTTACAGGGAACCAGGCAGAGGGCCTTCTCAGTGGTGGCGCCCACCCTGTGGAATGCCCTCCCATCAGATGTCAAGGAAATAAACAACTATCTGACTTTTAGAAGACATCTGAAGGCAGCCGTGTTTAGGGAATTTTTTTAGTGCTGTGACATCACATTGGTGGGGAAGGGGAGAAGGGAGGAGAGAGAGATTTTCAAAATCTGATTTTGAGTTTAAGAGGCATTGAAGTAAAGGATGGAATGGGATAGTCAATCCCAAGCAGTAATCAAAGTTGAGCCATTTTGGTAGCTGTAACTGTGAGAGAGAACAAAGGACCTCTGGCCAAGATCTCTCAGCATAGTCACAAAACTGCCACCATCATAGTTGCTAGGGGAAGCCAACAGAGTACAATACTGAAGATTCAAGTCTGTCGTGAAGATGAGCTTTAATGTGATGTAGCAAAGGGGCAGGGTTATTTTAAGCAGTTCTTCAGTCTTGGGGGGTGCAGATATTGTTGCTGCTCTACAACTCCCATCATCCCCTGCCAACTTAGCAGAAGTTGTAGTTCAACAACATCTGGGGGCCCAAGGTTGAAGAACTGTGTAAGCCTTTGCTTACGTGGCTGGAAACATTGTGGAATCTGGGCGAGAGATCGCATCCAGAGAGAGCAACTCCATCAGGATTTCGCTATTGGGTGAGGAGGCCTTTCTTTGCAGTACGGATCTCTTGGAAGTTGAATTGGGCAGCTGGATTGAAACTGAGGAGTTTGGCTGGTCAAAGGAACAGGAGGGGAATTTTATTAATAGAATTTAAATATGTACAAAATTCAAATACCATCAGAAACTCTGTAGTCCTCCCAAAGTCCTATTTCCTTTTCTCATTTATCTGCTTGCTTATTGAGGTGGAGAGAGATTATTGGTCTACAACTCCTATCAGTCATCCACCAAGCAGCTTGATGGGTGTTGCAGTCCAACAACATCTGGCAACCCAAGGTTCAAACATGCTTGTTTAGGTGAGCTTTCCTCAAGAAATTATGTTTGTCAAAAATCGAAAGGTTTTGTTGAAAAGTTCCACCAGTTAATGACATGGAATTATTAGAATGCTGTTTTGATAGTGACCCCAAGGAAGTAGATTGTGGAAATCTGTGTGTAGCATTTGTTTAATGCAGGACTAAGAAGGACCAAGACATTCTTGGGGCTGAACAAGCATACCTTGAACCAACAACTCATTTAAAGAATTTGTGGATGAGGAACCAAAGGAGAATAGCTTAAGAAAGGGGCTGAATGGCATTTCCCCCTTGCACTTCTTCCCTTTCCCCAATGCAGTTCCGCCTCCACCAGCTCCAGAGCTGTCCATTATCCCTCCAAGACAGACCTTTCTCCAAGGACAACGGATCACGTTGAAATGCTCCCACCCGGAAGGGCAGCTGGCAGCCACGTTCTTATTTTATGAAATTAAAGCAGATGGTAATTACACTAGACCCCAAGAACAGTTTGATAATACCCTGGAAATTACTGCAGGATTTCAGGAAACAAAGAAAACATTTGTCTGTGCCTACTTGGAAGAAATCAGTGCAGGAAAACTGTCTGAATGGAGTAACTGCATTGAGGTTTCCATTAGAGGTGAGTTAAGTTTGGCTAGTTCATATCATCAGAAGGCAGAGGGCCTTCTTGGTAGTGGCACC